AGCATGTTCAATCTTTTCATTAGTGATGATTAACTACATCTTAATCGGATAAAATTTTAACTTCAAAAAATATTCTCTTTACCTCTCTATATAAACACAAAGGAAAAAAAAAATTCTCATTGATCTTGCTTCGGCCGTTGTGGTGGTGCCCCTACAGGTATTAAAATTTAAATGATTTTATTTCAACGGATCATTGGTTTGACTTTCATTATTTTTTATTTTTCCCGTTCAAGAATAGTGTTATTACTATTATTTTTATGCGTCCATCCATTACAGCTACCGTATGTGATTTCTTATTTAATTAGTTAGCCTAGAATTTTTGTATGATTTTAGTTATGTTTGGATTGAATTGATTGATTGGATTTTTGTTACAAAGTGTAGTTTTTTAAATTTGTTTTTTATGTTTCATTCAATTAGAGAGTTTTTTTTTAAAATTATGGAGTCTCAGGTTTTTTTTTTTTGTATATGACCAATTATGAAGTGTGTTTTTTCTTTGTTTAATTACTTTTGATTTTGTTTTATACTCCCAGTTGACTAATTATTATTATTATTATTTTATTTACAAATGAAGCACATTTCTTTTTTTGTGTTCGGAGTTTCAAGAATATACTTTTTTGGATTTGGTTTTTGGACTTTTTTTAGTTCCTTATCATATAAATAGTTCAGGTCGCTTCTTTTAACGAATTTATGGGGAATCCTTTTATGAATTTGAGGTGGAGAGGGAAGAAATGATGTTTCTACGTTTACTTGTATTTTTATACATCATTTTTACCTACAGAAAAAAAATTACAAATTTTCAAATTTTAATGGGCTATCTTTTATATATATATATATATTTATTATTTGCCATGGTGAGGTGAGTTCTTTTTTGCTATATCTTGAAACATATGCAAATTTACATTATTTTCATTCTCATATTTGTGATCAACCAGTTTCAACAATTAACCAGTTTCAAAATCATATTTTTTATATTTTACTACCTATAAACTTTTGGAAGAAATAGTTCCAACAATTAAGCGTATACCCTTTGGAGGAAGCTAACTACAAAGCTATTATATTGATTTGGCACAACCAATGGAGAACATCAATAAATTATCTTACTAATATTTAAACTTATTAGGATGCTTTTATATTTTGTTTAGCATTTACTTCAAGACATATATTTGATCAAGTTTATTTATATTTAAGAAGTAACACTTATAAAATATTTCTAAAATCTTCAAACATTTCTAAAACGTACCGGGCCAAATACAATCTATTTTTTTGCCAAATACAAACATCACACTTATAAAACATTTCTAAAATTCTTCAAATATTTCTAAAATATATCAAGCGAAATACAAAATATTTTTTTTCCAGATACAAACATTTCTAAGATCTACATATATATTAGGCCAGGGTCGCGAATTGCGCGACTAGACATCACTATATATATATATATATATATATATATATATATATCAGGGAAGAAAATGTTGAACACAATTATCAAGCAAGAAAAGGTCGAACTAAAAAAATGTTTACAGGGCTCTTGAGTGTGAAACACAAATATCTTGATTCCTAAGGATATTAGGAGTCTGTCGTTTAGCTGAATCGAAACTCCAAGTCCAAAGTACCAAAACTCCTGATCTTCCTTGAAATGTCGATTTAGTCTAAACCTATGTTCTAGTGGTCGATTTAGTGTAAACGTTTATTCTAGTTGTCGATTTCATCCAAAAGTATGACTTTTGTCGTCGATTTAGTCATTTGGACGAAAAAAAACACCGCAAACTAACTGAGGCCTATTAGTTTAGAAATTTTTTAAAAAGGTCCCTTATGGTATAAAAATTTATAAAAAGTATTTTCTTTTAAAATTTCTTTGTCCATTGTTTTTCTTTTCTTTTTGTTTTGTGTGCACCGAAATGATATTCCTTAATGAAAGTGTTAAAAACAAGAGCATGCATACCCATTATGTAAACCCAAAGTGTTAATTTTCATAATGTGTTTACATAATGGGTTATGCATGCATGTTGCACCTAATTGACAAATTGACCTTATTATATAGTATAAATTTAATTATCCTTTTGGGTAATATTTGGTGATTGCGGTATTGAAAGTGTTAAAAACAAGAAGGTGATGGTGGTTTTTGCGAAAAAATTATGACCGGTGGAAAACGGGAAGACAGTGGAGGAGGGGGATGTAATTTGTTTAATAAATAAAAAATGGTAAATTTGAAAAAAAAAAAGGAGTTATTTAAGTCAATGCATATATTCAACCAAACGGTACTATTGAATTCGTGAATTCCTGATTATCCGAATCTATTCCGCCATTTAAATCCGTTTCCTGAATCCGTTTCCAGCTGACAAAACAAACGCCTCCTTAAAGCAATTCAAGGAACGGAAAATAAGCCTCTGATGTGGGCTGCCTTCAAGAATGGGCAAGGAAGCTTATTGGGCTCTTAACGGGGACTAATCTTAGTTCTTTTACCTTCTTTATCATCTTACCACAATATTTCCCTTTGCCCAATTCCCAGTCTCTCTTCCTGCTCGAATAAAACCCTAATCACACAGCATCAGAAAGCTCCCTCACTGGGCAAATCATGGCGACCTCCTACGATTACGGCGAAGGGCAACAGCAGCATATATATATATATATGATTAGCACGCAAGAAAATGTTGAACACAATTATCAAGCAAGAAAAGGTCGGAATAAAAAAAGGTTTACAGGGCTCTTAAGTGCCAAACACAAATATCTTGATTCCTGAGGATATTAGGAGTCTGTCGTTTAGCTGAATCGAAACTCCAAGTCCAAAGTACCAAGACTCCTGATCTTCCTAGAAATGTCGATTTAGTCTAAACCCGTGTTCTAGTTGTCGATTTAGTGTAAAGGTTTATTCTAGTTGTCGATTTCATCCAAAAGTATGACTTTTGTCGTCGATTTAGTCATTTGGACGAAAAAAACCCGCTAACTAACTGAAGGCCTATTAGTTTAGAATTTTTTTTAAAATGTCCCTTATGGTATAAAAATTTATAAAAAGTATTTTATTTTTAAATTTTTTTTGTCCATTGTTTTTCTTTTCTTTTTGTTTTGTGTGCACCGAAATGATATTCCTTAATTTACTTGTGTAATTTCATCTAAATATCCTCTTAACAAAAAACATTTCTAATATTTTTTTCGTTTGAAACGCTAACTTTTACTTTTTTGAATTTTTATTTTTCTAAATAAAATAATTATAAACTAGGTTTTAGATACGTGCATTCGCACAGGTTTGGGCTTTAGTCGTTGAATTGTTTTGAATTATAAAAACGTCAATGGTTCTTTTTAAGACGTACATGATTAAAATAATAGATGATGCAAAATATGTATATTCATTTTTATATGTTTTTCTAAATTATACGAATATAATTACGCTTAATGGTTCATTGTTTTTGTTAAATATTAAATATCTAATCTTGGCTTATTTTTTAAAATTTATTTGGAGACAAATCATTATTGTAGAATCTTTGAACTTTAGGCAAGAATAAAGCTTAGGGAAAAGAATCTTGATAAGGAGGTTATTTTTGGAGGTTTTGTTTTGTTTTTTTTTCTTTTTTAAATTTTATTTTAATTGTATGAAACAATATCATAAATTTAATGAAAATATAGATGGAGCAACTTTTAAGGTTTATAATAATTAGAATATTTTGGAAACGTGGATTATATTGAGAGTAAGTTTGACAAGGAGGTTATTTTCAGAGGTTTTCTTTTCTCTCTCTGGTTTTTTTTTAAAAATTTTATTTTAATTGGATTATCATAAGTTTCAATGACTAAAATGCCCCTTATTGTATAAAAATTTATAAAAAGTATTTTATTTTTAAATTTTTTTGTCCATTGTTTTTCTTTTCTGTTTTTTTTATATGCACCAAAATGATATTCCTTAATTTACTTATGTAATTTCATCTAAATATCCTCTTAATAAAAAAAAAATTCTAATATCTTATTCGTTTGAAATGCTAACTTTTACTTTTTTGAATTTTTTTATTTGTCTAAATGAAATAATTATAAATATATAAAGTTATTTTACAAATTCACCTTTTATTTTCTAAATATTTTTTCTTTTATATTTGAAATGTTTGCATGCATATATAATAGATAAATATATTGTATTATACACTAGTTTTTTTTCATATGATTTAGAAGTCGTTCGTCACAACTCCTACCCCCTGAACTAAATCAATTTTCGACGAGTTTAGTAAAAATAAATACTAAAATATCAAATTTCATTTATAAAGTGAGTTACATTAATTTATTAATTTTGATTGGTGATTGGGGTATTGAAAGTGTTAAAAACAAGAGCATGCATAACCCATTATGTAAACCCAAATGGTTATGCATGAATGTTGCACCTACTTAATTTTGACAAATTGACCTTATTATATAGTACTCTCTCTGTCCCAAAATTATTGTCCATTTTGAGATTTTAACTTTAGTACAATTTGAACTAGAAATGAAAATCCAAACTGGACAATAATTATGGGATGGAGAGAGTATAAATTTAATTATCATTCTGGGTAATATTTGGTGATTGCATTATTGAAAGTGTTAAAAACAAGAATGTGATGGTGGTTTTTGCAAAAAAATGATGACCGGTGGAAAACGGGAAGACAGTGGAGGAGGGGATTTAATTTTTTTAATAAATAAAAAATAGTAAATTTGAAAAGAAAGGAATTATTTACGTCAATGCATATATTCAACCAAACGGTACTATTAAATTTGTGAATCCCTGATTATTCGAATCTATTCCGCTATTATTTAAATCCGTTTCCAGCTGACAAAACAAAGGCCTCCTTAAAATAAGTCTCTGATATGGGCTGCCTCCAAGAATGGGCAAGGAAGCTTATTGGGCTCTTAACGGGACTAATGGGCTGCCTTCTTTATCATCTTCCCCCAATCTTTCCCCTTATAAAAAGTCTTCCCTTTGCCGATTCCAGTCTCTCTTCCTGCTCATAAAAACCCTAATCACAGAAAGCTCTGGCCAAATTATGGCGACCTCCTCCTACGAGTACGGCGAAGGGCAACAGCAGCACCCGGGGCAAGACTCACTGAGTTCTTATGACCCGAATTATGTTCCGGACTCGGTGAGGTCGTTCGTTGTGCACTTGTATCGTCACATTAGGGAGAAGAACGTGTACGAGATTCATCAGATGTACGAGAATTCGTTTCAATCCCTCAGCGAGCGCATGTTCAAAGACGTTCCCTGGCCTTCGGTTGACGCCGTCGCTCCGCACGTTGATAATGACCACGTTTTCTGCCTTCTCTACCGGGAAATGTGGTTCCGCCATCTTTATGCTAGGCTTACCCCTACTCTCAAGCAGAGGATCGATTCTTGGGACAATTACTGCAATCTCTTTCAGGTCAACTGGGAAATAAACAAATTGAAACTTTTGTTTATTTTATTTTATTTTATTTGATGCTTCTGTTATTGGAGGTGTTGTAGTCGAGAATTGTGGTGATTTATTTATTTATTCGTAGTCATTTATCTTGCTTGAAAGTTTTGGTTATCCTCTTGTTTTTATTGCCTTGGGTTGGTGTTGTTTGAGCAATTTTAGCTGAATCAATGAGAAATTTGACTGGCTTTGTAACTTTGTTCATGTTTTTGTGGGATGCAATGCAGGTGGTGTTGCATGGAGTGGTAAATATGCAATTGCCAAACCAGTGGTTGTGGGATATGGTAGACGAGTTCGTTTACCAATTCCAAAATTTCTGCCAGTATCGGGCAAAAATGAAGAACAAGACTGAGCAGGAGATTGCACTTCTTAGGCAGTTTGATCAGGTGCGCCTTCCCTTTGTTTAATAAATTAGTTTGTCTGATATTGTTGCATACTGATGACTGTAACAATGCGAATAACTCTCTTTTATAGCACCAGAAGCTTGGGTTTAAGTGAGCTTAACTTCATTCTCCTCATTGGTATTGTTGTAATCTCAGGAGACCATTAAGTATCTTTAGTATGTGATGAACTCTGGGTTCATTTATTACTTCCATTCTAACATCCCTGTGCTTCTTTTTTGGGTGATAGAATAAGTTTGTGGCTGATGGTATTGTTGGTTAGCTTAGCCCGATTGCAGCATTAAGCTCTAGTTTTAAGTGATCTATTGTCTGTTCCCTGATCCTAGCATTTTATTTCAGGCTTGGAATGTCTATGGTGTTCTCAACTTCCTGGAAGCTCTTGTTGAGAAATCTATGGTCCATGAAATCCTGGAGAGGGAGAAAGAAGGCCTTGAACAGTTCACAGCTACTGATGGTTATGATTATAATGGTGGGAGTAATGTCTTGAAGGTCCTTGGGTATTTTAGCATGATAGGGTTGCTTAGAGTTCATTGTTTGTTGGGTGATTATCAAACTGGCTTAAAGTGCTTGAAGCCAATTGACATAAGCCAGCAAGGCGTATACACCAGTGTTATTGGAAGCCACATTGCTATCATATATCACTATGGATTTGCCAACCTTATGCTGAGGAGGTATGCTGTTCCTGCTACTTTGCAATATTAAAATTTTGTTTTCATGAAGTACTTTGGTAAACCATCATAATGATTGTTTGGAGTGAGTTTTGCCTCTTTTTTTCCCCCCTCAAGAAAACATTTGGTTTTGCCTTTTCCAGTCTTAGATATTGTTATATATCTAAATGACTCTTGTTATAGTTCTGAACCGCCTCACCTTTAAAAATATTTCTCATCAACCGATCTTGTTTGGTTCTTCTTCAGGTATGTGGATGCTATTCGGGAGTTCAATAAGATTCTGTTATACATTTACAAGACTAAGCAATATCACCAGAAATCACCACAATATGAGCAGATACTGAAGAAGAACGAGCAGATGTATGCCTTGTTGGCGATTTGCCTATCTCTTTGCCCTCAAGTAAAGCTTGTTGATGAAACAGTTAACTCTCAACTTCGGGAGAAAAATGGTGAAAAAATGTTGAGAATGCAAAGGTATGATGAGGATGCTTTTGCTACGTATGATGAACTCTTTTCCTATGCATGTCCAAAGTTCATCACTCCATCTGCTCCGAGCTTTGAAGAGCCTCTTGTAAATTACAATCAGGTATGATTTATCCAAGGCTGTTTGAGCCTCTTTTAAGTGTGAAACTTATTACATGCAATGGTAATATACCTGGTTGTCAAAATTATTGAACACTAGCAAATATTGGATTTAGCATGAAATAATTCTCCTGGCCTTCATATCATTATGGTGTTTAGTTTATTTAATTACGCTTAATACTGATTACTGACCTTTGAACCTCAGTTTTGGAGATTATGCCCCTGAAATCTTAATCCATTATGTCGTTAGTCTTTTTGTTGTTGGAGTTTTCACTTCCGGGTTAGAAATCTTAGTTTTGTACTCAAAAGATAAAATTGCAAAGTAGTTTCTAGTGTTATGATCATCTTATGAAATTGAAAAGAACTGCAAATCTGTTGTATTTGCTGAACGAACTGAAGTATGTAGCTTTCGTTTGGTCTGTTGTCATTTATGTTCTATTATCATCATTAATTTAGAGCACTAAATTGCCTCAATTTTTCCATTTCAGGATGCATACAGGCTACAGTTAAAGCTGTTTCTGTATGAGGTAAAACAACAACAGTCATTGGCTAGTGTCCGGACATATTTAAAAGTTTACTCAACAATCTCCTTGGCAAAGCTTGCTAGTTATGTGGAAGTGGATGAACCTACTTTAAGGTGAAGAGGAAGAAATGTGTAATTCGCTTCTTTACCTAATACACGCACCACCTTGTTTCTAAGCTTTTTGCAACTGATCATTTACAGGACCATTTTGCTGACATATAAGCACAAAACTCATGCTGTGGATTCGGACGGAAAGATAATATCCAATGCTGATGTTGATTTTTACATAGACGATGTGAGTGTTTATCTTGATTTTCTCTCTAATTTCCTCTGTGCACAATCTCTAAGTTGTGAGCAAATATAGGATCACTAGTGTTGAATGTTATTTTCTAGGCTTCCTTTTTGAAGTATCAATTGTGAACTAGAGATATCATTATGTTATAAGACCATATTGATTAACCGAGGTAGAGGAATCACTAACTCTTTTGTTGTAATAGCATATGGAAATATGTTGGCAAAGATGTGCATGTTTGATACGGTAACTATTTACATCTGTTTGACTTGCTGATCTTTAAGGATTTGTCAGACATTAAATTGCCCAGGATAGATACTTATTCATCATAGTTTTTTGTTCACTGATCTAATGACACACCAACTTTGATTTTAGGACATGATCTATGTCACGGAAGCTAAACCAGCTAAGCGATATGGGGACTATTTTTTGCGCCAAGTTGTGAAGGTATGTTTTGAAGCTCGTTTGTATTATCCTGAGATTACATTGGATGATGTATCCATGTGGCTGTTTTTCTGAGTAGTGTGTATCTGTGTGCAGCTGGAAGGCGTCATAGCTGATATTGACAGGATAAAGCTGGAGTGAGTTTTCAAGGTTGGGAGCTTTCCTCCTTTGTTACCAGTTTGCAGCTATAACCTGCAAGTGAGATGCGACTCGGATGATTTGTAATTTATTCAGCCTCGTAGCCTATGAGAACTGTACACTGCTTCAAAAATAGTAATGAGGTTCAATAGGCATTCTCTTGAGAGCACAAGAAGAATCTCTAGCGTTTTTGTAGTGTTCCTGTTGGGTAAGGACAGGATGGAACAAGAATATAAATTCTCACTTAGGGATGACTTTTCTTCGTTATTGTAATTTTTTTTTTCGGCACAAAGGAATAGCCCTTCTGTTTTGACATTTACTTTTTTCACATGCACTTTCATTGTCCATCTTAAGAATATTATTTTCAAGGGTTTTCTGCACCAATAGGCAATAGCTGTGGTTGATTGTGCGCCTATCAGATGTTGATGGCCGGTAGGATTATAGAGTAGTCCCGTTTGATCGGGAGGTGGCGATTGTTTGCTGCTGGTTGCTCTTGAATTCTTTTCTGTGTCAACATGTCTGAATATACCACTTTTGTCATTTCACTGCAACCACAAATTCAGCTTTTTCAACTAACTTTCAAAGCAAGGGTAACTAGCAGCTGCTGCTGATTCAAATTGCTGTTTACATGACTGGGCAGCAGAAGAATACTGTTTGTTGCATATATGCTGACATCCACAGTCATAAGGGTTGTGTTCTCCAAAAAGTACTATATACAACATGCTGCCCGCATCAGTGTTCGTTTCTATTATTATTAGAATCAAAAAGTGAGTTAAGCTTTTCCTCAAGCCTGTCAATGATAAGCTGTAGGGGACGTTGTTTGAACATGTTAATCAGGGTTATCAACATCATGTTAAACCTCATGGGGGTTGCAATGATCATATACTCCCTTTGGTTCCTCAAGAAGTGGAAGCTAGGCGACAAGGCGGCGTTAGCATCGGCTCTTCCAACTCCGTGGTATGTGTCTTTCATCTATCTCGAAAACTAACGGTGCACTGATCATATTTTATCAGAGAAATATGTCACCGGGTAAATCTCATTGTGTCATCAACAGGTTCATTTACGCATGTTTAGTCGTGGGAATCATCGTCTGCTCGATCACAGTAATTGGACATATGACAGCCAACTCTGTCAGCGATTATACACTTGCCATTGTATCCTTACCCGGTCATCAATCTCTTCCTACAATCATCGTGCAAAAACTTTTCCTTCGTAATCATGTCAAATTTTTTATGCTTTATTAGTTGATTTGATTAATGTACGTGGTGGTGTTAAAAAACCTTAACCAAGATTTCAGTTTTTGGTGTCAATTTGCTGCCTTCTTCTAATTCAAGCTGTAATCATTGTGACAGTATTCTTCAAGATTGACTGGAACTTGGTAATTCATTTCTAACTTTTATCTTCATTCGCACAGTGGAAAGTAACTCTTGACACTTGAAATCTGATCATATTTCCAGTCCTGAGATTCTCCCTTTGATTAAATATATTGGGAGTCAAACCAATTATGTTTTTATTTTGGGTTTATTCGAGGCAGCGAGTTTCTAGATACATAGATGAACACCACAAAGAGTTCAAAAGTTTTGTTCTCTTCCATGTATCGGTATGTCGGACGATCTCCATCATGGTTTTCGTAGCCCAGGTAATTTTTTTTTTTTTTTTTTTTTTTTGGCAGTGTCTTAGTACAAATACCATGACTTTACTAAGAACAAAGAAGTACTCCACTAATGTACCGTATCTGATTACATTTGTTTCCAGGTTGGAGTTGCTTCCCTTGCTGCTACCCTGTTGGCCGTAGGATGTGAACCTACGATTTGTCTCAACAACAACAACAATAATGGCCATATTAATAATAACCCTAAATTTGTATCCTCTTTTTTGGAAGATTCATCATCATTTCTAGAGGGTCATCCTAGACTGCCTCCTCCTGAAAGGTTTTTCCAGTTCCATGTCCGGGAAACACTACGATCATCATTCCACCTAGTTCAAGATTCCAATAAGGAAGAGGATTCAGCAGTCTCAAACTAGCCACCGGAATTGACACTTTCCTATGTGTGTTTGTGTGTGTGTGTGTGTGTGTTTTTTTTTTTCCTGGTACTTTTTACCCTTTTAAAATCACTATTCCGGCAAAAATAATTCTCACTTATTGATGGCTTCAGGAGGCTAAGAGGACTCGGATTAAGATATAAAATATAGAGATAGCAAGATCAACGAAATTGGAGATTATGTTAATATTCATGCATCTATCATTTTGTTAGACTAAATAAATACTCTGTTTTGAAATGATTATGATTTATAAGAATAAAGTTAACGTAATTGATTGGTTCAACCTCTTTTAATTAAATAATCAATTTCATCAGATGACTTCAGGGTGGCAGCAGCATGATGTATGGCTCAAAATTTTGACCCCAACTCAGAATAATACGACTTTGATCTTTAGTTGGAAAGTCCTCCAATCGTAGTGGCCGCCCCGCTGATCGGTCCCCGGCGTCGATCCTACTCGCAGCCCAATGTCAACCCAATGTATAGGAATTACATTATTCAAAAAGCCACCCCACTCAAACTTAACTAATAATTATATTATGTCTGAGGCAGAGAATGTGAAGTTAGCAATTTTTATTTTTTCTTAAATTTTATAAAAGATGCATGAAAGCATATTCCCAAATTAGTACATGAGAGTATGCTACACCAATAACATCATGTTCTAACCACCATTTAGCCTTTATCGGAGAAACAATGAGCCATTATAATCCACTTTATCCTCGTGTCGCTAACGTTGCCAAATAATTTGTTATAAAATCTGCCTCTCGGAATATATGTCTGAGTTCTACTACCCAATCGCTGCATAAAAGCTGCCGAATGCCATGCACAATTCCACCATATGATGGACAAAACATAGTGTGCAATATTTTTATGTTACAACATACTGTGATTTTAGTTAAATTGTATAGATTGAGTTAATTCACTTCCGCATTATGAATTAAACAATAAATTTGGAAGAAATTATAAATCACCTAATTTGTAATTATCCAACCAATCTTTGATAGTCGACAGGTCTAAAGATTCAAACCACAATAATTGGAAATGACCATCATTAATTGAGTTGATTTGGATGGTCCAAGTCTAACCATTTAAGAGCATATAAGATCTCAATTGTTTAATGAGCATTATTGAATTGCAAGATAAGGTTCGTCCGAAAAGGAAAAGAGTCAGAAAGAGGAAGTGAAAGAAGAAAAAAACTGCTGACCCGAAAGAGTCATATGCTATGATCAAAATGGTAACTCGAGACTTTTGACTGCGGCTGTGGCTGGTTAAAGTTTTTCTGTTTTTGCCTTTTTTTCTTTTTTGGGGCGTCCGGTTTTGACTCTGATTAAAGCAATAATTTTCAAACGGTTCAACTGAGATTGTAACTGCGAAGTTGGGATTTAAACCTCATGAACAGTCCTAATTTCTTTTTTTTAAAAAAAAAGAGATATAAAATTACTATAAAGTTATAACAGTGTTACATAATATAGAATGTTACATTAACTATATTTGGATTAGAATCAACAACAGAAACTGGGGAGGTGCACGAGGGTGGTGCGCACTTTATTTTACTTGGAAAAAAATATTGCCTCATGTGTTTGGTTACCTTTCTTGTCATTTTCTGATTTATAAATAGTTCAATTTCTCCCCCCTCCTAATCCATATAAATGCCACTCATTTGGAGCTTTAGGAAGATATAAAAATATCCCTTCTTCAGAGCAAAGTTTAAGCCACATAATCCCTCCCAATATCACTATCCAGCCATCATCATGACGAAGAGCAACCCAGGTGTGATTACATGTAAAGGTATCTGTCCAACCCTCCAAAGTTCTCATCCTCAATTAAACTGATGTGGATGTTATTTTATGTTAGGGCATCGTGGTGATCGAGTAAAAGATCTCGTATTTCTATTATTCTCAGAAAAATAATTCACTCTGTTAAAAATATTATTTATAGAAGGACCGGTCTTAATTTCTTTTATTTTTCTCCCAACCTCTTTTGTGGAGACTAACGGGTTGTGTGATGTGGTTTTGGTGTTGTGCCTGAAATGATGTTTGTTCAGCTGCGGTGGTATGGAAGTCAGGGGAGCCACCAAAGGTGGAAACCATACAAGTTGATCCACCAAAAGCCTCAGAAGTTAGGATCAAGATGCTTTGTGCCAGTTTGTGTCACACTGACGTCTTGTGTTGCAATGGCCTTCCTGTTGTATGTTCCCATCTTTTTCCAATTTGATTTCTCAATTTTTTTTTTTTTGGACAACTAATCTATTGAGACGTTTGGTTAACTAATTTATGGTTTTTCCTTTTTCAGCCTTTATTTCCTAGAATTCCTGGACACGAAGGCGTTGGGTAAAGTCTCTTGTCTCTCTTATACTTTTATATAAATTATTACTCTACTTTTATTAATCCATAAGTCCTTTTGGATATCATTTAGTATTTTGCACTAACTATTTCCTCTAAAGTACTCCAATGTTTGCAGTTTTTCCTACATGTATATTACCCTATGATTTCTTCTAAACAAAAGAACTTGGAAAACATAATATCGCGACACTAGCATCCTGATTGTGCACCACACTAACAAGTTGTATCTGGTTACTAGTTCTGGTACTATAATACTAAGTAAGATATTCCATGATCAACGTGTTAATTATATATCTCGTCTCATGGCAGGACCTATAGCGTATACTAAACACAAATCATTTGCATTTTTTCGAATAATATCTTACAACCTTAGATATGGTCAAACAACAACCTGAAATTCACCATTGAACCTTACCATTTAACCAAAAATTTGCAGAATGGTAGAGAGTGTTGGTGAAGGTGTCACAACCCTGAAAGAAGGGGATATTGTGATGCCCCTTTACTTGGGAGAATGTGGAGAATGCCTGAATTGCAAGTCAGGAAAGACAAATTTGTGCCACAAGTATCCTTTGGGCTTTAGTGGGCTTTTATTGGACGGGACATCAAGGATGTCAATTGCGGGTCAAACAGTTTACCATCATTTCAGCTGTTCCACTTGGTCTGAGTACATTGTCATTGAGGCCCCTTATGCTGTCAAGGTTGATCCCAGGGTTTCTCTTCCCCATGCTAGCTTCCTTTGTTGTGGGTTCACTACAGGCTTTGGTGCAGCCTGGAGAGAAGTCATTATTCCTAAAGGTGCTACTGTTGCTGTTTTGGGCCTTGGTGCTGTTGGACTCGGAGTAAGTTCATATGTTTTAACATTTAAATCATCTGTATCACTTTTTGTTCTTTATCTTTTTATTCTTCACAATGAAAGTCGTACCTCGGACTTATGGTATGCATATGTTGAATTGCAGGTGGTAGAGGGAGCTAGGGTGCAAGGAGCATCTAGGATAATTGGAGTTGATATAAATGACTTGAAAGAGGAGAAAGGGAAGGCATTTGGAATGACTGAGTTCATAAACCCTAAAAAATCTGATAAATCAATTTCAGAGCTAATTAAAGATGTCACTGGAGGATTAGGAGTGGACTTCTGTTTTGAATGCACCGGTGTTCCCGCCTTGCTCAATGAAGCCATCGATGCTTCAAAAGTGGTGAGTCGTCAACGCTATTATTCATCGTTTCAATAATGTCATCAATTTTTGACAAATAGAGTAACAAATGTTATTATCATGTTAAAAATTTTAATAATTATATGGTTTTACGATACTTTATTATTGATTATTAGAAACGGTAACTGAAATTGACGATTAACCATTTTTGTAACAATTGTCTCCAAAAAAAAATTCAGGGACTTGGGACAATTGTGCTAATTGGTGCAGGGCTGGAGCCAAGCGGAGTGATTAATTACATTCCACTTTTATGTGGAAGAGTACTGAAGGGATCCATCTATGGTGGAGTTAGGCCCCTCTCAGACCTTCCTACCATCGTAGACAAATGTATCAACAAGGTAAAACGATTAATATGGAATCAATTTGAAAAAAAGAAATGAATAATTTTTTTTACCGTGCATATATTACTAGTTTGGGACGAAAAAAGTAAATGATGTATGTGGACAATTTACTAGTGAGATAATGTGTCTTTTTTTTTTCTTCAGGAAATTCCATTAGATGAGCTGATGACACACGAAGTGACACTTGATGAAATTAACAAAGGTTTCGAATACCTAAAGCACCCGGATTGTGTCAAAGTGGTTATCAAGTTCTAAATTAAGGAAAAAAAAATGAGCCTAGTTTTATCTTCTCAATCAATAAAAGAAAGTGATCAAATATAGACTTTGTTTATTGGACCGTGTTTTCAGAAATCTATTTGAAAAGATATGAGGATTTTGTATGCGTGGGAAAAGAAAGGCAATGGAGAATGTTTTTAATTTTTTTTTTAAATTTTATTTTGGAGTGGGAATGAAATGCTTTATTTTTATGTTTTAGAGACGCTTACTCTGAAAAATAATTATTTCCTTCTAAAATGATAGATATGTTGGATTTTTTAGTATGTTTACTTAAAATTTAAATCAGACAATCATTTTTGAGACAGAAGAAATACATAATATTATTATTATGTGGTAATTAACTACCAAATCAATTCATTCTAACATTTCTCCGTGTAGTTAACGTCCAACAAATGAAGGTATGAAAATTCTCTTTTATGTAACCCTAACCCGCCTTAAATGTGAACCAGCAGAAGAAATACCCAAAATATAATCGCGCAGTTGAGCAAAAAACTAATAATATTTTCCTGGTTCAAGAAAGAAAAAGAAAACAAAAACAAACTAAAATTCATACAAAAAGGATAAGAAATTTGGTTTCATCATTTCTAGGACAAATCTTTACGGAGGTCGGTTGACATAACCACTCCTTGATTGGTGTGCCGTCCTAATAAGCAAAAATAATAAATATAAATAAATAAATTTCGGCACCCCCATCACCATCTAGAACTCTTCCCCACCGGTTTTCTTACAAAAAAAACTTTTTGTAAACACCAAATTGAAGGCTTCATTTAGACTGTTGTTTCCCAGTGCTTGGAAAATTTTACTATATTGATTGATTGAAAGACGTGTTTCGACAAAGAACAAATCTATAAACTGTTATTGAACCATCTTTACACTATGACGAGTAGAAATGAATCCAAATTTACGTAAATACTGACTAATCGGAAGAAACTTGGCAATGGTAGTGAATGGAAAACTTATTTTACTCTATTCGGCTTGAAAATTAGATGCGGTAATAGATAAAAAAATACTCCCTCTGTCCCATAATTATTGTCCAGTTTAGTTTTCATTTCTAGTTCAAATTATACTAAAACTGAAATCTCAAACTGGACAATAATTTGAAAACATAGGGAATATAATATAATAGTAAATACTAACTATTACTTTTCCCCTTTTTTTTTCCCGCTTTCGGGCCCCGATCGATCTTTTCGGAGGAATAGAATTGCAAATTATAAAACAAACACTGTCTCCGCTCCTTATTATAAGATATTTTGATTTTGTTCTAAGTTTCATTCAGAATATCCTTTTAATTAGAAAAAAAATCTTAAAAATATATTTTCACATTTATTGTGTTTTTCTAATTATTATGAAATATTTTTAAAGTTTTTTATTTCATTTAAAATAATATTTTAAGTGAAACTTAGGACAAAATTAAAATATTTTATACTAACGACGGAGGAGTATATTCATAAAAATATAAAATCCACTTAACAAAAAAGACAGTTTCTGGGACCACTTAGATAATCCACGTAATAGTAAGAAGAAAATAGATAACCATTCGCCACGTCACAAAAAGAGACTTCCGTGTGGCGCAACAACTGTATAAAAACCCCGCGCCATCCTCCCCACCGTCACGCCCGCCGTTAAGTCTTCCAAAAAAGAAATTCAGTAACAAAAATCAAAAGGCGCATTTTAGCCGGAAACGTGGAAATCCCCAGAAATCGACACTTATATCAAATACCACTACGGAAGATTTAAATTTCCCTTTTTTGTTTTCTTTCTGCAATTAAGAATTTAAAACACGATGAATACTAATTTCCAGGCTCAACATTTGTTCAATTCTTCTTCGACTGATCGGAGGCTTGGCGTTTTGGCAAAACACATCGATCCGACGTCATCAATGGCGAATACTGATCACAGCTCCAGTACTGCTATCATCTCTGCTTCGCCAACTTCTCATCCTGCCGGTGGCTCTGTTTTCTCTCATGTTGTTCAGGCCCCTGAAGATCCCATTCTCGGGGTACTTAATTAATTCTCCTCCTGCTTTTGTTTAACGCTTCTTTATGATCCTTTTTTTTTTGTCTGCGATACCGGCTTTAATGGAGGCTAAAGTGTTGGAGAAATCATTGGCTAGATTGAGATAAGCATGCATCTTTTTTCTTTCTACTGGCTTGTGAATTCGATGCAGGATCATTCTATTTTTATGATTGTCTTTTGTTTTATCTGGTTACAGATACACATAATTTATTTTTCTTAAACAAAAGGGGGGCAAGGTTTCTGCTAATTTCGTAGCGTTCATGTTTTTGTAGCTGTTAAAATGGTTCTTCAGCATTCAATAGATTTTCGGATACTGCTTTTTATGCAATTTTTTTTTCCCCTACCATTTACCGGTCGAATGTAAGAAGATCTTTATGATGAATGCGAGGATAGTCAGTTTGTTTTTAAACTTGATATGATGTTATCGTGTGATCTATGATATTCAAGTTAGGTGATGAGGTTTGATTGTCTGAGAGCGTGATTTACTTTGTGAGCAGGTCACTGTTGCTTATAACAAGGATCCAAGCCCAGTGAAATTGAACTTGGGGGTAGGAGCTTACCGAACGGAGGTTAGTATTGGCTAATAAATCTTGATAACTAAATGATCATCAAGAATTTTGTTTATGATCTTGACATACTTCTCTGCTTTGTTTTGTGGAACTTTGAACTAAGAACCTGAGAATAATTACTCAACACCATTAGCATATTTTCATAAACTTAATACCGTGCGTTAATCTTATACTTGTGCATCACCTGTTTCCTCAGCCTATGTTCTCCCTTGTGCATGCAATACAGTATAAACGTTGAAAGAAGCCAGCAGTAGTATGTGTGGCCTTGATTTTCTTTTCTTTTTTTTGGTTGAAATACTATATTCTTTAAATAAGTTGGGGCAGTGGTGTTACTTGAAATGGTTGAATTCTAATGGTGTATAAAGTAGAAACTCATGCATTCTTCATCATGAGAAAATTTGGTGAATCTGCTATGACTATCTGAATGATGCAGTTCATGTTAAGCTTTCTCTCCTGTAGTTTACCTATGCTGCCGGTTCCCCTAGGCATCATATTCCTCTCTATGACTTCTCATAGATGCTGCTTTCTTTTATTATCCTTGTTATTTCTGAAATAGCAATGTTATTCTGCAACAGGAAGGGAAGCCTCTTGTTTTGAATGTTGTGAGACATGCTGAACAGCAACTAGTTAATGACAGGTGAGAACTTGCTGTATCTGGAAATTGAAACGTCATTTTAGGTAGTGGCTAATCAAGGACCAAATTACTTTTCAGATCTCGTGTTAAGGAATACCTTCCAATTGTTGGGCTGGCAGATTTTAACAAGTTGAGTGCTAAGCTCATACTTGGTGCAGACAGGTAAATTTTGATTTTGGGCTGAGATTGATAAATCTTTTAATTTGTCTGCATATCTTCTCTAATATTCATTTGGGGATACAAAGATTTAATCTAATCTTTATCAATATAAAATTAAATTCCAGTGCATTATTCACAGTTTGGTTTTACCTTAATAGGCTAAGGATCCAGGACAGATAAAAAATTTTTTGCACATCCATCCTGCCCTTTTGTTCAGTTTTTTATTTATTTCTATTTTTTTAATTTAATGTTAATGTGACTGAATATTGAGCTTAAATTTTCGCCACATGCACTGGAAAAAAGTGCTACAATGTGCCTCAGTAACTTCTTATTAAGTATTGAATGCAGATAGCAGCATGCTGTCAAAACTAAGTTTTGCAGTCGCAGCAAGAAATAGTTTTGTTTCTGGAAAGATGCATCTAATATGGTAGCTTGTTTTGGTGTTTGATGAACTTTAAAGTGATCCCATCGGATTTACTCGTAGAGTTGATTTTGCATTTTGTCATTCCATTAATAGTAACTTTTGTGGCACCTCTTTTTCTTGCTTATGCTTTAAAGACTATAGAATACTGACAGTATTTATTTTTATTTTTTATTTTTGGTTGGAAATAGCCCTGCTATACGAGAGAATAGGGTGACAACTGTTCAGTGCCTGTCGGGCACGGGTTCTTTGAGAGTTGGAGGGGAATTTTTGGCTCGACACTACCACGAAGTAAGTGGAAATGTTACTTAAGTTTGAACCTGAAGTATGGGCACTTGCGCTTTTCCTTTTCTTATCTATTGATGTTTCTGTTGTATTCCAGCGAAGCATCTACATTCCCCTGCCAACATGGGGAAATCACCCAAAAGTATTTACTCTGGCTGGTTTATCTGTGAAGACTTACCGCTACTATGATCCAAAGACTCGTGGTCTTGATTTCCAAGGTCTGGATGTGTTCTTGATGTTAATTTATATAATTCAAGAATTTGCCCAAGCTGCTATTTCTTTCTACTGCTTGTAAGAGAAAGCTTGAAATACTTTTTGTCCAAAGTGTATCCATTTTTGGATTCTTGCAATTGACGGCCACTTGAAGAACTTAATGAATCCACTGTCTTCTCGGTAACTGTGTTTATTCTCCACTATTATAAATGGAGACGTGATTCACTAGTCATATTTTCCTCTTGGCTTTTTTGTTCTGGTAACTGATTATCTTCATTCTCTTGCGTGTCCGCCCAATCAGAAGAGCATCTCATTTGAACTATTTTGGAGCATCTCATTTAACTATTTATGAGTTTGATGATTAATAGAAGGAATAGAGTTTCTCTTCTTTTCATGTTTTGCTTGGTCGAGGGTACAAGTTCAGTTATATTTCCAACTTGAACTGATGGCACTGTAATAGTCATGTGTTTTCGTTGATATTGAAGCAAAATAGTGTGTATAGAGGTCATAGATTTGACTCAATAACCCGTTTGTTTTGAGTTTTTAATGGAATGAAATTCAAACATTTTTCTGTTTTCTGATCAATTAGTGCCTTAGTTCTTCAATTTCTCTTGCGATTTTCACTTGGTAGTAGAGAATTATCATGAGAAATTGCCATGTTATGTGGCTCAGCTCCATATGGGTCTTTCTCTCTGGGCTGAATTTGTTGATATAAGTCTATGATGTTGATCTGCTAGCTCATCTCAGCTCTGATTCTCTTTCTGTATTTTTGGCATTACTGTTTGAATAGGCTTGTTGGAAGATCTTGGGTCTGCTCCATCAGGTGCAGTTGTTCTTCTGCATGCCTGCGCTCATAACCCAACAGGTGTTGATCCAACTCCACAGCAATGGGAACAAATCAGGCAGTTGATGAGATCGAAGGCACTCTTACCTTTCTTTGACAGTGCTTACCAGGTGGGTGACGAAATTTTTTTGAAAAAAGAAGTGTTGATCAATCATCGTGCTACCTTGTGTTTTTGTTACACAAAGACTGTTCTCCACAGGGTTTTGCGAGTGGAAGCCTTGATACAGATGCGCAATCTGTTCGTATGTTTGTGGCGGATGGGGGCGAGTGCCTTGTAGCCCAGAGTTATGCAAAGAACATGGGCTTGTACGGTGAACGTGTTGGTGCGCTAAGCATTGTATGTTTCACTGAGAATTTTCCTTGTCTTATTCCTATCATTTGAATAAAGTGAAAATTGGATTCTCTGTGGCTTTCTGCAAAGAAATATTATCATGCTCTGTCTAGTTTTACTCATTAGAAGGTGTCTTCTGAACTATAAGTGAATTTCTCTGATGCATCTGAAAGTGAATAAGTATGTAGCTGACACATTTGAAACTCTGTTGATATTAATTGGAGAATATGTTGTGGAGTAAGGCTCTTACAAAATTGAATTCTGTGTTGCTGCTATTTTCCATAATCATCATCGTAGAACATCCAGTAAGTTTACAATCGGTTTGACATTATCTTAGTTCTCTTTCTTGTTTTTACTTTTTGGGTGTTTTGCAATTATTTCTCTGGTTTCTTTGGTGTTCTGGGATTAACAAGTAGCTAAAGCCTTTTGTTGCTTGTATGGAAAAGGTTGTTTCACTCTGCTATTTCAAACGTAGTTGCAACAGTGACCAATAAGTACATTGTTTCACTTGATTTTGGTTGAGTGCTAATGATAGGCTTGCATGGTAGCAACCCTGTGTGATTATGATTAGGCCCATATTGCGTTTGTAGTGGTTGAATCGGTTACTTGAGTTAGATACATTCCATGACTCGATGTATCGCTCAAAAATATAGCAGAAACACCGGAGGATCCTCCTATGCTATTTTAGCTTGAGAAAACATCCAGGATAAGATGAAGTACTGATTTTGGCCCTGGAAAATTCCCAGGTGTGCAGAGCAGCTGATGTGGCCAGCAGAGTTGAGAGCCAGTTGAAACTGGTGATCAGGCCAATGTATTCAAATCCGCCGATACATGGTGCATCTATTGTGGCGACTATCCTTAAGGACAGGTAGCAAGCATTCTATTGTTTCCCTTGTGTTTCTATTGAAGAGTTGACATCTGGTAAATATGTCAGGCCATCAAATTACTTCGTTGAAAAAGATCATGTTTTTATGATTAAGTTTGTTTACTCCAAATTTGAGATCTAAAACCTGGCTGTTTCTCATGCTTATGCCGGCATACAGAAATTTGTTCCACGAGTGGACAATTGAACTAAAGGCAATGGCAGAGCGTATTATCAGCATGAGGAAGCAATTATTTGATGCTCTGCGCACTAGAGGTGAACAATATTACTTCCTTGAATCTTGGTAGTTGTTTCTTGGCCCTTCCCCCTTGATTCCATCTATAGAGTTGTCTCTGGCAATTCGTCGGAATTGTAGTTATGTAAACGTTCCTCTCAAAAATAAAGGTACCTGTCAAGTAATCCAGTGTGAATGAGACTAAATTTGTTATTATCCACCAAGCTACCTTTAGTCTTCTTCACTGTGGTGATATAGTGACATTAAACCCGAGCTGATCTTTATGGTGTCTGCTTTTGGATTGTGTTATTATCCCTCGTACTCCTTTTATCAGTAGTTTATAAAGGATCCTCAGAAAGTGAAAAGTCTCTAACAACAAAGGTTGTCTGTCAGCATCATAGAACTTCAGTGTTTTCTTTCTTCTGATCCGAGTTAGTGAGAATATATTTTGTTCTGATTTAGTTTCCTCTTCCCTGCTTCCTTCCTTCTCCCACAGAAGTTAGTTTTTACATCTCACCTTTTTTTTTTTTTTGAAAGGGCACCTGTTCTTTTTATCAGAACTGGATACCTAATCTAGTAGAAAACATTAAGTTATATGTTATATTATGCATCTCTTGAACATAATAGATCAGGATCTAGGGAAAAGCTAAATTCTTTTGCTTACCATGTGCTCTCTTCCATCGAAAAGGGGAAAAGTAATAACCTTCACACGTTCTTACAGGTACACCTGGTGACTGGAGCCACATTATCAAGCAAATTGGAATGTTCACTTTCACTGGACTAAATAAAGAGCAGGTCGCCTTCATGACGAAAGAATACCACATCTACATGACATCTGATGGGTAAGTATATTACTTCCTGGCTTTTGATCCGTCTCTAACACCTTGAAAGATTGAATGTAAGGAAAAGCTTTTGAAACAATGATTCTCTTGGGTCCTCTTTCAGTCAAAAGAACATGAGTGTCATGGCCTCTTTGGTATTATATTTGATTAGTTTTACTTCAAGGCTCGGACATTTTCAGTTGGCATTGTTTGGAAGAATGATTCATAACTCTTTCTTTCATTTCTTAATTGCAGACGGATTAGTATGGCTGGTCTGAGCTCTAGGACTGTTCCACACCTTGCAGATGCCATTCATGCTGCAGTTACACGATTCTCCTAAATCCCGAATGATCGCTTTTTGAAGATCCGTTATATTCCCTCCCATACCAAATGTAATTTGTTTCTTATAATAAATTAGCTGTAATAATCCAGTAGTATCAGGCATAGTCCTGCCTGATGTTTGGGGGTAAAGGTACTGTGTCATTTACGTATGCAGAACTGTAGAACTGAATTCTGTATAAGCAATAATAAGTTGCAAAGCAATGTAGCAGCTGCTTCGTTATTTCTTGTTCATGAGAATTTAACCTCTTATTTTTTATTATTTATCTTTTTTGGTCATTTCGTGCAAGTCCCACAATCAAACTACATGATATTACTCATGACAAATACAAATTAAGCATTATAAAAGCATTATTATTAGCAGTATTTAAAGTGATGATTACCGGCCTTTTTTTTCTTTTTGTTTTTACAAAGATTAAAAATTTTGTGTAGTTCTCTTTTTTATTCTTATTTACGCCTGGACTAAACCTCTTTAACTCTTAATCTAGTACAACGTCTGTCCATAGTAGAATATGACTTAGGTAGATTATGTTGCTTTAGATTTTGTTGAACATTCAAGCCAATGCAGATAATCTTGAGATTTTAAAGATGTGGTTATTTATTTATTTAGTATTTCCCCAGTCTCAAGAAAAAAAAATAATTTCGAAATTCAATAGAAATTATTCTTTTGGGATAAAGGTAGTACATGTTTTTTTAATGTTTGAAGTTTTACCCTCAAAATATGATCTTCGTTCACTACAATAAATGCACGGCGACAAGCCCTCTAGCAAAGTAGATGGAATTTTGTTTCCTATTATACAATTGCAAGAACTGTTCACTGAAATTCAAGTATGCAGCTGAACAAATTTGAATAGATTAATTCACAGAGAACCATGTTGGTTTCTTGTATTACACTAACATTCTTCTAGGAAGTATGGATTGGGAAAAAATAAAAATACATGAATGTATACATCTTTCAAGTATTATGGCCTCTGCCGAAAGCAAACCTGCCCACTGCTTCTCTACTATCATCTGAAACTTTTCAACAGGTAGGAAGATGGACTAGAGAAATTAACACCAGCAGACAGTTTCGAACTTTCTGCTCCTTTCTCAGGTGTTCCACATTCACTAAAGTCAAGTGTTCGGCACTCCCTCTGCAAATTTCAGAACATTTCACAGATATTAAATTATAGAAATAGAGCAAATAACCAAATCTTTGGAAACCAACAAAGCAATTGAGAGTATTCATCTAGAGAAAACTAAAGCAGAGATAAAATATTTTATCTTTCTTAGGTCGGCCAGGTTCAGGGACCATTCAACAGATTGCAAGTAACAAGCAAAAAAAACCAAAATATCAAGATGCAGGGCTGTCAGAAAGCAAGTTCAGCACAGCTATATTTATACCATGACATTTGATGCAGCCTGCGGCTCCAGCTGATTTCTAGCAAGGGCATTGTTTTCCTTGTCAAGGATAAGCCTTTTGCTGCTTTTCTCAAGTATAGATGCAGGAGTATCATCTCCCAGAACCTCCTGTGCATCTGCAAATGCTGAAGCAGTCTGCTCACTCAACTGTTTCATCAGTCCAAGAGCATCATAACTGCGGTCCCCGGGGCTCGTTAGTAAAAAGTCCTGCATTTCAAATTCAACATACATTATGTTAGGAGAAGAAACAACAGGATCTGCAGAGGAAACAGTAATGAAACAATTAACTTAAGCAACTTAGAACTTTGCAATAGAATGAAACTATCAGAATCTATCAACCTCAATCGTGATGTCAGTATCAACTCTGGGGCCTGGTAGAAAAGTGTTGAAAAACCAAGGGGACTTCCAAGCAGAAGGAGATTCGAAACTTCTTTTAAAAGGCGTATCTCCAAATCTACAACACATCAGGAGGAGCAACCTCATCAGATTGTTTAAGTCATTTCATAATTTTACAGAATCCTAGTATTACCAACATGATTTTAGTCTTACATGTTGAAGTGTTCAACACAGGAACTGCTCCTTGGAGTTTCAACCTTCTTCCCCAGGGGGGTTGACGAGGTAGCCAGTTGATTGGATGCAGAGGCAAACATATTACAATTTTCCTTCTTCATAGATATTCTAGGTGAACAAACAATGGATAAACATGGAGTTCCAGATGAAGCTGCTCCTTTTTGCAGTCCAACTTCCATTCTTCCAAAGCAAGAGTTTCCAAAAGCTTTAGTAACATTAGTGCCTTTCTCACTCTTTCCATGTTGATCAGGGGAAGAGAATTGCCTATCATTTATGTCATGCTCAATGAGGACACCAGAAGATTGGTTTGTCTGCAAAATTTTGGGAAAAATATTCATGTAAATAAATGAAAAAGAGAAAGAAATCAAATCTAATGTGAGTAGGAAGGAGTCCCAAAAAAACAAAAAAGCTCATCTAAGTTAAATATTTGTTCAACAGAGTCTCATACATGCAGTTGTGAAATTTGAGTAGTATTTTCCTAAACTTATTAGAGAAGAACGCTAGCAATTACTGATGAAAGATGTAAAAGCCGATAATGTAGCAGAAGCTGTAGGTCTAGAAATTCAATAACCATAGCATGAAAATAAAGCCAGCACATGAATCATAAACACGCACTCCCCAATTGACAATCCACAAACTTTCATAGATGATAATTAGGAGAAAGGAGATCTGTGTTATTGATTTTGGCCATCACTTAAACAACATACTTTGCACAAAAAGAATAATGGTTGTTATTGGCAGCAACTGGTGAGACTCCTATATTAACTAAAAGTAGACTTACAAACGTAGGAGAAGTCACATTTTCAGGAGCTGCAATGGATTTTGTTTGATTTTTACTATCCATATTTCCCATCTGCTGGCTTTTCCTCTCTTCATGAACACTAGCATTTACATCTTTCTCGGGGATTCCTCTATCTGACAATGCATCACCCTTTTTGCGGTACTTGTCTCCATCTTTGGAAGCAGGAGCTACATTTTCTTTGTCTTCTTCAGTTGACACTTCAAAGTTGCTTTGATGGTTTGTTTGAGGAGATAGCACCAGTGGTTTTTCATTTTGAATGTCATTGAATATAACCTCTAATCGAGAAAAGTCTTTGGCCAATGTAGAGAACTCCTGATTCATATCATTTTCCTGCTTCTTCTCACACCTCTTTTCTGGCAAAGGTGAGACTAAATCACGGTGTCGCTTCTTCAAAATAGATGGTGTACCAGTAAATGTTTTTGCAGCACTTTTCAGAACAGCATCTGGGCTATCATCCCTTGATGGTGAATCCCACAACCTAAATGGTGTGACATTATTCATAGAGGACATCATGAGCTGACGTATACCAAGAGGGCTATACTCCTGTTGCACATCACTGCCAGATTGTATAAGATCACAACTGAAGAATGGAATATCCAAGCTTGGAAAACGAGGGGGCTCGTAGAATAAAGCTCCCACATCCTTCTGTTCATCAGAAGTGGCCGGGTACTCTTGCACTGGTAGACAATCTTTACTGTCTTTAGATTGTGGTAAACCAAAATCATTTACAGGAACTAGTTTAGAGCAACCACTGCCCTCAGGCAGTTGCTCTTGAGTACTCATCTCACCAGTCTGATTGTTAAGCGAACTACCAGATTCATTACTATAGATAAAACCGTCATATCTACTTGGCATTTCCTCCCTCTCTAAGTTGTCAATAGCAGAATCATTGAAGAGATCCGGATCAATGCTGAACATGAGTGATCCATCATCTGAAAGGATTTGCGAAGGAACAGAAAACCCATCCGTAAGTGGAGCTCCCATCATGTCAGGATGGCAAGATTGTGAATGATAATTTCCAGCTAAAGGATCATGATAGCTTGATGTTTGATGCATGTATGAATCTGTTGCTTCGTCATTTGAGTAATTAACAGGCACCAAAGAACCATCAGGGGCTTCCATCCTGTTGTTGCATTCAGCATCCGCAGTAAAAAATTGATCTGGCCTATCTGGCCCCATGAGCATGTGTAACATGGATGTTGAAGTACCTAAATCAACACCATTCTGGAGCGGAAAGTTAGCCATGTTATGACTTTCAAAACCAGCAAAAGAATGCATAAATTGTCCAGAAGAAGAAAGCATGAACTGTGCGGATGCTTCGTGCCCCAAATTTATTGAAGACATGTCTTGCAACTCATTCTGATTAATCTGCCATTCTTTTCCCATGGAAGTTTCCCAGTCATTTGAAAAGTTGCGTTCAAGGCCGTCTTCTCGAGCATACACGTTTCTGCTGGCAATATCATTTGCAGAACTAGAACATCCAACAGCAGTAGAACCTTGACTACACTGTGAAACATCCTCCACTTCTGCAACATCTCTGGGTACACTATCATCTGCACTGCTCTGCTGCGAAGCAGTAGCAAGAGATTGATTAGGATTTACAGCACCAGGTAGGCCTTCAAACTGTGCAAGCAACCCTGAGGCCAGATAGGTGTCCAGTTTCTTTTTCACAGAACTGTTCCAGTGGTTTTTAATTGCATTATCTGTCCTGATAACCATAGAGATAGAAATTTCTGGATCAGTATGCTGAAACTCACATCAACCAGTAATCTAGAAAAATCAACCATTTTCTAAATCATGATACAGAAGAATCAATTTAACTTATTGAGCATTCTTATTTGTTCTGGTTTCAGAAGGTTAAATAACTTATTCTTCTCTCCCTTTACTAATTTTGTACCTTCCAGGCAAGAACTTTGTCAACTCGGCCCACTTGTTACCATAAATTTGATGAGCACGAATTAGAGCCAGCTCCTCTTCTTGTGTCCAAGCTTCTTTGTTAATGTTTGGGTTAAGATGGTTGTGCCATCTGGATATCCAAATAGAAAACAGGGGTCAGGAAACTTAATACTAATAGTTACAGTAGGAAGAGAAGCAAGCAACTAAAACCTAAATTGCTAACTACATAATGTTCCGGAAATAAATCTCCAAAGGAAAAACAAAATAAAATCTAAAACTGCACAGCAGCAGAAGCATTTGCATCAGAACTTCACCAGAAAGCCCTAACTTTGAAAAGTCCAATGAATAATATATGTGAAAAGCTTATCCCTCAAATTCAGGGGCAAAAAAAAGAAAGCAAAACTTATCGAGAAAAAATCCCAGAAGTAGTTTACCCTCTAACTTATTCAATACTTCAAAAAGTTTTAACAGAAAGGATGTGTAAACAATGCATCAATTGTAAATTACAATGATGAGATAGAATCACTTATAATTCACAACCTTTCCCGGCATTGTTTTCCTATCCGTCCAGGCAAATGCTGAGCAATAGTGGACCACTTTTTTGGACCATATTTGTTCACTAGTTCTATGATTATTTCATCCTCCTGTGACAAATGTAGAAGTACTTGATAAGAAACTCAAGAACTAGAGATGTTGACGCAATACATGAAAAGCATTTGAGATGAACGCAACCCAAAAAAAAAAAAGAAGCAAAAATCAGAATGTCTTACTTCCTTTGACCATGGACCTTTTACAAGTTCTGGATTGAGAACCTTTTGCCACCTGTGCAAACACTGCACATCCGTCCGATCCTTGAAACATTCGGCTACATCAAACAATAATACCCGCTTTATATTTTTTCAATTTTATCTTCGTTCAACTTTTACCAATATATATATTTTAAATATACCTAACTCATCACACATAATTAGATTATATCATTAGCTTAATGATTTGCATTTCTTTTCCCTGCTTAGAATATCTTTGAAACAATTACCACCATTACAGCATTACTTCATCGAAAAAGTTGGAAGATGAAACATTAAAGGTGGTCCTCGACTCCTGGAGGAGGGATTTAAATAGAAATAACATACCTATTTTTTTCCAGTTTTTCCCTTTAAACCGTTGCACAGCTTGCCGCAAAATTTCATCCTGTAGACAAATGAAAATCAGAATGTACGAGAGAATTTGTTGAAACTTGCAATTTGCTAATTGTTGTCAAAATGACAATTACACAAGTGAATGCCGAAGAATTTTAACAGGGAAAGTTTTGAAGAAAAAAAGCTTTTATCTACTTAATGCCTCTCGAAACACAAGCAAATGCATTCCAAAAAAAATTGAGAACTACAATTCCTGGAATGCGCCAGAAAACTAGAGTATTATGAGTACGAAATGACTTTACAACATCCTTATTACCAAGTTAAATTAAACAATCTTCCAGGTTCATAGTACAAATTCCAGGAATATTGTGATAAAGAAACACCAAGAAGACATGCAGGAAAGGTTACAAAGAGAAGTGAATGGAGTATCATCATTAGAAATACAGTGAAAATATCCTAAATCAGTAAAGAAACTTAAGAAGATGTTTAGGCACAAAGAATCAAAAAAGGGATTTAGATTCCTAGGAACAATTTAGCAATAATAACCATAGTGTGATGGGACATTGATACAAAACAATTAAAAGTTGCCAGCTTGCAACTTGACAGCATCCTCCAAATGTAAAGTCTACAGTACTAGTGAAACTACAGCATGGTAGAGCAACTGAGATTTACTAATTAATGGGAATGAATGCAAGAAACTAACTCTTTTCTTACATGTAAGGTCAGGAAACTACAATTGAGTTGTTCAAACAAAATCAATATTACCTCTTCAGGAGTCCACTGTCCCCTAGTGGAACGCCTCGTAGGGCCACTGGTTCTCCTGCAAAGCATAACATTACAATCTATCAAATTATTGCTGCAATTTAACATGACAAAAGTTTGTGTACAGCCAAATTTTTCTAAAGGGAAAACCTAAGGGGGTAAAAAAAAAAAACCCTACTACTAAACCTCGATTCAGCTGCATGGGGTAATTTATATAAATTGTATCTCGTCAGCATGTTCAATCAAACTATTTATTTTCGAAAGTGAATAAGCTCTCTATCTTCTGCTTGCTATGATGGTGCACACAAAGTTTCCTTACCTAAATGTCAAAACTAATTAAAACACTTAGTTTTCCATTCCTCACCCAATGAGCGCCCCCAAACCACCACCAACATCCACCCAGACATTCTCATTTTTTGCTTTCACTTCAGTAACAACAAGTCTCCAGCACTCAGATCCATGAAGCATAATTGGTCTTATTGCTACTTCTGTTGCTGTTTTATACAGTTTCCAGATAAAAGGAACAAAGGTGAAAGAATCCAACTTTGGTATGTGGAACACATTAGCTGCCTACTCAAGGGAAAGCGGGAAACTATTTTCCCATGTCACAAAATTTATTTCAAGCAACGCAGTGCAGAACATTGGTGTCGAAGGAAAAGCTTTGATTGCAATAAAATCCAGAATTTAACTTTAAAAGGTGACAGATAAAAGACTTATAACTAGTTGATGGCTTTTAAGAAGTTTGCACAACTTACCCATGAGGAGGTCGAATTCTTGGTAGATTATCACTCCCACCATCTGAAGGGGCGGTGCTCGCCCTGTCACTTTGCATACTTAATTGACAAGGATGCAAATCTGCATACCCCAATTCCTACTCGTCGATAGCACTCCCCACAGTGTCTGCCCCAATGCATTATAGGTCACCCAAAAAAGTAGCAAGAACTTCCCTGTTATTTGAGGACATTACAAAGGATAAATGTTATGCAGAAACACATAATTCCTAGGTCAAAAACTGAGGAAAAGGGGAAAAAGAAAAAGGAAGATCTGTTTTGGTTTGATCAAACTAAACTCAACATGCTAATTGGTGAATGAGTTACACTTATGGCACTTGAATCCCAAAAAAAATAAATAAATAAATAAAGCCATGAAACTCCGGCAGGGCTACAAATTCAAATTTGTCACCCACTTTTGAAGAAAACATTAAAAAAAATAAAATAAAAACTCCACCAAGACCAAACTCCATTTTTGAAACGCCCGAAAATAATATCAAACACTTTGGTAGCTACACAAAAGTTTCAAAGTTTTATAAATTCACATGCTCTTTTTGGTTTTTTTTACCAAATCAAACACCTGTAACCCACAGTCAGCTGTATATGTACGAAACACAGAAAACTCCAAAGAATTAATACATAGCAAAGAGCAGCAATGCAAAATTAGCTCCAATCCATAGATATTAGGGCTTTAGCTAAAAACCAAAAGTCTTCCAATTCAAAATAAACACACCAATTAATCACTAACTTAACCCCCAAAAGAACGAAAAAAAGATCAGAACAACAATAATGGCATCAAATTAAGGAAATTAACCAAAAACAAGGGAGGAAAACATCAAGGAAAGGAAACAAAGAACAAAACCTTACCGAAGTAACTTCATAAAAGTCAATGAAAACGATCCAATCAACTCGATTCGGCAAAGCAGATCCCGGAATTGTTCAAATTCAAGCAGCAATCACAGTTTGTATACCTACAGTCTACCAGAACAACAGAGGGAAGATCTGCGAAATGTTGAATTGAATTGGTTCAGATAGAGAGAGAGAGAGAGAGAGAGAAAGGAACAGTGACTGTGTGAGTGTGTGCTTTTCTAGAGAGAGAAATGGGTTAAAAAAAAAAAACGGTCCTGAGAATTCAAACGTAGGATGGAGGGGCGGACCTATGGAGTTTAAACCCCCTGTTGTGTAAGAGAGAGAGTCAAAGACTGAAGCAAATTATTAATTTGGGTTGGACGGGTCGGATCTATCCACGTGGCAATTCGGTGAGATCTATTTTAGGAATTTATTCAAATTTTTGAGTATGGCAACGGCATCATATATATAAATTGACTTTCTCTCCTCTCTTTCGCTTTTTAGCTGCAATTAATGTTGTTTTTAAAGAGGAACCGTATAATTAAGGATTTTTCAGGTTCTACATCGTACTAATGACAATTAAGATATTACGTTGTCGTTTAAAAAAAAACAGTAGATTGCATTTGGTAAATTTGAATATTTCCCTCTGGACGTTCAAATCTAACATTAAGTTAGTTAATTAATTAGTATTGAAATCATAGATATGAAATATTTCGATCGGATTTCCTGTAACAGTTTAGTAGTTTGATTTTTCGAATCGTATTTCATTGTAATACTTTGTAAGAAATTATGTACTATTCCTTTTATCCCGAAACTATTGTTTAGTTTAAATTTTCATTTTTAGTTCAATCTGTGTTAAAATTGAAAATCCAAACTGAAAAATAATTTTGAATCAGGTAGTATGTCTTTTCAAATACTCATCTTTTATTTTTTAAAATAATTAATTGAAACGGCAAGAAATTGCGAATGAATTTAACAAGAATTAATTAAAATGTGTAAATGTTTAAGAAAGAAAATTTCTCTTTTCAAAAATATTAGTCCACGTTAAGTTTTGAACTTTGTACTGTTTATATTGAGTTTTAAGATAAATCTCAAAATTTAATGTTGATGAATTTTTTGGATAGAAAAAAATACTATATTGAGAATCATGCGGCGAATCCCTTAAGGTTGATTGAATGGGATTATGTGACTTTATGAATCACATAAATCCACTCAATCATTTTAAATAGAGCAATGATAGAGGTAGTGACCACTTATAGTGAAAATGTTTCGTGACTAATAAAAAGAACAAGTACACTACACTTACTAAATATATTACTTGTTAATTAAGGGTAAAATATAATTTTATGGGAAATATATAATTTCAACGGTTAAGTAACTAAAAAATAAGGGCACATAATTACTCCACATTAGTCACTATATTTTGTCACTATTTTTCTCACTATATATATATATATATCATTCTCCTTTTAAATAATTATTCATTTTAAATTTTATTTTTAATAAAAATTGTATTTAAAGTAAAAATTCAAATAATACAATCAGACGGATAAATTTTTACTCGATGACTCGAAATGGTCCTTGTCTCAAGAGACATATAGTCTTATTTATTCTTTATTGTTGATCACATTTTTAATCATCCTCAAAATCTAACATCAGCAATGCTCAATGAAATACTCGTGGCATAATAAAGTTGTAAAATCCACATCAACAATCCCGAAGTAAATTACTAAATTACACTACAATCTCCACAAACTAATACTCAATAAATTGATCTCCTCTTAGATAATATCATAACTCGATAATTTCTTCAAGTCATATATAATAAAAATAGAGAAATCCAATAAAGAATGAGTTTTTTTTTTCTTGGAATTTATTATATCTTTTTTCTCCAAAAGCGATAATATTTTCATGATAAAAAAGTTTACAACAATGCATTCACAAAAGTTAATACAATTAGTTTAAACGACTCTTCTAGTTACAAAAGAGACATGTGCATCTTAACTTTACATACATATATTAGATAAGTCTAATTCAACAAGATTATGACAAATAGAATTATACTCTCCTTACACACACACTCTTCTTACACACACACAAAAAAAGGATTACCTTGGCTACATTGGCGTGTTCGGTGGGGCGGCGCAGTCAGGGCAGGTTGGTGACCTGCGATTCCGGTAGCCGCGGGAGTCGTTTAATTTATCATGAGGGGCGAAGCCCCCCAATTAACATGCCGTTTGTTTCTTTACCTCTGGTTCAAGATCCGGTTAACCAGTTTACAACTTGTGGATAACAATTAACAGTTCAGTTTGTCGATGCCATATAGAATCAAATGTAAAAAAAGCATGGATAACCAGTTTACAACTTCTGGATAACCAGTTTACACCTTCTGGATAACCTGTTTACACCTTCTGAAATGACTAGTTTACAACTTGTGGATAACCAGTTTATACCTTCTGGATAACCAGTTTACAACTTGTGGATAACCAGTTGACACCTTCTGGATAACCAGTTTACACCTTCTGGATTACCAGTTTATAACTTGTGGATAACCAGCAATTATGGCATGGACAACCATCACATAGCACACGCAGGAAAATATGGATAACCAGTTCAGATCTAGTGGATAATCAGTAACAAAATTATGGATAATCAATAAATTATGGATAACCAGCAATTGTGTGTGTGCGTGAGGATAAAAACAGTAAAATGGATGAAAACAATTTTGTTTGTGCATTTAATGTAAAGGTGAAAACAGTTGAGCGCGTGTAGCGCGGGTATTTGGTGGGGGGTATACGGTACACCCGGGTACACGGGATACGGACTCTAAAAAATGTCCTTAATTATGGAAATCATATTTGTAATAGGAGAAGATGTCCTTAGAAATTTACTACGTCGGGTGAGCTACATCTCTTCCTTTTCTTTTTTCTTTTTTTTCCTTTTTCTTCATTTGTTTTTGGAATGCACTCCCAAGTGCCCAACACGAATTTCATTGAGGTGGATTGATTTTCTAACAAGATTCAAATGTTATTGCATAGCATTCTGGCTGATCAGAATTTAAAATGATTATTCCAGTGAATATTACAGAAAGGAAAAGAAAAATAACAACGCTGCTAACGTGAAGTCACAAGTGTCTAATCAAAATATACCATGAGCAAATCTCGCATTGTAATAGGTTAATTTCGATTTGGATTAGTAAAAGTTGGAACAGCCTGATTTGGATTGTATATCGATGCCGATTTGGATTGATTTTCTAAGAAGGTTCTTAATAAGGCGAGAGAGGAGTTTCCCAGGGAACCTGCTATTTGGTTAACTGCAGCCAAGTTGACGAAGTTAATATGGGAATAATTCTATAGTCGGTGACGGGTTATCGAAAGGGATATTAGGGTTTTACAGAGAGAAGGTTTGGAGATTGACGGGGGATTTTGGAGGAGAGAAGCTGAACCTGCTGGATCAGTCGAAACTCTGTAACTTGTCACGCAAATCATTCATAAACCCATGGTACTGCGGCAATATTTTAATATGGAAATAGAATTCAAAATTTGCTACACCATAGTTGTTAATGCAGGTCGGCATACAGGTAAAAGGCACTAGCACCATGGCTCAAAATTGGCGTTCTGTTCCACAACAGAACCTCTAGAGCACAGCAAAAGTGATTGACCTACACAACAGCACTCTCCCTATGCCCCAACCTTCTGGAACTTGTTTGGGCGACTCCCTGAATCATTTTCCCTACTGCGTGAATTCTTCCACCCGCGGTTGTTTCTTCCACCCCTGAGATTAAATTACACAATGAACTTATAACAACCTCCAAACTCAAATAGGATATAACAGAAGTGTCTTGGAAGAGATGCCCATAAACAAGGAAACAACAGATTTCTACCTTCCTCGGTTGCCCTTGAAATTTCCTCGGTTTCTATCAGGCTGGCCACTGCGGAGTAAACTCCAGTATTCCTTCTCTGCGTCACCTGCTCACGAAGAAGGAAACAATAGTTAGATGCACAAGTTATTAGAAAATATAGTACAGGACAAATTTAGTTGGCAGTGTGGCCACAGCAGAAAGCATAACCAAATCAATTTCATTAAGAATACACCCACAGCACTTGAGTTATAGAAGGGGTTGACTCAGATTGCAACATCAGGCTTTTCGCTAGGTACTACAGAAACTACACTACATAGATACTTACCGGTCACAGGATCCAATATAGCAATGAAATTTTTTACTATCAGACCACCTTCCTCAGCAAGTACAGCAGCAGCACGGGCTTTCTGACTCCCCCCTTCATCTTCGAACCGAACATATCCAGTCTCTGACCCCATCTTGAAATCAACGAACTACGCACCACAAACAATAGCACGTAAGAACAGAATTACAGATAGAAAGTAAAAATTTCAAACAACCACTATGTACAAGTCAACACATCATCAAAGATGTCGGTTAAACATGAATAAGGAAGAGGTGGTGAAGGCAAAAGATAGTGCAGTGGGCTTTTCCAACCAACTGAAGTTGGTTAGCTAAATCAGTTCAGCAACTGCCAAAACTAAACTAAAGCTCACGCTTCAAATTCACCATTAATTAATGGATATGGAACAAAAACTCATAAACTTAAGCCAGGACACCAAAACTGTGAAAAGCAGCTTTCATGACAGAGTTGTTAACAGAAAGGCGAGAAAAATAGAACCAATAGGTTAATAGACAAAAGGCTGTAAGTAAATGAACTAACAGAAAACTTCAATATACCTTTACAGTTCCAAACTTTCCAAACAGAATTTTAAGATCCTCGCGCAAAACAACATTTTTGTCGTCTTTGAAAGATGAAGCAGTTGTCTTTTTCTCAGTTGAAGCTTGTTCATCCTTTTGAACAATGCTAGACTTCTCCACAGAATCAGATACCTCGGGTCCAGTTTCCACACCATCATTCTCTTCATCCTTTCCTTCACCCTTCTCAACATTGTCATCATTTCCTTGATCATTTTCAACATTTTCAGATTCCAAAGATATCTCGGCAGTTTTCTCATGTGCACCGTTTTGCTCTGAATTTCCTTCTGGTGAGATGCTTTTGAGTTTGAAGGCTAGAATTAAGCCTTTAGGGTAGCTGCCATCATGACATCCATTAATAATATACTAAAGTAAACTTCAGGAACCACAAAAGATAACACTCAAATAATACTCACTCTTCTTCAACACTTTTACGATGTGAAGAAGACTGAGGACGGGATTTGAATTCTTCTTCTTCCTTAGCTCTTTCTTCATCAAAGGTCTTCCTGTATGAATATAAGAAAAAGTTTAGGAGGCTGAACAATATGATGATGATACATAGATATGTGATCTCTTTAAAACACCATTCATTAACTAGTAAAACAGATCACCAATTCTACATGAAAACGATAGGAACCCCTTCTCTTACTGGTAAAGGGAAGTCAACTGCCAAATCAATTCTAAATAAGAAATAGATGTAAAAGAAATTTCAAATGGAAATAAGAGAGACAAACACATGTTCAAAGAAGGTTACATAACAGGAAAACAGTTCAAGGAACATTTTCTACAGTTAAACAACAATCCATAACGTATATATTATAGCTCCAGCCACCAATAAGCACATCTTACTTTTGTTTTAACTCTAAATCAATTCCAGAATAGACAACACTTTGGTCCAAAACTTTTGCAGCATCTTCCTCTGAAGAGAATTCAACAAGTGCTGTCCCACAGAATAATCTCTTATCATTAACATGACGAGGAAGCCTCACACTGTTAACCTGAACCCAAAAAAAAAGCTTTATTTCAAAATCAAACTAAATATATCATTTAAAAGTCAAACAACCAAAGGAAACTTCCAAACAAGCCAAGGGTAAGAAAAAGCTCCAGCCCATGCATTTAAAAGATACCTTCCCAAACTGACCAAAGAAGGCCTCTACATCTTCAAGCTTGACATCATACTCCAGTGGAGATGCAGCAATAGTTCTACTGTCTAATTGCTCTATAACCTCATCTGGTTTTGCCAGTTCAGTGACCCTTCCAACCTTTTTCCCTGAGATAACCAAAGGACAGAATGCACGTCAATCACAAAGGAAACAATGGTTCAAACACATAGAAGTACTTTGCAAAATTCTCACCATCTTCAGAAACTTTAAGGAAAGAAGAAGTCCGCAAAGTTTCAGCAACAGACTGAACTGTATCATCAGAAACATCTTCAGGCTTTATATCTCCTAACCCCAGATGCCCTCTCATACGGGAGAAGGAGCACAGTAAAGCCAAACTAACCACTAAGATTTTAGTTAAGAAGAACATACTAACCCCAATCAGCCATTAAACAAAGCAACTCCAATCCACAAAGGGTCGTAACAATTTTCAACATTATCATTCCAACCAAATAAAAATCGTTCCTCAGATTATTCATTCAGCACAATTAATCGGGTCAAGAATCACGCTTCTATGCAATCCTATGTAACCGCATTGACGTCGCAGAACAGATACTGACTCACTGTTATGAGGCAAAAGATTGGATTTAATCATCGGCAACGTGAATAACTGAATCCCTAATTGAAAAAAAAAAAACAGAGAAAATGCAAACATGAACAAGAACAAAGGATACTTCCATCTTCGCTCTCACTGATGGTTTCCCTGAGAAATTTATCCCTCGGAAGATTACTATCACTGAAGTAAAACTCTACCTGCGAAATTCAAAAACGAATCCCGTGAACGCACGAACGATACAACGGAAGAAAGAATACACAGACTCCATTTCAGTGGTAAAAAAAAAAATCGAAAAACAATTTAGAGAGGCTGCTGAGAAAAGGGTTACCTGACGAATGACTTTTTTTGAGGTTTCCTCATCCAAAGGTGTCTTCGCCATTGAATTTGATTGAAGTAAGCAGGTTTAGACAAACAGAGAGAAGAGAGGAGGAGGAGGAAGTGACTAGGGTTTTTGGAGAGTTTGCTTTCTTCTCTAGAAAGTGGTTATGAGGCTAATTGGGGGGTTTAAGAGTCCTCGCGAAGCAAAGGAGTTGCAAAATTGATTAGTTTTAGGAAATTACAAATGTGCCTCGAAACTTTCAAAAGCATAACAAGATGATCCCTGCCTAAATACAGTAGTAGACGGGCTTGTTAACAAACTCTATTATCTTATTGTTAGTTTTAATATATTGATCCATCCTAAACTTAACCTGACACTATCCATCCCATAATAATAGTCACTTTGTATACATATTTTATTGTTCTTATTAAAAAAAAGAAAAGAAAAAGAGAAGATAGTATTACACCCTGCACACACACCTTTCAATGTTTGTAAACCTTCCTTAAAAAAGATTTTTAAAACAATATCCTTAATCACAAAGCTGCTTACACTACCAAACTTTGAGCATATCCTTTTCATTGTTTGAAGAGACAGATTGTTTCATTTTTTGCAGTAAGTAAAGTTTGATGATTGATGTAGAACCACCCAGGCTCCCACAGTCCCTCCCACTCGGGGGGCTTAATTCCTTTAGCCGTTTCATTCACCATTTAGCTAGATACAGCCTTCACAGCAGACTCATCATCTTACTTTCACAAATAGTTAGCTCGGCGAATTGTACATTCTCGGTATAAATGTGGCAATTCTACATTTTCTCTGAACTACTAGCGCTGTCACATAAATTGCACTGCATTGTATGCTTGGTAATTAAGGCTTGGAACATGATACTCTTCCCACACAATCTCCATGCTCTTGTTCAGGATGAACCTGACTGATGACCTTTCTACCATAGTTTTCGCTGTTCCATACGAAATAATTTTGACACAATCACGAAATATAGATATTCATAATCCGAATCCCTAGTGTACAAACAATCAATTAACTTGCAAAAAATTTCAGTGATCAGTCTTGTTTCCAAGCGTAAGAGGTACACTTCAGAAAGAATCCTTTTCTACACCATACTTATTTGTATGCGAAATTGCTACACAATCACCTGATCTCCACATCACCATCAATACCCCCAAAACTCCCATCCCTCCCTGTGGTGTTTCGATTTCATAACCGCCGCCCAAGACATGATAGGATATCTGCATTTTTTTGGAGCTAGGAGAGAACGAGCAAACAGTTCAATTGTCTAAAATCACATGAAGTCCTCTTCCAGTTCTTGCAGGGTCTTGTTAGTTGATGCAATATCCTTATTAGAAGTCATTTTTTCTGCCACCATCAAATTCTTGTAGCTCCTTAACTCAGCCTGTCTCTCTTTTTCAAGCCTCTCTAAATCTTCACGTCGTTTCTGCACCAACCATTCATTCAGCGATTAGGAATTGAAGTTATGAAAGAAAGATAAGAGGCTTCAATATCATCATTTTTAGACTTGATCCCAGAAAGTAAAAGTTCCATGAATAGAGTCATCAAGATGAGATCAAACGAGCAGAACTACCAGCTGATCTTATGCTACGAACAATTCCAGAACAACATTATATTGAATTAACAGCTGATCCACACCACAGGGGTGGAAAGAATTTTTACACTTCAAAAATATTTTACATATACAGTTGGTCAACAGCAGTTTCATCTCACTCACAAGAAAGTGCAAGTAACTGTCAAGTCATTATTTAGCCTTGCTACTCTTGGAACATTCGCAAAAATCTTTAGGATGACAGCCAACATTGCAAAGCAAAACCAGAAACAGATTAAGGAAAACAGAAACAGAATTTCCAGCAGAGAGAGAAGAAACATAAAATTTGATAAAAACCAGGTCACAAAATGTGTAAAATTTATCTAGCATAAAATAAAGGCGGCTATTCCCAAAGGTAGCAGCAACAACAACCTACAATATAAGTAAGGCATAAGCGCTAATGAACAACGATAAACTAGAAATGAAACAGTACAAATAATGGTAGATCCTTGAATTACATTTCTTCTATTTATTCTGCAGGAACAATTCCAAGGCATTCTAACTAATATACACAGGAAACATCTAACAAATACCCAAAAAATCCAGTATAACCAAAACATAGTCAAACATGCCATGCCGTAACTTCACACAAAGTAATGAGCAGAAGAGAGACCCCAATTAGTTTCTATTATACAACAAGGTACATTCCCATTTCTAAAGTAGTGGTCTTATCCAGACACTGACAGACCATCAAATTGACATAAAGCTACTGCAGTGAAGCAGATTAATAAATAAATAAAAAAGGCAAGTATCTTATAACAGATCACATGTTTTTCTCCATATTTTACTTCATTCTGAAGGTCAAATGCAAATCTTCAGTTCAACATGTAAACTGCAAGATCATCTCTATAGATCAAGATTACTGGATAGTACTTACTTTTTCTCTCAGAAAATTTTTCCTTTCTGCTCTTTCAGCTGCGTTTACAGCTTCTCTCTCAGCTGAGCGGAGAAAAGAAAAAGTGGATTACACAATTATGCAGGACAAAATGTACATTAACAGAAATGAAGAATAAAAAGCAAAGTACATGACAACAGTGAATTTCTTGGCATACCTTTGAGATCCGGCTTCCTCTCCACTTTTGTCCGGTTTAATCTATTAACAATCTCATTTATTCTTTTCTCCACCTTCACTGTACGAACCTATGGGAACCAAATGAGAACGCGGAGGTGAAATTTAACATCCAGCATTTACAGAAAACACATCCAAACACTTAAAATTTGTATAGACTCACCATTTTTGAATTGTAAAAACCAACTTGTCCAACATCCATGGAAGCAGTCTTCTTCAGATTCTGCCAGGGGGTGTAAACAACATCAACATTGTTCACCTTATTTCCTGCAACATTACAATTCCACTTATTACAAGAATAACAAAATAAGAAAGAAAAAACAGTCTACAGAAATTTATCGCCTCCCCCTTGAATATATGGCTCAGTAAGTTCCATCTTTCTTGTTCAACCACAAAGAAATAGTCCATTTTCAAAGAAACTACTGCCATAGAAAGGAACTCCCTTTCTTCATCTTTTTTTTCACCAATCAGAGTAGATATAATAAAAGAAAGTTTGAAAATACCTTGAATGGAATTCGCTTTGACTAATTGTGCACAATCTTCCAGTACACCCTCAGGTATATCATCAATTGTCTGGCCCTTGTTCAGTCTCAGGTAGACATGGGCGGAAGACATTTTGTCCACATGGAACCTGTAAGAACATCAGCATTCTTTTAAACAAAGAAAGAAAAAGGAACAAGCTCTTTAATTAGAGAAAATAATGCAAGACCATACAGCCTCGGCGAAACCAAAAAGGCGAGGCTTTATGAAGCCAAACGGACTCTTTCACAGAAACTCAAAACAAACATGACAAGTAATCAACAACACCATCATCTTTTGATCACTACTGCAAGGAAAACCGAAGTTAACAATTATGTAAAACTTTCTATAACCTAAAACACGAAGAGTGTCAAGCATCCCAATCATCCTGCTCAACCACCAAAAAGCACCATCCAACAAGCCTCACAAGCAAGTCGTTCCATCAACAATCTCCACGAAGCAATAATTTTTCAATTAAAAATCAAACCAATCAACAAGCAGAAAACCCACCCAAACGATAGCAGGACAAGGCAATAACAACATGGAAAAAGGATCGAATTGCACTTAAAAAAAAAAACTCCATATCAGCAGCAAAGATACCAAATTTCACAACTAATTTCAACTTTAAAGCTCAATCAACATGAATCATCGACACGGAAAAGAATTAGAAAAAATTACCAAATATCTTCGATGAAACCATATTTAATGAGCTCCTCGTTCTCGTACTTGTCGAGGCCCATGAAAATTGTGTAATCTCCAGCCTCAGGCCTTGCTTTGAAGTAAAACACCATCTTCTTTATCCTGAAAGAAAGAATTCAAGGAGAAAATTCTAGGGTTTCGATTTTCCCCCTTTATTGATTTTGGAAGAACCTTCCTTTCCCCTCTTTTGTGCGGTTAGTGTTGAAAATTATACTGTGTGCTTTGTAAGGACTACTTTTATTTAGAGATTTTTAAAAATTTCTGACACGTCAGTTATATGTGGATGCACGAACTAAACGCTGACGTTTCGTGTACAAGAAAATCTGCCCACAACTTTCGGCCGATTCAAACATTCTTCAATGACTTTTTTTTTTCTTTTTTTTTTTGCCTTTTCATTTTCATGTCGATTATGTCACATTACAAGATACAGTTTAAAATTCGTCTGAATTTACTTGTATAATGAAAATATATACGAGAAGTTGCACTTTGCTATCATCCAACAAAATGGTAAATTCAGATATAGAATACTTGAAAGCATTATACTGTAGAATGTATTGACCTACAAAAATACCTATGATCTTTGGCTATTTTGCTTTGTAAGGCTTCTAAATTTGCCCTCAAAATTACACTATCACCGAACAATGTAATCGAATACTCAACAAAGTGATATATAGTACTTGTTGCAGTCAAAAACAGGACAAAGAAGGGAGTCTTCAGTATTGTCTACATTAACATGGGTATCACATAATGGAAACTAACTAAAAACAGAAGACCTCTCTGAGGATTTCTTGCCGAAGATGGCTTCCCAAACCAGTGGCAAGAACGGGCCTTTCTTTTCCAAATACTCTTTTACTGCTTTTTCATTAAGGCAAAAACCTTTCTGGGTCAATTTATTTATCATGGTCTGCGCCTCCTCCAAACCGTTTTCCTTACAATATACATCCACCAAGCCGATAAAAGTAACCACATTTGGGGAATGCCCAGAATCCAGCATCTCAAGACAAAATTCTGTAGCGTCATCCAATCTCTTTACTCTGAACAAGCCCTGGATCAGGGTTCCATAACTAAAAGCATTTGGAGTGATTCCGAGGCTCTGCATTTTTCTGAAAATCCTGATAGCTTCATCAGGTTTCTGTGCCTTGCAGAAGCCCTCGACAACAGCAGTGTATATGACCACTTCAGGAATGGTACCTTTCTCACGCATTAGTCCAAAAAGCTTCATTGCCTCCTGAATTAAGCCATCCTTGCACAAACCATCAAGCATCGCCACGGCATTGGGAATTAGCCCAGTTTCCTTCATCTTCCTAAATATCTCATCAGCATCTTCAGGTAGTTGAGATGGAGAAGGTGACTCAGCAGCAGCTTGATCACTCTTATCTCCCTGTCTCTGACTGTTATAAGTGGGTTGCTTATCAGAAATATGTGATTTATTCCGGTCAAAGCCAAGCCTGAATTTTTCTAGGAAATCAGAATCCTCTAGAGCACCCATCTCTCTTCGAGGATTTTCTTTCTCCCCAAACTTAAGCCGATTGTGTTGTTCACTTTGGCGGCGAGCTTGACTTTCATTTTCCCTAAATCTAGATTGGGTCCGTTCCAGATTTTGATGTCGAGTAGATGGATAGCCAGGCATCCTCTTCTCACCTCTTAAAGGCCTGTTAGGTATGGGTTCAGGAGGATTATCATAGCTATTGTTGTGGTGCTGAGAAGAAGAGGTTTCTGAATCTACATTGCGGAATGTACTTAACGAGCGAGTAAACTTCATGGCTAGCATATTAGGAAAAGAATTAGAAAGCAAGTTCTGCAGGTTGGACCCTGTTTTCCGACAAAAGCTACGGCTTCTCCTCAAAGCCGCTGGAGTGTCTTTTACAATATCAAATTGTGCACTTTGATGGCCTGGTTGAACAAGCCTGCAGCACAATTGGAAAGTAAGAAACTTCCAGGCAATAATGATAGAGGTAATGCAGCCACCTAATGAAAAAAGGGGGAAAATCCAGATTCTTATGAAAGCACAAAAAACTTGAAAACCAAGCAAGCTATTCAGTAACAATCGGCTCTCCATTTTTTTTGGCATAAAAGAAAGATTTTCCCAGTCAAACTCAAACCATATTCACCTGTTCAGCTATCCCACTTCTCAAAATTGCCTACGCTGATGAAAGGATTCGTAATAAATAAATAATCGCATTTACCCCAAAAGAACACTCTTGCTTCTTCACATTGCTAGTAGAGGTATTGATCATTCAGACATCCTAGTTCTAATTGCACAAGATACTAACATGATTTCCAATGAATATTTCGAATGAAGGTTAACCCAACAATCAAAATATCAAAGATCTACAGTCAGGCATTTCATCAAACAACAGGAATGCAACAAAATTGTTGTTTTCCACCGCGATCAAAACGAAACAGAAACTGGAATAGAAGTGTACCTTTCTTCAGAAAATGTAATAGGAGGCGGTCGGTAACGGGAACGGGAGGCTCTGATAGCAGAAATAGTCCTCGACGTCGCCATTTTAGCTGTATATTGAAATAAACCCTAAAACCTCTCGGGGAGTTGATGGCGGGTTTTAGACTGGACGAGCTGGCGAGGTGTCAAGTGCAAATTTTAAGTATTCCGAAGTTCGCAGATATTTGCTATGTCTCCTCAAATTTATCCTAAATCATAATTGTACCCTAATCTTTTCGGTATGAAAATTTCATACCGAGAAATTGTTATGGAGAGAAGTTACAATTAAATATTTTTTGTTCTTTTTTCCGACAAAAAGAAATTTTGAAGTATTTAAGCATTTTTCTCGTGGCATTTTGTCTAGGCAACATAATCATATTACATTTTGTGTTGGCACTTAGTTAGAATATGCTCATGTAAGTCAAATGCAACCCGAGCTGTTTCTTCTTATCTATAAAACCATTACCACATCAAAGGTTGTCCAAATATCATGTCGTTTAGCAGCAGGGACGAAAAAAACTTTAACAAATTTAGTAACTATTTTTAGAAATTCATAGCATAAAAAAACAAATAAGGTAATTTGACAAATGTAAAGATTTATTCATTTATGTGAATTTTTGAGAGAACGTGAAGGATAAAAAATGGTTAATTGTTTTTATTTATCACCTTTCAAGTGATATAGTATCTAAAAAGAGATATAGGATGAAAAGACATTTAGAAGAAACATTCTAAAATTGTACTATTTGGGACAATCGATTAAAAATGAATATTCAGACAGAATAATTATTTTTGGGAGAATAATAAATGAATTAGTGGATACTATATTGCAGATACAATGCATTAATAGCGCAACATGTGAATAATGTTCACATCAATCAGCATACATTTGGGTTATTACGTTTTCATGCATTATTGCGTTGGAGGATAAGAAAAAGATTCAAAAGCCTCCAATTATTTAACTTGAGAGTTTAAAATTAGATAGTCGAAAAGGATATAGTATCTACCCTATCCACGTCAACTTGACTCGATAGTACGATTTGGTCCAAGCAACAAAGATAGGAATCTGAGAAAACTCTCATGATCCAATCTGGTTTGATCAACTAGCTACTCAAAACCATGACCTAACATGGTGATTTTGATTGTATAAATTAAAAAAATAAAGGAAATAATTCTGTTCTTTTATGAATAGCAACGGGATCGTGTTTGATTGTTGTTAGTTACTTTCACATCTAAGTCATCACAATTTTATGGATCGTGATTTTCATGTTATGATTGCGTTATTTGTGCTCGAATCACAAGTTAACGTATTTTCTTATCGTATCACAGATTACCATTTACAATTTTCTATCTTAATTAGGTTTTATAATTCTCATTTAATACTCCTCCGATCCTTAATATAAGACATTTTGATTTGTCTTATATTTAACCTAATACATATTTTTAATTGACGAAAAAACCTTTAAAATATATCATAACAATCAAGAGAACACAACCAATGTAAAAATATATTTTTAAATTTTTTTTGTCAATTAAAAATGTGTACTAAGAAAGATTTAGAAAAAGTCAAAATGCCATATAAGGACCGGAGGGAGCAACATGTATTTCAAGTGGTTGGCAACAGTTGCAGAAAAGTCTTTCATTAACATCCAGACATTAATTTTCACGTATCCTGTAAACTGTAAGTTGAGAAAGAATACAATTTTGAGGCTATTCTTGTAACTGGAGGAGGCACCATTCTTAACCTTTGTACCTACAAAGGTTCTCAAATCCCATGTATTCATGGCGCTCGATCTTCCCAATCATGTTTGAAATGCCCACTCCACCTGTTCAGACAGAACAGAATAAAACTCTTTTAGACTACGGAAACATGAAGCAGCTTCTGAGAAGAATGTGCTTTGCTCATAACCAATATATTTCTGAAAGAAGAAGTTAATTTACCTAGAGAGATTGCACTGACAAAGATGGTGAAGGCCAGTATAAAGATAATCAGTGACGCTCTACCCAATAGAAGGATGAACCTTCGCACAACATGTTGTCCGATAAAAGCAGCAACAGTGGCGACAGCGATGAAGTAAAGTGCTGTTAAACAAATCCAACACAATCAATCATTTAACATTTTAACTAGTCATAGTCTAGATTTGCTTATAATACCATACTTCTTGAATTAACAGGATTGATTGTACAATAGTGAAGGTTCAAAACATAGTCTTACCATAAGGAACAGGAAAACGTTTTAGCAGATAGTATTCGACAACTGACATTGATGAGGAGAACATCATTGCAAAGGTGGCGGTTGCACTTGAGACCTGCATTGAGAGTTAGTTCAAGAAATACTTTTGGCCCAGATACTAATTGACATTAGAGACATTAAACACAATGATGAGCACAGAAGAAAAACATAAGTTGGGAACAGGTCTCACAAGCACCCACTCTTTTTTCAGATCACAGCCTTACAGCAAAGCTCTGAAGCAATTACCTGAGGAGGTACTCCCAACTCCAAAAAGAGTGGACCCATTATAAAGCCTCCGCCAAGACCAAGCAGTCCTCCAACTACACCAGCCAATACACCAAAGAAGCAATAAGTAACCAGTTGGTGAGCTTTTAAGTTGGTGCCAGCATCTCCTTTTGATGCAATAGTTCTTGTTCCCTTGTACAGGTTGATTGCTTCATATGATGATACTCCCAAAGAAACTGGTATCTACAGCCATTCCAGTGAAGTTAGTGGATGCTTAAATTGTTTTTTTGAATATCCAAATTTAAGTTCTTATCATATTTTTAAAAATAATTGTAGCTAGCAACAGTACCTGAAGCAAATTGACCACCCAATATATCGCTGAACACGTAGTTGTATGGTTCTGTTTTTACAACACAAAGCCCGGTTAACCATGAAGTTGAATAAGCTCATTGCACTATATTGGAACAGAGGAAGATTCAATATAGTTCAAAATGAAGGTTTTGAAGACAGAACCTTGACAATTTGCAGAACAAGGAAAGCTATCCACACGAAAGATAGGAGTCCAAATTCGTTCCAGGAAACATTCTCAATGATGGAGACCTATATCAAGAGATATATAAGCATCCAATCCTCTTGATCATAAATTAACTTCCGAGAGAAAGCTCACCTCTGGTTCGACAGGCTCCTTCTGTGTATCATTCCCAGGGCCACTAGGAAGAAGCTTGTATTCTGCTTCTCCCTGACCATTACCTGATACGATAAGATTAGCATGCTTTAGTTGGGGTGAAAAGGAAAATTTCATAAGAATTCAATAAAGGCCATTAAAATTGATGAAACATGGAAACAATGTCAATCCACTTACTATTTGCTTCCAGACGCTTTGCAGCTTCCTGCAATCAGATCATCATCAGAAGTTAGAACTAAACAAGAACCTACTTGCAGCTCATAATGTGTAGCATGCCGAACAATTGTAAGTATTCATATTGTTTAAAAGAAGTTTCCAAAAACATCTTTCAGCAGAATGACAGTGTAACTAGGCACCTACATTGTGCCTTTTAAACAGACAAATGGAAAATGAAGATCAAATAATCCCAATGTAATCTAACGTATATATTTACACCAAAGCTGTAGATGATGTGTAATCCAGACAACCTTTTTCATTATGGTCTCCTTTTTCCAAGTTTCAACACCCCTGAGAAATGCCTTCGTTGATGTGCCTGAAAATGCAACATAGATTCAGTTGAATGAAGCACAATACACGGCAATTTGGGAAACAAAAGCCTTGAGATTTACCCAGGAAGAGGATGATTAGAAGGACTGTAACCATCCAGTCAGCAAAAACAACATTAAAAGCAACTCCGATGCTTATGCCCATCATGAGCATTGGTTGAATAAGAACTGCTAAATCATAATCGATAACGGGCATATCAAGTGTTGGATGTCTTAACTTCAGGTTATAATAAACAGTCGAAACTGAAGCTCCCATTATCATACCTGAAGGTGCAAATGACACAAAAGTTAACAACAAAAGATATCATAACTTTCAACTGGGTTCATACATGAAATGACACGCTCTTGAATGGTGGTAATATAGGGTCTGTTATGTCTTTCCAACTTCTACTAAGATAAATTATGTGGCGATGTTCTGAAATGAATTGTGTTTCATATGATTCAAACTTGAAGTCAATATTAACTAAAGTTCCCATTTTCCTTACATTTTGAAATAGCTGTTGATGATTTTGGATCAAATCCTATAATCAACGAAAGCATAGGAACAAATATGCCGCCACCACCAACACCACCTACGCTGCCAAATGCAGCTCCAAAGAATCCAATGATGCTACCAACAATAATTTGCCATCCAAATTTCATGTCCTGAAATGACATCAATACTCAGTGGACATTATCATTATGGGATACCATCTGACAATTAAAAACATACAATACAAAGGTCACATCAGAAGATGCTCATGCTTCAGCTAGCTGCCAACTTTAAAGAAAAAAAGAGGAAAAAGAAAAGGATGGGCAGTTGCAGAAATCCCTGATCTTCCCTCTTATCAACAAGCATACAAGAAAACATTTTAAGCAAATAGATATAATCCTTTTTGAGTGCATACAAGTGTATATGGATTACGTGAATCTTGTGAACCTTGATTTGATCTAGCCATGTACAGGCTAGTAAGAACAACACTTAACCATTAGAACAGAGACTGAACACTAAATTACAGAACAAATCTTATTTGATCTCCAGCAAACACATGTTAACACAAAATTCAACACCCAAGACTCAATCATCACCCCAAAAAACAAAGGGGAAAGGAAACACTGAACTCAGAACTTTTCATACTTACAGGCCAAACATGCTTGTACCCTGATTCATCCACCTTCCACAAAAAGTTCAACAACATAGAAAATCTGCTTAAATCCGTATGCCCTGTGGCGTTATAGGCTGAAGCTGGAATTTCGTCTCTCAAGCTTCTTTCAGCTGAAACAAAGATCGCAGCTAACAGAAAACTCCATACAACAGTCAAAACAGGCCTTAAAACAACACCCCATTTCCCTCCAATTCTCGCCATTTCTCTTCTCTGCTATTTCCTCTGCATACACAAGCTGCTGGCTTTCTCCTTTATGTCTCTGAAATCTGCACCTTAAATTAAATACGGAAAGCCCCCTTTTTTTGAATTTTCTAACCACTTTTAACAACTTGTTTTTGTCTGTACAAACTCTCTAAAAATACGCTAAAATACAAAGAGGATCCTCACGGTTTTGTCAGTTTCTACATAAATTTATACATTTACAAGTGTTTCGTAGCTGCGTGTTGACATACAACACCTCCTTATTATATTTATCTTATAATAACACAAACAAGTTATCCCTCCATTTCTCTGATACGTACGAGTGAGAAAAAACGTTTCTTGGACAAAAACAAGAAATGATACGAGGTGGGCAAAAACTATTTTTTCCAAGGATGATGATGACAAATGTCTGGTGAAAATTCAGAAGGAAAAAAAAAAAGAAAAAAAAAAGAGGGATTTGCCTAATCTCCCCCTTCTCTATCTATTTTGGTAAGAAACACTTGAATGATCTCTTTATCTATGAACTGTGTGTGTATGTGTGAAAGACAGAGAGAAGAAGTGGCTGATATTAAGGAATGTGAAGAGTTGGCCGAATAAGGAGGAAAGGGAAAAGGGAGTGGGCTGAGAGTGGGGGGCCCGACCCGATTCATTAACTACGACAGAGCTGTTGGATCTCCAAATGGGGCCAACTGATGAGATTCAGACCGATTCAAACGACCCATCTAATCTCTCTGATAGCATTTAATAGAATTATTATTATATTATTATTATTACTATTATAATGATGGTAGAATGAAAATCTATGATTTAATTGGTCAATTAAGTGACTTGCTAAGGGAGTTCTTTACCGTGAGCAACGCAGAATACAGTGTATCTGTCGATCTTTCTGATTCTCAAAGAATATATTAATGGAATTATGGATATGGAAGGAGTGAGTATTAATATTTGTAACATTAGTCTACTTGCAGTTTTGCCAAATATGGTAGTAACTAGTTTGTATGAAGGGGAAAAAAATTAAAAATACTTCTTGGCTCCCAAAAAGAATAATCTATATTGAATTTTAATATATGTATTGTTATCATAATTCAACGTGTATTATTATTATTATTATTTTTGGTAGAAAGAGTAATTTGTTTTATATTTGTTATACTTTGCCAGGAAAGAATAATGAGAAAAAAGTATTTACATTGAGTTATAAATATGAGACAAAAGAGATTATAATTGTTGTAGTGCATCAAGTTTATATCATGCGCAATTTAATGAATGAAAATTTTAGCTCAATTATTATTGCTCTTTGTTTTTTTTTTCTTATCCATTTTGATTTTGATTCATTTAAGATTTGTTTGATAATACTACTTAAAGCTTAAAATTTAATTAAGCACCTTTTTATTCAGCATGTTTGATAACAACAAAACTGAAGTCCTTAATAATGAATTAAATGGTGCTGAAACTGCAGTACAAAATATGAATAATAAAATATAATGTATTCTTTATTTCATAGATGATTAATGAATTCAGTATTTTTAATTCAAAATTTAGTATTACTCCCTCCGTTCCGAAAGTATTATCCAATTTAAATTTTCATTTTTAGTTTAAATTGTACTAAAAGTAAAATCTCAAACTGGAAAATCATTTCGGAACAGAAAAGAGTATAATCTTTACCAATCAAGGGCCTTAATCTCCAACTAACCGTTCCTCGGGGGGGTCGTTTGGGTTCTTTCTTCCGCACACGAAGGGGAAAAAAAGGATTTTTGCATGAAGAGGCGACTGAAAGTCTGAAACCAACCACGTGACTACGCGAACTTATTCTATGCAGTTGGAAAATGTTAATCAGCAATCTTCTAAACCAAATAATAATTGAAACCTTAAGTTACTCAAGTTAACAATGCATAGAACTGCAATTAATTCTATGTGAATGGTTCTTGTCATTTTATTGAAATGATGCAAGTCTGGTAATTTCATCACGGATTTCACAAAACCAAGAGAAGAAACAGTGATTCAAATTCAGATAAAATGCAATTGAAGTGCAAATGCACTACTACTTCTCTATTCCTATAAATAGATCAAATGTAAACTTGAGAACTTTCGTATACTTTTACATTTTCTCACTTTCACTGAGATTTTATAAAAGAAAAAAAACGTTCATTTCAATTATCTCTTTAAAGTTCCTTTGAAGATTAAATTATGTCTTTCAGTATGCAACTTTGAGATCATGTCTAATATACCAGCCTGGGTTTGGTTCTGGCAACTAAAATAATTACATAGAACTGCAATTAATTATATATGAATGGTTCTTGTGATTTTATCTGGATGATCGACGATATTGATGATTCAGCCTTCCCGACCGTAGGAGCAAAGCTAAGGTCATTTTCCGATTTTCCACATTCCAAAACCATGAAAATGTATGTACTGACGTACAAGTAATTAATGTCGGTAGCTTTAATTAGGAAACCCCACGTCGATCGGTCCATATATGTAATTGTACGAACCCGTGAAAATGCTGCTTCTAATTGTCATAATGTATATATGGAAAATTTGTGATCTTTAAAAACATCAATTATGAAGGTGATGAAGCCCTTCCTCTTTTCAAAAGGTAATACTAGTCGATAATTTCAGGAAAAAAAAAAAAAAAAAAGCTGATGAACAGATTAAAAAAGCAGTACGTTTGTTTGGGGGTTGGGACTAGAGGTGGATTTTGTGATGACTGTCACTTCGATCAATTTGAGTCTCATTTTCTTCTCAATTCTTACAACAGTTTCGCATGTTTTCTCTAGTCCTATTTATAGCAGCGACCCCTCACCAAGTGCCCTTTTGAAGGCAAAAGCTGGAAAGTGGGAAACCACCGAAAGAAACCAAGAAGATAATCAAACACACACACACACACACACTAAACATATGGCTGTTTTTGGGAGTGTTTTTGAAGAGAGTGCCGTACCTCAAACAATGAAAGAGATGGAGATCAACTTGGTTGATATATATTCTCCTTCTAGGCAAATAATTGAGGTGCAAAATGGCATTAGCTTTTGTCGTTAATTGTTAACCATGGGTGTTGCATTTGAGGCTTTTTCTTTTTTTTTTTCAAAATCTTCCTCATGTAAACGTAGTCAAAAGGAAATGGTGATTCACATTTTTCTTAAGATATGCTCATACTATCTCTGTTCTCAACAAAAATTTACATTGAATTTTTAAATTTATACTATTTTTTAATAAAAATTTAAAAATACAATGTGAATTATTTTTTTTTGGACTAATATATAATATCGAGGTTACCCAACTGAACTCCCAAAAAATTTTCCACCAACTAAGCAGTCAAATTGGCCACTAACAAAGAGTTCAAAGTCCTCAAATTGTACATATTGTATATCTGTCTTGGGCTCAAATCTCATGAATTATGGTGTGGAATGTCTCGTAATCAAGAATTTCAAGATGGAGATTCAGAGGAATGCACTAAATAAAATGTGGCCCTCCAAATATAATAGTAACCCTTAATTAATGTATATGGTATGCAAATTTTTCAAGACACTCCAAGTTTTGACCATGGAAGGATCAAAGGACTACACAAGATGGACTGTTCTTCCGAATATAGGGTAACCTTTTTCTTTTATAAAATAAAAATTATGCAGTCGTTGGATAGTTGTTTCCATTTTTAATTTAAATTTGGTTATTGCATACAAGATCCTTGTCAACCCTAACCACTAAACCTGAGTATCCAATGCAAAATATTATACTCCCTTCGTCCCATAATTATTGTCCACTTTGCCCAAAAAATTTTGTCCTAAAATTATTGTCCAATTTGACTTTTTATGGATCAAGTTACACATTTGTCCTTAGTAAAAAACATTATCCATAAAATCTTAGTGGTTAAACAATTACTTATGTAGGGGTATATTCGGTTGTTTAAGGTAAAATATAGTTAAGTTTGACCAAAAGTAAAATCTTTCATTTTAGTAAAACTGGACAATAATTATGGAACGGAGGGAGTATATGTTTTCCAAAATCCAAACCACCCTAGTCAACCGGTATAGTTACCATTCTCCACCGCATGATGAGAGATCCTATGCAATTACATCAATATCATTTTAAGGGTGGGTTGAATAAAAAAACCAATTTTATTTTATTTTTTTTGTTTTCGATTTGATTTTTGTAATATTTAAAATATACTACATATTTACGTGTAACTTTACGATTTTGTACGAAATAATTTTCAAAAATAATGTGACATAACACCCAAAACTGCCGGGGAATCATGTAACACTAGAAAAAATTTGGAGAGCGGTGAGAAAGTAATTCAACCATATTAGTGTTCTCAAAGAAATTGTATTAAACGACGTATGCTCAACTAGCCAATTCTGAGACTTAAATTCGCATTCGACAGGTTGTAACCAAAAGGGGAGGGGGTGGGGTGGGGGCGAAATGGTAGTTGGAAATATCATGATCATTTACCCAACAAAAGTCCAGAGGACCATACCATATTAATTGAATGAATAAATACTACTCCCTTCATTTCAAAATAAGTGTCGTCCTACACTTTGCATATAATTTAAGAAACTCTTAAATAAGGTAATAAAATTACTTGAATATTCTTAACCAACCCCATTATAAAATTATCCATCAATAGCATTAACTCTTTCAAGGATAATTTTGGAAACTTTTAACAAAAAGTGTATTGAAATGTGAGAACGACACTTATTTTGGAATTTCTCCATTTTGTTAAAATGATACTTATTTTGGAAAGGAGTGAGTACATAATAAGTGAACTATGTTTGTGATGATGCCCCTCAATCAATTGGTACTACTTGGATAATTAAGGTGGACTGGTGGAGAATTCAATTGTGGCCTTTTGGTATGCAATCTGGCAATAATGAAAAACAGAAAGAAAAAAAATATGTATAACATTAGGAATTAAGAGGAAGAATACACTTGAAAAGGATGGAAGGTAACCCTCCAAAGCTTGATTGTGTTGACGGCCGCTGATATTTCAAACTTCTCACCCTTAGAGTTAAAAGAATGATTCTATTTTTTTTTTCTTTTTTTTTGTTAGGACTGAAAATATATACTAATGAAAGAGTTGAATTATAGCGGCAATTATTATTATTAGTAGTATTTTTTAATATAGAGAGAAAGAGTTGAATATCCGTACAATTTCATCAAATCAAAGACATGGAACATTACTCTTTTTTTGGTGATTTAATTAGCAAAAGACGTCAGGCTTAATATTATTCACTTCACTTGACAGTTGACATTATCAACGGGCAACAACACCATCACCAAAGTTGCGTAATTCTCTTCTGCGACAAGAAAGTTTGCAAAATGTGGTGGGTGGCCGGGCAAATTCATTTTCATTCCCTTTTTTCCCAATGAACATTTCAAATCAAACTTGTAAGAATCAGAAAGAGAAAGTGTTCATAACCAAACAACCATTATTGTGGTGCAATGATAAGTAATTTATCATCACTTAAACAAATTATCGATCTTAAAAGTGTATGAATAGCATATGATTGTCGGTTAAATCTTTCTCTCGTTATTATGTAAATAATATTATATATATACTGATTTAAAATTATGTGATGGACAAATAATTATTAAGAGAATTTAATTTGAAGAATTCTCTCAGAAACAGTGAACGAAAATTAATTTAAAAGTTGTACACATGTATTTAATAATATCGCATGGTTCTTCAAACTAAAAATTACATGTACATAGCTACTACAGTTCATCGACAATCGTACAAGGTTGGTATGGCAAGTGGGCTGGGGGTGCACTATATGCGTGCAATCTAGTAGGTGACAAAAAAAAGACATGAAACACGCAACGAAAATAGCTGTCCGAAATTAAGGATTATTTGTCAGGAAATTAATCATTCAAGATTTTTTTTTATTTATTATTATTATCTATTATTAGTATATCCTACTATATTATAAACAAAAACCTCCCTTTCAAACACCTCATATGATTGCCACGTGACATGTAGAAAATAGTAAATTGCCCTTTTGTCTAACCATAACTAAATTACTAAATCTCTCTTTGCACTTTACGTGACACGTTTTTTTTTTAATTTTTTCTTTATGTTTCATTCAACTAGAGTGGTTTTTTAAATTGAATTGATCAATTAGGTTTTTTGTTACAAAGTGTCAATTTTGTTTTAAGCGTATACCCTTTGGATGAAGCTTATTACAAAGCTATTAAAAATCTCCAAAACTAAGTATTGATTTGGCACGACCAATGGAGAACATCAATAAATCATCTTACTAATATTTAAATTTATTAGGATGCTTTTATATTTTATCTAACATTTACTTCAACACATATATTCGATTAAGCTATTTATATTTAATAAGTAACATTTATAAAACATTTCTAAAACATACATGGCGAAATACAATTTTTTTTTTTTTTTGCGAAATACAAATATTTCAATGATCACACTTATAAAACATTTCTAAATCTTTCAAATATTTCTCAAATATATCGCTCCAAATACAAAATTTTATTTTTTTTAAATATAAACATTTCTAAGATCTACAGATAGACTGGGCCAGGGTCGCGCATTGCGCGACCAGACATCACTAGTTATAAAAGAGAAACCCAAACTGGTAAATCCTTCTTAGAGTGCCATATAGGAAAAAAATCCTATGTGTTATTATTCTATAAATTTAAAATAAAAGAAATTTGTGTAATAACAAATAAAGTCCTCATAAATTTAATTAATACAATTTAAGTATAATATTAATTTGTTTAGTTTTTTTTTCCATACCATATAAAACATAATATCACCACTAAGATTAAATTTTTGTCACAATTCACACATTATTTAATTTGTTGTTACATACAAATTTATATTTTTATTATATTTGTGAGTAACTCTTATAATTATATTTGTATTTTTGTTATATTTGTTTTTATAATTATATTTTTATATTTTTATTATAATTGTATTTAGATAAATATCGTATCATACGGATTTAACATCTAGTTATGATTATTTTGAAACAAACAGGATCATTCAGGATTCAGTAAATTGGGAGAATACTTATGGGTTATGGCCTTATGGGGCCAAAAGTTAGTAACTGGATCTAATTTGACTGATTTATATCTTGGGAGGACATCGTGTAACACGGTGTGTATTAGGCAACAATATAGATTATTTCTTGTCTAAAAAATATAAATTATTTTATTAACTTAAAATAATAGTATCACAAAGCAAATTTCGTTTCTTTAAAAATATGAAGGACTTTTTATGTGAGGGGGCAGCGGCCCTTCCCTAATTTTTTTTTTCTTATAAATTTTGAAAATTTTATTTTTCGCCTTTGCAAGATTTTTTATTCTATTCCGCCCATCCTTATAATAAATTCGTAGCTTTGGAACTAAAATTATGCAAGAGTAAATTTCACGATCGAATGCAAGTAGTATTTTTTTGGACAAAAACGAATATCATCTTCTAAGCCAATTTTCGGCCGATGCTGTAGGTTGATGAGAGGCTCCGCTTGTAATTCAAGTTTGTTCTCCCTCAAGCATCTGTCGTATCCGCAATAGTGGGTAAAAAAAGAAGAAGAAGGAGGAAAAGGCTCATCAGAGAGCAAAAGACTTCGTGCTTGTTTGGATGTCAACTCACCTTTTATTTTGCCATTTAAAAGTAAAAAGTGTTTCAAATTAAATTTTAAATGGAAAATAAAAATGTTGTTTGGACGTTGGTTTTGAAAAAAAGTATTTTGAACTACATTTTGAAATATCAAGTACAAGTCATCACTAAATAATTAAATACTGTTAATTATAGTCACTGCAAAAAAGAACTTTTATAAAAACAATCACTTAACAATGGAATCCTGCCAAATTTGTCACTGAACTATTTGTAGTTCTAAAATGGTTATTACACTAACAAAAAATATTTCAAGTTGGAATTTAAAATGTAAATCAGAAAGTTGTTTGGATGATATTTTCTTTTCCATTGGATTTTATGTTTAAAAGGTAAAATAAGTGAAAATGTAAAATGGAAGGTTGTCCAAACAAGGTTAAGTCTTAATCACCATGATGGAAAAACTTCACTAACATAATTGAGGATATTCATACTCATACACCAATTGAAGATGTCTTGTCATTAGAAAAAATTAATGATGTTTTCTTACACGTTAATTATAGCCAAATTTATTTCCCTGCTTAATGTTTCAATCATTATGAGTCTCTTATTGGAAATTTTTCAAACCACGAGATTTAAATTTGGGAATTTTCTCTTCCTCACAAAAAGCAATGCACAAAAAAGGAGACTTATATATTCGGATTCATGCCACTTTTTAGTAGCTTTTATTATAGGCAGAAAAAGAGACTACGAAATTATTTTGCAGACTGCCATACACACGTTAGAGGGGTTTTACAATGAGTAATTGCCCTCGATGAATTGCATACTTTATATTTAGAGGTTATATCCTAATCGTCTGTTGTCGACAATAATATTTAATATTTTTAGTTAAATTGTTGACACTTTAATGAGTGAAATAGTTGATTCTTTGTATTTATGATAAGATTTGAATTCTCGACTTATGTTTAATTAAAGATTGATGGATTCTTTCACTTCACCGCAATTGTTTTAGTCATCCACGCCTTCGTTGGACCTCGAAAACTTTTGGAATTCCTCCACATTCTTCACAAGAATTCTATTGGGCCAAGTCGCAATAGTTCTGGATGATGGATCTACAAGTTGTTTGAGAATTTTTTATTTTTTTTTTAATTCTTTCAGAAATAATTACTATAGTTTACGTTTTTTAAAATTAATGGTATTACGTACTCCCTCCGTTCCAAATTAAGTCTCGTTTTAGCAAATAAAAAAATTTCAAAATAAGTGACGTTTTCACATTTCAATGCATTTTGTCCAAAGTTTCTAAAATTACCCTTGAAAGAATTAATATTATTGGTAGATTTTTTTTTAATGGGGTTGGTTGAGAATATTCAAGTAATTTTATTACCCTATTTAAGAGTTTCTTAAACTATGTGCAAAGTGTAGAATGACACTTATTTTGGAATTGAAGGAGTACTCTTCTTTCTCAGAAAGCTAGCTAGAGCTTTGATGCTTTTTACTCAATCTATGTACATTGAAATGAGAGACACCTCTTTATTGGCCATCATAGGCTCATAGCCGTTTGCCGGAATCGTTTTGAAATTTCATCGTACAATATAGTATATCCTGTTGAGTATCCCATATTGGTGATGGGAAAGGTTTAATATCAATATATAAGTCTATGAACTATTCTCTTCATTGCCAATTGGTTTTGAGGTGGAACCCCATGAATTTCTATATGGTATTAGAGTCAGCCTGTCAAAAGTCGAACTCAAAGCCTGTTGTGATAGATAAAATTAACCCAAGCCTGATGCCTCAAAGCCCGATGTGATAGACAAAATTAACCCAAGAAGAAGCAATCGGATACAAGAAGAATCGTTGGATCGTAACCCAAGCCTGATGACTCAAAGCCTAATGTGATAGACAACATTAACCCAAGAAGAAGCAATCAGATACAAGAAGAATCATTGGATCGTTGGGCTTGTCAGGGAGTCTTGAGTATCACGTGGATTCATAAAAAAGCAAAATTATAAACTCGCAAATGTAAGCCTTTTTTTCGAATTTCCAAAACAACAAATCATCAACCACTTTCAATAAACTAAAACTTATCCAGAAAGTCCAAATCAGACAGAAGAAAACATAATATAAACTGAAAAAATAACAATGAACTTTTGAAGTTAATCGGACTTAAAAAAATTCAGACTTTACCCCACGTTTTCCAGTCGAGAAAGAGCCGGCAATCCAAAATCAATTGCTTTTTAGGCCACTGATCGAACTGAGCGAGTCAAAGACATGAAGCAGCAGAGTCATCTGCTCAGACTCAATGCTATTGCTTCATCTTCATCATCAATTTCCAACTTCTTGATTCCTTCTTTTCCCCGTCCTTCTTCCATCCCTCTGCCTAAACTGTCCTTCTCGTCTTCTCGACCCTTTCGCAGTACTGGTTTCCTCCTTCGTTCTGGCGCCGCCCCTTCTTCTGGCTTCATCTGCAGGGCAAAGAGTGATAATTCAGGTCATCCCTCTTTTTATCTCTTCATGGGTTTGTGTTTTCATGTAACTATGTGTACCTTCGATTGAAGTTTTTCTGTTTCTTGCACTGTTTTGCGAATTGAAAGGGTTTTTTTGGTTAATACTCAAAATGGCTTGTTGCTTTATGCTCTTTGTGGCATTTGGACGAACATTTGGTCTCCAAAACAGGGATTTGATGGATTAGGAATTTGATACTGTTGATGATTGATAGAACCACAGTGAATGGTTAGTAATTCTCCAGAATAGGGATTTGATGAATTACTAGGAATTTGATACCGTTTGATGAGTAATTGAACCAAACTTAATGCCTATTGATCCTTCCGACTTATTGCACCATGAATTTTTGAAGTTCCATGATTTTCTTTACGTTTCATAAGTTTGAATGTGGTGTTTAATTCTTTTTGGGAGTTGAAAAGTAGGGATTTTTAAAATTTTTTTTTTGGGTCTTTATTATTTGCTTCTCTTCACTAGAACTCCAGGATGGGGCGTGGTTTTGCTCTTTGAATTGACATTGAAGAAAATATTGGTTTATAGATTGAAAATGTTCTGAAAAGCTATATTGGGACTAATCAAGAATCAGGCATTGTCTTGAGTTAATGTTTTATTAATACAGGCAGTGTCCAAGAGTTCTAACTTAGTGATTTGCATGATTCATTTGAATAAGCATGTTCTTTTGTTTTGTTTTCTTGCAGCAACAAACAAATCGGAAGATTCTTAGAAACGAATAATATACTAAAGCCACTTATATGATGATTTTACTAGATTTGATATCACCATTGGAACTTGGGAAGCCGAATCAGACTCACAAACCGGAGAAGCATGTGAACGGAATATTCTGGATTCTACTTCTTAATATTGGGATATACATTGCAGATCATGTATTTCAGGTTCTATGCTACTTCTTTCCTTTGTTGATTCTTCTTTTCTCTTAAACGGCTTTTGCAAAGATATGGGTATTTGACAGCATGTACAATGAAGAGCATGTGTTCTTGTTTAGAAAGATATAGTGGTTTCTGTCTCAACATGTATGGAAACTTGAATTTGAGATTTTGAATTGAAAGAATTTAACGGATAGCAAAGGTATGGGTATTTGACAGCATGTACAATGAAGAGCATGCGTTCTTGTTTAGAGAGATATAGTAATTTCTGTCTCAACATGTATGGAAACTTGAATTTGAGTTTCTGAATTGAAAGAATTTAATGAATAAACCTCAAAAGTACTGGTTGAATTTTGGTGGAAAGGTCTGAAGATATTTAAATGTCAGTACTCAGGTATCAGTGCCAATACGAAGTTGCTCATTTATTCAGGTGCGATGGATAAAAGCTCTGTATTTGTACCACAACCGGCCTGCTTGGTTCCAATTTGTGACTGCAACATTTTGTCATTTTAATTGGTAAGAATTCTGAGTGCACAAAAGTAGGCTCATTGCATTTAGATAATGAAAGAGTATATTTGGGAACATTCATTTATGTTTAGTGTGACTTTTGCTGTTCCTTTCACAATTTTATTAGACTGACAAGGACATAACAATGAGAAGCTGCTTGCAACTATATGTCCTTTTTTCTTTTTTTTTTTTGGGGGAGGTTAACATATTCGTAGTTTATTGCATTTGTCTGGATCTCCCCATCCTCAAAGCCAATGCTACTAGTAATGCGGTCACAATGACCATTGAGATTACTTTACCTTTGAGTATACTTGATTATGATCAAATCCCTTTAATGAGTTAATGTTTTACCCCATAATTTCTTTTTTTCTTTCACAACTAGTGTGATTAATAGCTTCTTCTTGCATCCTTTACAGGAATCATCTTTCGAGTAACCTCTTTTTCTTATATATATTTGGTATGGCAACTTTCACTTGTTTTACTTACTTACCGAGAATTTCAATTGTAGCTGTTACATATTTGGATGATTTTATGTCACACAGGAAAGCTTGTTGAGGAGGAAGAAGGGAATCTTGGGTTGTGGCTTTCATATATCCTAACTGGTGCTGGAGCCAATTTTGTGTCATGGCTGCTTCTGCCAAGAAATGCTGTTTCTGTTGGAGCATCTGGTGCAGTATTTGGACTGTTTGCTGTTAGTATCCTTGTAAAGGTAACGCCTGTTTCCTGTTTTTGTTTAGTTTCTATGTCTGGCATCAAGTCAATTAAATTAATTTCTTTCTTTGGTGTTGTGTAGATGTCCTGGGACTGGAGAAAGATCCTTGAGGTGCTCATTTTGGGCCAGTTTGTTATAGAGAAGGTAAATTAAATTACCCCACGTTATTGCGTGAAAGATACTGTTGTTCAGTATTTTTATGCTGCCCCATTAACCACTCTCCTTGCATACGTTTTTATGTGACGGGTAATGAGGAAAACAAAAGATGACTTTGTAGTTGCTCGCTGGGTGGAAACTCGATTTGATGGACCAATTTGTTTAGTTTCCAGTTCAAATCTTAATAATGCAAAGATCTTCTGAAAAGAACTCATGAATACAGATTTATTGCTTAAATCCTATTCGTAAGTCTCTGTCACCTATTAGGTGTTATGAATTACATACAAAATGGGATTCCCTTCACTTTTCCACTTTCCGAGCTTGCTAATGATTCGTTTTATAATTGTACAACTGAGTGTCAGCTTTACTGAAGGAAGATTCAAAGTTTAGATTCTATAAAGAAACTTTTATTGGTTTTTTGGTTGCATAAGAATTGGTGAGCAATGAAGCAAACTTGCATTATGTAACTCAACTTTAGGCTAAGAATGTAGTTGCAATACCAGCCTGCTTGTCTGTGGTAAACAGCCAAAGTGAGGGATTGCTTGCTTGCTAGGTAGGGACAGGCTTTATTTTACTCATTCGGATGGTTTTCTGTACTCGACTTTTGATCTAGAAAGAGTGAACTACGGTTTGCATTCTAGATGGAGTTATGGATAGTGTCTTTACAATGATAATGGTCCTAACATGCTATTGCATTGCAAGCATTTTTTGAAGTCATACTATATCATGACTTTTGAAATCATACTTCCAATAGCATGCGTTTAAAGGCAAGTTAACTTATCGAATTTGACATGAAAAGATTGGTGTCAAAACTCAGATATTGAAATATGCTTTGAACATGTAATTCTAGGTGATGGAAGCAGCTCAGGCTTCAGCAGGGATAGGGGGTGGTTTTCGAGGAGCCTTACAAAATGTGAATCACATAGCACATCTTTCAGGTGCTTTAATTGGTGCGGCTTTGATATATCTTCTCAGCAGACTTTCGTCACAACCATCAGATATGAATGCCGGGAGCATGCACAGTGGAAAGATGAATTGATACGAAGTAGTAGGTATACTGAATTAAACCTAATGGATTCCTTTTCAAAAAAAAAAAAAAAAACAACTAATGGATTGACTCGAATACTGAAATATTTACTCAGGGTGAGTTATCTTGAACTAAATTTCATTCAATCTTATTGAATTCTGAATTCTTCTGAGAGAAGATTACAACTAAGAGCCCCCAAAAGAAACAGTTCCAACGTTACAAGAGTAGTCTACCCACAAGAAAACCTTTTTAACAGATTATTCCAAATCAATCTTTTTTTTTTTTTTTTTGGACTACACATCAATCTTCGGTTTCGATATGTTGTAGCTATGAAAACACTGTATCTGGTCAGCATTAACACATCCTCTGTTCCACATTCTAGAGAAGCTCAAGTAGCCTGAACATCATCTGCATAAGCCCGTGGCAAGCCAAGATGACAGTCCCGAAAAGTTAGCTCTAGTAGTCTAGTGCTCTAGTCTAATCCACCACTATCAGCTATGCAAGTCACCTGCAGTAAATAGCTTGGTCTATACGGACAGGAATCTGCTTGATTTCAGTTCCAAGCTCTTGCTCTATGTTATACCTGAAACAGAGATATTGAGAATTGAGCATTCATCAGTCAACAATCCTTCTCTGGTGCTCCAGGAAGACTTGCAGGCTGCAAATGCAGAAACACACTGATAAATTGAGACGGTCTTCATGTGTTATCAACTTCACAACCAGCCAGCCTTCGTCTAACTGAATAGCACCCGAAAAATTATTCTCAACGTAAGCAAGCCTTCAAATTAGGAGGGAAAAGACAGCAAAATTTCAAGGTCCTGAACAGGCAAAATGGTCAGAAAGGTAATGTTTCCAGTACCTTGTAAAAGGATCCAGCCCTGGAGTCCACCATCCGTCCAGGAGGCAACCATTCAGGAAGAACATCATTGTCCACTACAATCTGTGACAACAGTTCTCATCTAAGAATTTGAACAGAAACAGTAGCTAAGCAATAATATTATACTCACTGGATCATATTTACTCTTGGAGGGACAGCTTTCCTGTTTTTGTTCAGTCACTAACTGCAAAGTTCCGTCACTAGTCTGCATTTATCGTATGAAAGGTCGCTTTTTCTTGGAGTATAACTTTAGGTCCTTTTCTGGATGAGTATAGTGCTGCAAGATAAAGACGCATTTTGAGAAAACTCTGAAACAAGTATTATCCATATGTAAATATATACTGAACTAGACTAGGTTGTGACTGGTGCTACAATCACCAGTTCTCGGACAATGGTGATTTGCAACAAAACAGACTGCGAAAGATCAAAACTTGAAGAAAGTATTAGAATTGATAACTTCAATAATTACTCAGCATACAGTTCTGTGATGAATGAATAGAAAAGATTAAAGAACAAGGAAAAAGCTGAATAAAGAACAAGTAAATGTGGTGTATGATATAGCTGATGATAAAGGAATTGATTTATGTTGGCGCCGTTTTTCAAAGTACAAATACAATATAAACAAGAAAACAACTGTCTGTTATTTAAATGTTCCTCAAAATAAAAGATTTTTCTTGCGTACAAAGTTTAGCCCTTCACACTTTATAATTTAAAAGTGAGATCAAAGTTTTTAGCATGCCGGTTTTAAAAATCCTTAACAACGGAACTAATACCACTACATAACCCAAAGTTTTTGATGCAGCTCGCGAGATAAACGTACAAACCATATTAACCACAATGTTTTAGTACTAAACAATTGCGCAAATGCTTAACCACTGCTTGCAGACAAATTGCAAGATCGACTATTGTTCAATTGCAGTCAATGCGGCGACCTTGGCTTTGTAAGCTTTGCCTATGCGACCGCCTTTTTTGCTTTTGACGCATTTGTCAATTCTGCTGCCCTTTTGCAATGCACATTAGAAAACCAGTTAGTGATTGTCACATTTCTTTTTACTCCCTCCGTCCCTATTGTGCTGTTTGAATTTTCATTTTTCTTTTGGTACAAACTGTACTAAAAAGTAAAAATCAAAAAGAAAAAAATACTAGGGCTGGTATTAATTTTTGTTTTTTTTTTTTCATATTTGATGTTATGCATTGATAGTTTGATACTCTTATTTAATTAGGAATCACATATTGAGAAGTCTCAGTTGTTTTTCATGAGCATATTCAGAAGCTTGATTTTGAAATGTGTCCGGTGATGATTGGTCCTAAGGGGGTCTTGTGTAGCAAAAAGATACTGTGTGACGATCAGCTTTCTAATATTATCTAATGATCATCTCCTTTTGTCCTTTGTTTAGGCCCCTTCTTTCAGCAGCAGCGGAGAGGAAGACAACATTGGTGGTGAAGGGACAGCAGAAGATGGCAAGGATCAGAAGAAGGCATTTAAACTGGAGACGGATTATGTGGAATGACTGAATGTTAAGGGTAGCAGAATTGGCAAAGGCAAGGTTGCAAAGGTGGTCGTCGCATAGTGGTAAATATACAGTAATTTCATTCTAAATAGAAAGAAATATCCGCTCCTTGATTAGTTCTTTTTGACTTCAAATTTCTGTCCTCTTGTATCTGTTCTGCATCTCTTCCATTCCATATTTTAACTTCAAAGATCTGTCCACTCTCAACTCAGTTCTTGAGCTGCCAATTTGTTGATTATATTGGTCAGCAGGCATGGTGTTTGATTTGATCTCAATCCTGATGGTTGAACCACGCCTGTAACCCAAGTTAATTCGCAGAGGTTTTTTAAATCCACCAGTAAATTTCCAGCTGTGAGAAAATAAGATCTCAAATGGTCATCAGCGCGGAAATCATTTTGGAACCGATTATATTGTTAATGTCAAATATGTAAACACCTTAATGGTTTGATCCTTTTTTTTACATGGCCCTTCATGAGAAATTTAACCCTCACATTCTATGCCTAGATGTTAAAATTTTTTGACATAATTGTATGTGGTTTGCTTCTCTGTGAGTTCTGTAAGTACAGTATAGTGGCCTTTCAATTCAAAGTTCTTTTTTATTTCTCCAGATTCTTATTCCTATAAATTAAACTCTGCCAAACAATGAACCAGAACCAGATCAAATACGTGGGTTCAGTAGAAATTAAAAAAGATGTACACATCTTTGAGTTTATACAGGATATACAGATGGCCACCTGTGTATGTACAAGGTGTAGTCATCAACATATTCAGTCATTCACCCTTCTGTATCATCAAACTTTCATTTGTTTAGGTGCACTAGTAATCACAAACACCATTCCTATTAGTTTAAAAGAAACCCACTGTACATGTGTGAGAAAGTTGACTGGAGATATTAAGCTGCCCCTGGTGATATTGCTTCTGGCAAATGATCGGGCCACGTGGACCAACTCTACAAGCAAGATACATGGATCGTGTTGCAGTGTACAGGCTCTCGGAAGAGATTTCAGCTTCTCGTAAAACCACCTGGCTCTTCTTATTTGCAGCAATTGTGGCTTTCTGATCATTTAACAGCTCACTTGGGATCTGTAGCAGTTTAGGAGGTGAAAAGTTAACTGTATCCTTCTGATACATCTTCTCTAAGCTTTCTGCGGCAGTCTTATTTCCATTATTCAGCTGATAATACATCAAGTTTTGCTTTTCCATAGAGGCCATGATCCTATTTGCGTCTTCACTCAGTCCGATAGCTTTCCAGGCCTCCGCAATCAGCACAAAAGTTGACTTCTGCGGGGAAACTTTGAACTCCTCCATGAGTTTGATTATTTCTTCTGCTTTCCACGGCTGTTTTGCTTCTGCATAGCCCGAAATTAAGGTTTCAAAAGTTCTAAGGTTTGGATATACTCCATATTTGCACATCTTATGGAAGACCCGCATTGCACATTCCATGGAACCAGCACTGCACCATCCACTGATGACTGTGGTGAAGATAACTACATTGGGTTGAATACCCGAACTAACCATAGTGTTTAGGAGTTCATCTGCCTTTTCTGGTTCCAGGGCGCGCACATAACCTTTAGCAAGAATACTGTATGTGTGGACATCAGGTTCAATGCCATCTTTGACCATATTATCAAAGATTTCTCTGCATTTTACCATATATCCAGCAGCACTCCAGCCATCCATGACGGTGCTGTAAGTTATCACATCTGGTTTGATACCAGCCTTTTCCATCAATGAAAGAACCTATCGAGTTGATAACCATTGTCAGGACTCAGGATGCTTGCTTGTAATAAGCAAAACTAAACCATATCCAGATACTTTAAATATATCAGTCATTCCTTCAAAAAGTTTTTGCTACGGGACAATTACAGTTGTGTTGCAGCTAAGCATATCTGGATGGGGAATAGTTCGTTATATCTCCATTAAGTCTTTCAAAAACCAAAAATCCAGGCGGGCTTAATAATGTACAGATGGTTTTTTTTTTTTTTTTTTCAATTATTTTCTTTTTAAAATTTTTTTATCCACAGGTGAGAATTCAGTTTAACTACTACCGTTCTATCAAAGCTTCAAACAACTACATCTTACCTTTCAATCAACAACATGCTGTCTCTCTTTCTCTCTTGGTTTTATACCCATGAAAATGATAACTTAAAAACTATAGGATTTCTTAAAAACTAGACATGCTACTATTGTTAAACTCTCGTACACTCCCTAAATATCATCTTACTATAATTATCTTTAAAACACAGCAGATGAAGAAAGTAATGCTTATCAAAGTAATAATAACACTAACCTCATCAACACCGTCTTTGTCAGATGTATTGACAAATCCTTTGATCAAGGAATTGAATATAATAAGATTGGGCTGCACTCTAAGATCCATCATTTTGTATGTAAACCTCAGTGCATCCTTTACTTTTCCTTCTTTGCAGTATCCAGCTACGATGGTACCAAAGGTTCGTTCATTTGGATGCACCCCATTTTTCAGCATTTCTGATATTACTCTCTCGCTCTTATCGGCCTGGCCAGTTTGAACATAAGCTGTTGCTATGGTGTTGTAAGTAACAGGGTCAGGCCGCAAGCCAGAGTCTAGCATCTTAGGAATTATGGCCCATGCTTCTTTCATATTCCTTTTGTTACACCATGCTCTAATAAGAACATTGTAAGTTCTCAAATTGGGTTTTATATTGTCCTCCTGAGACATCAGATCCAATACCTTCAAAGATTCTTCAGGTTTTCCAATAAGCCCATACCCTTTAATCAAAGTGTTGAAAGTGCTTGTTGTGGGCTTCATTCCACTCTCCTTCATCTTCAATAAAGTTTCCATAGCCCCCTCCATATTCCCAGATTCAGCAAATGCATTCACAGCAGCATTGAAGAAAACTGAATCTGGCTTGAGACCATTCTCTTGCACAGTCGAGATGATTGAATTGATATGGTTGAAGCGCTTTCGGATGGTTAAGGCAGCTAATAAGGTAGTATATGTTACAAGTGATGGTTTATGCCCACCTTCAATCAAATTGTTAAAAACAGATTGGGCTTCCTCCGGCTTCCCTCTTTCCACAAGAACATTCATCTGATTTGTTCTCGAACGAACAGTTTTGCAAGAAATACCAGACATGCAAAAGGTACATAGCCTTGACTCCGGTATTTCTTGTAATTGAATATTGTCACGCACACAATTTTCCTAGAAAGTTAGAAAAGAGTAAGCAGCTTGATATAATGTTTAATAATCACATAATTCAATTATGGACACAAAGTAAACTAGTTCAGCAAAAGAACAGATAGACCAGACATTTTAACTTCACAAGTACATCACATCTAGATAGTACTACCTCTGCCCCACAAAAATAGTCCACATTGAGTTTTCAAATTTGTACTAAAAACAGTACAAAAATCAAAACTCAATGTGGACTATTTTCGTGGGACGCAGGGAGTATCTTTTATCAATCACCCATACCTTCATAGGTACTTCTTGAGACCATCTATTCTTTATGATACCAAAACAGTGTTGCACTTGTTTACTCGCCTCTGAACCAGTCCTCTCTCCGAAGGACTCTCCCATTCAGATCTCCTAGATAGGATAATATGAAAACACAAATCAGCATTTTGAGGCAGATTAATCGACCCCAAAAAATGAAAAGGATTCAGTTGAAACAGAAAAGTGGCCTAAGGAAGGAACACTATAGGTTCCTGCAAGTATAGAATAACGAAGGAAAACAATGGAGACATGAGCTAGAAACCGAAAGATATACAAAAATTTCAGTTAAATCTACAACTTCATAAAATTAACATGTCAAAAAGGTAAAACACAAACAATAAGTAATCAAACCATACTTCAAGCTCCCATACCATGAGGAAGTTTTAGTCACATGACATGACTCTGGTCACTATTGTAATTGATCAGAGTATTTAAAAAAGCTATAAGAAGTAACATACACAGGGAGTTCAGGATCGCATCCATAACACATTAAGAAAGCTACATTAAACAAGGTTAAAAAATTTCCTTTTTCCTTAATGAAACGAAAACTTCCCCATTCTTTGAATCTAATCTATGCAGGGCCAGATATTAAGATGAGCAGCAAAAAAAGAAACTTGGTTGTGTCCATAATGCAATCAATAGCAGAACTAACAACTCTCAGACACCATATTTATGGTTGGCACCGACATAAATATACATTACGAATCAATCACTAGTAGGTCTTAACTCATGCAGTTATTGGAACAAAAAAGGTAATTATCAAATGAACAAACAAAAAATCAAGTGCCCACTTACTAATTAAGCCCCTGCTCATCAATTCCAACCATAAAAATTGAAACTTGGCAAGAATGGTTCATCAATGATTGATAATTTAAGGTTTGTAAAAATAAGGGAAAAACTAAATGGAGTGTCAGTACCTTCAATGGTGAAGTACCGGGCAAGATGACTGTGGAAAGTAGGGGTAGAGAGAGAGATGAACAGTGAAGAAAAGGCAGTGATCAGCTTCTATAGTTTGCATGAAATCACTGTGCAGGACTTAACAGCAAATGGGATGGGAAGGTTTGGGAATCCTATCCACATATTTTATTGGATTTTCTCATTTGTGTTCCTGCTTGGTGAGCATTATTCCAGAGTCTGGACAAATGGCTCCAGGATAAGGGGAATAAGGGGATTATTGTCAAAATGCGGAAATAAAAAGAGGGGATAAGGGGGAGCTGAAGGTGAGGCTGCCAAATAATAACATTGTGGATATTATATTTCAGTAAATTTTCTTTAGAGAGCAAACTCTTATGACAATAATACTAGCACATTTTGTTTTTTGGTACAAATATATTTATTTGTACATTGTTTTATGTGTGTTGCTTCATTTTCTCGTTGCCTTTGTTTTTACTAAAAAAATTTTTAAAAAAAGTTTTTGTGGCCTCAGATTTTCTAGCTCCTAAACATTGCAGCAAAACTTGTGAACTTATTGGTCTTACTATTTTGTTTCATTACCATTATATTTTGAAAAGATTTTATGGGATAGTGAGATAAAAACTTGTTGACATTGTTACAACTTTCTTATTTGGTTTTTTGGGTAGATGACCATTATGTTTTTCTGATCTCATAAGGATATTGTTGTCCAACAATTCACAATATAATAGTGTTTTTTTAATAGTATTTTTTTTCAGAGGATATTATTAAAATAACACATGTAATACTATTGTCCAGTTTAGAGTTTCACTTATAGTACAGATTGTACTAAAATGAAAATTTAAACTGGACAATCATTTTAGGACAGAGGGAATAGTATTTTTTTTTAATCCTCAGAGGACAAAGTGTTCATTCATAGAAGATCAACGCAATTTAAATTTGAGGAAAAAAACATATAAATTAATTAATGTACTACTTCCGTCTCCAAAAAAAAATAGTCCATATTGAGTTTTCAAATTTGTATTAAAAATAGTACAAAACTCAAAACTCAATGTGGACTATTTTTGTGTGACGGGACGAATATTTATTATAGAAGACCAAGGCGACAAAAAAGGTTTGCTTCTTGCATCCATTGTCTTCATCTTTGTATCAGATTAGTTCTCAAATTCAGAAAGTTCAACAGACCAATGACCTAAAAGTGACACCAATAACTTCTGGTGTTCGCCTGTGCTTAAATTGCTCCTCCAAACTTCTACCAGTCAGATGTAAATGCCCTCAAAAACCAAGCATGTCCATCAGTCCACACTCCACAAAAGATGACAATGCATTTCAGGACCTCAGAATGCATATGAGAGGGGCTAACAAGCATCCTCGAAAAGTTTGTGACGATTTTCTCCTCTCGTCTTTCACATTCCAGTAATATTATTGACGCATATCCAAGCCCCAAAAGTTCAAGATCAAATATGATAAATCAGGAATAACAATCACATGATTGCTAAAATAAGGTGAAACTTGTTCTCCTTCTCTCCAAACCATGTTTCTCTGGACTGTAAGATGTATAAGCTTGCATTTGGCCGGGAGCATTAGATTCTCCAGAAAAGGCCAGCATCAGTGCTTCCAAAGTATTTCAAACATTTAGCATATGAAACCACCAGTTAAAGTCTAAAAAAGTAACATTTGATCGTTCTACCTGAGAAAACCACTGCTTCAAAATCCTAGCTGTTACTCTGCTGCACTCGTTTACCAACTTAAACTCAGGCCGAACTACCAAGTTCCATGTTTCAGCAAGAGGAATGTCATTAATCTAGCGAAATGCATTAAGATTTGTTCAAGAAAACATAAAACCTCTCCCCTTCATGCCCTCAATTACCAAACCCAACTTCTCCTGCAAGCCAGCTCGCCGGAAGCCCAGCAACCAAAATGTCATAAGATGATCTTCTGAGCTTGGAAGAATCTCTTAAGCATTCCAAAAATAGGTCTCGCCTATCATAAGCTGCATGCCGGAAATACAAACAAATGATCTTGTCAACATTGTCAGGGCATCTGAAGGAGATACCTTGTTTTAGCATGCAACACACGGACTAATCTACATCGTTCGGTCTATCTGCCGCTACATTCAGCCTTATGATCATACTGTGCATTAAGGAGAGAATTTCTGAATCTTGTTTTGACAAAGTGAAAGCATCTAGCAACTCCTCTGTGTCCTCCACCCTTCCCAGCTCATAGTATAAACCAAGAATTTTCCCTGCTGTGTACCTATCAGTCTTAGATAAACTATCGAATAGGAGCATTATATATTCTCTAGTTTGACAAAGATTTCTTCGTGCAGAGTATACCAGAAGCACATTCAGCAAAATGCAGAGACTGGGTACAAATCCTGTTGACGCCATTTCTTCTAAATGTCTATCAGCATCGGCGAAGTCTTTTTATTTGACAGAACCCAATATAAGAGGGGGGAATCCGGCAGCAGTTCTGGCTGAGTGCTAAGTCCACATTGCCTTTTTTCTTCCAAAGTTTGGATACGCGAGTACAAATGCATTACACGTATCAGAATAAAAATTATACTCATCATAAAATCCCATCAACTCATACACACTCAATGCCTCATGAAATTAACGGAAGACAAGAGCATTAAAAATAGAAGACGTTGGCCTGATTCCTTAGGATTCCATGCACAAAAATACACCTAATGCAGTTCCAAAGTTTTTTAAATTTTCCTCAAAGCAAGACTAACCTAATACAGGCAGCTTGATTCTTCTCATGTTCTTTGATAAGCTTCTCTAATTTCCGTTCAACAACCTGCATTAAATCACAAATTGCATCCATTTCGGTAATGAAAATCCCCCAACATATCCAACTCCATTCGTTATCATAATGTGAGCTTTTTAAAGAAGGCAATATTCCAGAAACAGAAAACTAATAGCAGACAATTTGAATAAACAGACAAATACAGGTTTGGGGAAATTGGTCTTCCCATAAAAATAGATAATTTCCTCAATCCACAATGGGTCTTTCCTATGAAGATAGATATGGGAAAATGCCATAAATGAAGTAAAAACTTTTCCGGAAGAAGACCAAAATAAATTACAAGAAAACATGATCCCGGAACACTAAATGCGAATAGTAGGGTCAAAAAGTCGTGTTTTCAATTACCAAATTTGCCTCATGGGCATGCACGTTTCCTTAGGAATCGTTAAATTGACAAAAACTAGGAAACCCACCTATTCAGCAAAGGCATCGTCTACATATTTCCTTTGGCATCATTCATAAAAATACACAAAAACCAGGAAACCGCCTAAAGTAAAGACATACTGGAGAAATGATGACGATGACACGAATTTTTCCAGAAGCTTGATCATAAGATATCAATTTCGCAAGCATCTGATCCTTTCTGGATATTCATTATCTTCTTTGCGATGCTATACTTGGCTTCAAGTTGCCGGTAATTGCCTTCAGATCTTAGAAATTTCAGCTCAAATTTGCGCGCTACCCCTCCTTCACGGGTGCTGATATTCCATGGGCGGTGTGTATCAGCAGGACATATTTCTAACTTTTGTAATACCTTTCCATTCTTGAGAACATACTTTAACATACTGAGCTCGAATTCTGATTCCCTGAAATCCTGGATCCAAATAGTTCTAAGGCATGTCATCAAACATCTGGGTACAAGAACTGGATCGTTCCATAACTCTTCAGGATGAACGCTACCAGAACAAGACCGGTTCTGTTTAACGGGCAAAAAAATGTTAAAATAGAGGAAGACATTTGTCCATTTTACTTGGCAAAACTCATGAAATCATGGAAGGGATTGCAAGACAAGGTTCTTACAGACTGCAAGTGAATTTTAAGATCAAACAACAAAAAGTAACAGAAGGCCACAGTAACAGTTACTCTATTGCCTGCTTTAACTGGCTTAGATGTAGTGCTATAAAATGCGATTCCACAATGAATTTGTAAGAAGCAAGTATAACTACCACACTAAATTAGCATAAACCTCTTCAAGAATGTTAATTTGTTGTTTCACTTTTTTACTTTAATACGCATATTTCAAATACGCTCCTCCATTCAACCTATCATAGGAAGATTATAACCTACCAAATAAAGAAGAAAGGAAACTAACCTTTGTTAATCTCAAAACTTGTAGTTTCTCAAAGCATTGAAGAAAGTAAACAAGCATGGGACGCCAAACACACCCCATAGTTAAGTGTGTTAAATTCAAAAACTTAACCAATGGAAGTCCGGATTCGAAGTTGAGGGCCTACAATAACAAGCAGCAGAGCCAATGACATCGAGTTTAAATCAATATTCTATACCAAAGGGGATAAAGAGATATTGAGATACACTTTGTTGAACCATAACAAAAGAAGTCCATTAAATGGGACAAATGGAATAATTTGTCAACAAATGCATGTAAGAGAAGGTACATGGTAGGAACTTACTGTTGGTATATCACCAGATAAGGAGAGACACTTGATGTTGCGGAATGCTTCAAAACATTTGATGAGCCATTGATATGAAAGAGTTTTATGCAAATTGAGGTTTGCCTTATTCAATGAGCCCATATTTGTAATCTGTAGAGAATCGGAGACATGATCCTCGATAGTAAGTTCTGAGAGGGCAGGAGCACTTATATCTAAGACATCATCTGCAGAAGCACGGCCATGGCGCCCCTTTACTATTTGGAGAGATTTCATTGCTGGTGCATGTATACGCAACTTCGGCACATGCATGTATGGCATGTTTTTAGAAGTTTTCATCCAAATGGACAAATTTTCAAGCCCCAAAGAGCAAGAAATCAGGTTAGTAACAGATTCCTCGTTTTGGTATCTAACTGAACTGAGTTCAAGTGTTTTCAAGTTTGGCAAGTATGCTGTACTTGGAACAGAGATCATCAAGGCTTCGCCAATCAACTTGAGAACCACAAGCGTTTGGCAAGAGAAAATACCTCGAGGCAACTGAACGCTCAAACCACCATTTGTATGTATATTATAGGGGACACAGAGACCTAGCACTTGGACATTTCGAGAAATTGCCTTCCGAATCCATAATTCAATGTCAACATCACACGGGCGACTGTATCTACAATTAACCCGAAACTCTCGAATGGATGCATTGTGTTCAAGCAAGATCTTATTAACGACATTCCTGAATGCGACATTTCCTCCGCGTTTGAGGAAATTACGGTCGTCAAAATCAAGACATGGAACACTAGCCCACAGAAGTTTCCATCTTTTAGACAACACGCCAGTTGCCACTACACCTTTGGTGGGAAGAAATGATAAAATATGCAGTAAAACTGAATTCGGTAAATCACTGATCCTATCATCAGAATGTCCTCCATCCTCAGTTGATTTCTGGCGCTTAGGGCTAGGAATTGGACTTTCATGAGAAGATTGAGTACTAGATTGATCAGAAGTCGCCATAACCATAAAAAGCAGAAATTCAAACAACCCAAAACTAAAAAATGTAGGTCCAATCCCTCATAACCAAGATAGAGAACAACTTTCAATTCTTTGTAACCCCAAAACGAATACTCTACTTAATTTGCTAGAACAGAACAAAGGGTGATCATGCAAGGAAAAAGAATCAGAGAGACCAAAGAGGTACCATAACTTGTGAAGCCATTGATTGGAGGTGTGAAGAAAGGATGTTTCATTGCTTCATCTCCCAGGTCAGTAATTTTCGACGCCTCAATCCATTAAAATTTTAACGGTATATAATCTCTGGAGAGATCATTCGTCAAAATGGGATGTAAATAAACCAAGCCTTACGATTTACCCATGAGGCTGACCCTAACCTGAATAAACAGAAACATGAATTTGGGCGGCTTTATCACTGCGGTGCGGTCGGCAAAGGGAACAAGGGTTGCAAACTACTAGAACTCTGTGTACAGACAGTGAGACCGATTACAGATTAAGTGCTGTAAAGCGACGGCTACGTGTTTTATTTATTTTGCTTTTTTTTTTTTGGTTGCCTAACCCTCGCTTTAGGAGGAAAATACTCTATTTGCCTTAAAAGGTTTTTTTTTTTTTAATTTTTTTAATTTTTTTAATTTTTTATTTTTTTATATTACATTACAAACACTAGACTATTACATGTACGGTGTCTAGATTATGCCTCATCCGATGCCTGGTGCTTGAAGAATACGCCTCTTGGCGGACCTGCAAACCTACAGGATATGACCAGAAATTTCTTGCTACCAAGGGAGTTTGAACACGCGACCTTGCGGTTGGTGTCATGATCTTTCAACTACTAGGTCATCCCACTATTGACTTTGCCTTGAAGTTTCATTAATAGTATTGTGTTTTTCAATTTTAACTGAAATTTTAAAAAATACTTTTTATATAATAATTAGAAGAACATGCGAAAATGTATTTTAAAATTTTATTTTTCAATTAAGAAAACATAATAAATAAAATTTTGGACAAAGGAAAACACTTTAAAATGAAAACATGAAAGAGTATTTGCATTTCGAAGTCATAAATCATTTGGTGTTTGAAATAGGCAATTGCTAAATTAAGAATTTCTTTGTTATAAAAAGAGCAAACTCTTTTCAAATTTCCATATGATTCTTTTCATCAAACATATACATAATTGATGAATAATTTGGTGGTTTGGTACTCCTCCACAGGTACCAAATGTGCTAAATTTTACCTATAATTCTTATTCTCACCTGTGAGCTTTTTATGTTGTTACTTTGTAATTATTAATAATGTTTAATTAATACTTAGCATCAACTTTCCAATCAATTTTATACCGTATTTGTGACCGTCCTTATTACTTTATAATTATTATTGCTGTTTAAAATACTTAGCCTCAACTTCCCAATTAATTTTATATCGTATTTGTGACCGCTCCTTTCAGCCTATTGAACTTGTGGCAATTACACCCGGGTACCTTTCTCCCATACTAATAATAATACAATGCAAAAAAACACGTTTAATTTCTCTAATCTTCAAATTAAAAATTTTGCTTAAATTGTTCCAGGGATGTTTTTACGTTTCTTTCTAATCTCAAAGTAATCAAGCTTTCTTTTATTGATTCCATAAATTCTTGAAATAGTCTAAATTACAAAATATGGAGCCAAAGCTGAATATTTCTGGCGCAACAAAGCCATAACCCTCAAATCCAGAATATTTCTAGCCATGTTGCCCAGTAAAATGGCCTTCACCACGACTGCAGAGTTTATCACCTCCTCCACCTGATTGCATGTCATAGGATCACAGCCACACTTGTTCCAGTTTTCGAAGATTATATCGAGTTCGCCCACGTCTATTGTTGTTGCTGTCGTTCTTTGCTGAAAATTTTTGTTGGAACATCATCATTAACACTCATTTGTGTATGATATCTCGTCCTAAACTCTATTTGAGTAATTAAATGTGTTTCTGACATTTATGATGAAGGATCAATTTGGTACTTTTAAATGTTGTGTTGTGCTATGATATTTTAAAGTTTATTTTGTAATTATGAGTTTTACTTTGGGGGCTTAATTTTGTAACACTATTGCCTTCGGATGCTCTTCTCGTACGATGCAACACTCTTCTGAGTGGTGTCTTTGATGAAGCCCCCAGTGCCTTGTGTTTGCTTCGGCTTCTTTGGCCAGCCTATGACGTCACCTCCCATCCACATTTTTGGTCTTTCGAATCACCTTGTTTGTTAATGATCAAACTTCTATCGCCACCATGAAAGAAAAAAAAAAAAAAAAACTAACCTTACTAAATCAAAAAAATAAATATCTTATCTTTACACTAAATTTAATTACCTTCAACTACTTTAATGTACATCATATTTTTTAATTTTCCTAACACAACAAATTCTTGAGATTACATTATTACCAATTCAAACAAAATAATAAAAAGAGTGAACCACAAAACATGTTATAAAACTATTGGATAATTTCATCAAAGGTCACCAATCAAATTTATTTACAAAATAAGACCATTTACTAAGCAAAAAAATACATCGGAGGTCATTCTGTTGCTTCTTGCAGTTAAATCATAATGAAAAGATATTTTTCACATCCAAAACGTGAGAGTTGGGTCTAGGGACAAATTTGTTATTTCGTATTTTTTTAAAAAAATAACATTAAACTTGCAATGCTTCTTATACTTTCTAGATTGTATATGTTGATACTAATATAATTACTAAATCTCAAGCATTATTTTACCTTTTTGTATTTCAACTTCTAAATTGTTAAAAAAAATTTAGAAAAATAAAATAATGAAGAAGAAAATTCAAGTTGGAGTAAACATGAAAATTAATAGTTTACCATTTTAAACAAAAAAAGAAAAACAAATCCTAAAGAATCAGTATAGACAAGTCGTTTCTCCTTGACTCCTTGTAATACATAGATTAGTTATGAAATACAAATTTTACTCATTTTATCTTAAAAGGATTATTTTGTTCACTGTAATTACTATTTTTAGTTTTCCAATTTCATGACAAAGATAAATACTTGTACTCTTTAATAGTGTAATTTTTTAAAAATATTTTTATAACTTAGAAGTGGAAATACGAAAGGTAAATTAAATCTAGAAATTTAGTAATTATATTAGTATTTACATATACAAGCTATAAAGTATAAGAAGAATTGCAACAACAACAACAATAATAATAAATAAACAAAAATTATTTTTAAAAAATAAAAAAATGATAAAATTACCCCTGGACCTAAGTCACCTGTTTTGGATATGAAATGTAATTTTTCATTATGATTTAACGACCAAAATTAACAGAATGATCTCAGATGAAGTTTTTACTTTGTAAAGGGTCATATTTTTAAGATAATGAAGCCTTTCTCTCTTTTCGACTCTCTCTATCACTAGGCGATTTCAGACTATGAAATAGCCACGGCAAAGAGTTAGCAGAAGGGGAAGAGGAAAGCAAAATTGCCAAAATTAATCATCACACCAGCTATTAGCATCATGGGAAAGACAAATCAAGGGTCGGATCGAGAAATTTTGGAGAAAAAAGCCACCAATACAAAGGGGATCCAACAGGCAAACCCTAGACAGACGATGTCCAAGGGGGTTACCTCTTTGATGAATCCTGATGTTGCAGACGGTTCAAAGAAGCTGAGTGAACTCCTGTGTGTTTCTGCGGCGCGGAGAATTGATTGGTCAGCAAGACAATCGATAGATCTGGTGCAGGTACCTCATCCTTGGGACCAATTCGATCCAAAAAAGTTGAAGATTGGGGCCAAGCTTGAGTTTATCCAACCAACTGAACGTGATGGGAAGAAGGTCTGTAAGATGCAAAAGCAGAAAGTGCAAACAGAAGTGGAATACTAGGATCAATCAATTCTTAGTTTCGTTCTGGGCGCCAATCCTCTTCTGGCAGTGATGGAACACTATTATTGCTCCTTGTGGAAAGGTATTGTTGATAAGGTTCCCTTATTGCTATTTTTAAGTCAGAAAATGCTAAGGATGATGCTCTGAGTTTTAATATTTATCATATGGGAAGTAATCTAGTAATTGTAAAACCTTGGTGTATTGAAAAAGGAATTAATATAAGAGAAGTCACGTGTTCCTGTCTGGGTTCAATTTCCTGGATTAGAACTTAAGTACTGGAATCCAGCTTCTCTTATTAGGCTAGCTAGTAATTTGGAGTGTCCAATTATGGCGGATACTGAAACCACTGAAAAGACGAAAGTCCAGTATGCCAGAGTCCTCATAGAAGTCTAAAATTCAGGACTTCCCTCCTGTTGAAACTTATTTTGAAGATGAAAATGGTACTGTGCAAACTCAGGCTGTATACTATGAGTGGAGGCCTACCAAATACTCGCACTGCAAGGGATATGGGCATGATGGGGAAGTTTGCAGGAAGCTTTATGCTGTAACTAAGGGTAAATCTGATGGCATGGAAGCTCCTCGGATTACAAAACCTGATGGCATGGTAGCACCTAGGTCTACAAAGTCTATTGATCAAGAATAGAGAAGAGTACAAAAGGGCAAGGAAGTCGTACTAGAAGGTGCACATGGGGACTCAGAAATATTAGTAGGAGAGACTCTAAGCAGGAAAGAGTAAGATATTGATAATGGTTCTCAGAGCTGGGCTATCCAACATTCTCAGTTTTTGTATTATCAGACAATGAAGATGCAGGGCCTAGTCAGCTAAAGTTAACAAACCAGAAGGAGGATCAAGGGGGTGCACCAAGGGAGCCTGATCCAGGTACAATAGGCCAAGTCTTTTATCCTGGAATATTAGAGGTTTAAACAGACTCTTTAAGCAAAGAGAAGTAGCTTGATTAGCATCAGAGCATAAAGTAGATGTTATTTGTTTAATGGAAACTAAGTTGATACAGAGTAAAGGAGAAGAATATGTAAAAAGGATGTGGCCTAATTTTTCAGTCTTATTTTAATGATGATTATAGCCCTAGAGGGACAATATGCTTACTATGGAGAAAGGATAATATTAAGCTGTCAATCTTGAGTGCATCGGATCAATTTGTGCACTGTAAAGTATTCACAAGTCATAATAGTTGGTTCTATCTCACTGTAATTTATGCTAGTAATAGCATTAGAAGGAAACATAAGTGGGGCCTGGCTGATCACTAGTGATTTCAACAATGTGCTGAGGCAAGATGAGAGAGTCGGGGGCAATCCAGTAACCATAATAGAAACTCAGGAATTCCAGAGGTGTGTGGATATCTGTGAATTGCAAGATTTGAAGCAGCAAGGGCATCTGTTTACATGGAGTAAGAAGCAGCTAGGGGATGCCAGGATTACATCTAGAATTGACATAGCACTTGTCAATCTGGATTGGATACTTCAATATGAGCAATCATTAGCTATTGTATTGGCAGAAGGAGTCTCTGATCATACGCCATTTATAATTCAGACTGACACGAAAGTAAGTTACCTTCCCAGACCATTTAAATACTTTAACATGTGGTGCTTGGATAGTGATTTCTTAATGTTAGTTGATCAAAGTTGGAAAATCCCAGTGAAAGGTACTAGAATGTTTCAGCTGACTCAGAAATTGAAAAGATTAAAGCCAGTGCTGAGGAGGCTGGATAAACAGAAATTCTCTGATATACAAAAAAAACACAGGAGGCTTACCAGCAATTATTAGAAATTCAAAATCATATTCATAGAAGACCTGATGATGTGGTAGCCTAGCATGAAGAAAGAAGTAGAAATCATGAGTATTTTCAATTGGCCAAGGCTTTGGAATCATACTGGACACAAAAGGCTAAGGCAGATTGGATTCAGCATGGTGATAGTAATAAGACATTTTTCCACGCCAAGATCAGACAAAGAAATATCAAGAATCGAATATGGTCTTATAAGGAAGAGGACGGTACTATGAAGAATGATTGGAAGGAGGTGGAAAATCATTTCCTGGCTTTTTTTCGGAAATAGCGAGGTCGGAAGATTCAAAGGGTTAAATCTAATAGCCGGGTTTTTAAGCAGGGATACAGGCTTTTTGTAAACCAGCAGCTGGATATTATCAGGCCAATCTCTGCAAACGAGATCAAGAGAGCCTTATGGAGCATTGGTGGAAATAAAAGTCCCCGATGAGATGGCTTCTTTAGTGAATTTTTCAAGAAGACTTGGGACATAACCGGTGCAGATGTTATAGCAGCAATTCATGAGTTTTTCTCCACAGGAAGTATGCTAAAGCAGTTGAATGTCATCTTGTTAGCTTTGATCCCCAAGAATGATGCCCCCAGAAACTCTACAGAATATAAACCCATTGCATGTTGCAATGTGGTCTATAAATGCATCTCCAAGGTCCTCTGTGAAAGGAGGAAGAATATCTTAGCTGATTTAATAAATGAGAACCAAAGTACTTTTATCAAAGACAGGTTATTAATGCACAATGTACTCATAATGCAGGAATTGGTGAGATTGCATAGGAGGAGGAACATCTCTGGCAGAGTTTTGATGAAAATTGACATCAAAAAAACTTTTGACACGGTGGAATGGGATTTTATTGATGAAATGCTGCATGGTTATGACTTCTCAGGATAGTTCATCAGCTGGATTATGGTTTGTGTTTCTTCACCCTCTTTCTCCCTTTCCATGAATGGTACTTTGGTTGGTAATTTCGCAGGAAGAATGGGACTTAGACAGGGAGATCTTGTGTATCCTTAACTTTTTGTTCTTGTAAGGGAATATCTTACAAGAACACTAAGTATGAGTGTGCACTTTTAGTTCAGAAAATGATAGCCCGAATTAAAAGTTGAGAAACTAGACATTTGTCGTATGCAGCTAGGCTTTAGTTAACAAATTCTGTGCTGATGTCGTTGCATGTTTTTTGGGCTAGTACTTTTATTCTGCCTAGTAGTGTTATAAAGCAAGTGACAAGGATTTATAGGGAGTTTATCTGGGGGCCAAAACAGGCTGAAAGATCCCTTCCCCTAGTTGTCTGGGATGTATTTTGTAAAAAGAAGAGAGAAGGAGGACTGGGTATCAGAGATGTTAAATTGTGGAACCAAGCTGCCATTCTGAAACAGGTGTGGAATTTAGCAGGGAAAAGTAACTCTCTCTGGGTGAAATGGACTCATGAAATCTATTTAAGATGTCACACAATATGGGATATTGAGAAGAAGCAAGATTCCAGTTGGCACTGGAAGCAAATCTTGAAAATTAGAGACTTGGAAAGAGATGGTTTTGTAGGCAGCAATTGGAAGGGGAATGGGACTGGAGTATATACTATCTCCGTAGGTTATAACTAGTTGAAGGGCCAATCAGCTAAGGTTCCTAAGGCCAGTTTGATATGGTCTAAGCTGAATGTTCCCAAATACACCTTTATAGCTTGGTTGATGTGGCTAGGTAAATTGTTGACAAAAGATAGACTGATCACAATGTCCATCATTGAGGTAGATCCTCTCTGTACTTTGTGCCAGTCTCATCTTGAAAGTCATCATAATCTATTCTTTGAGTGTACAGTGACTGCTGGAATCTTTCATCAGATCAGAGCTTGGCTTGGCATCAGGTAAATCTCTACAGACTGGAATATTTGGAAGAAGGAAGTTATACGCATCTGGAGAGGTACTAAATTGAAGTTTCTTTTGTGGAATGCAGCTGTAGTGGCAGTGATATACCACTGCTAGGAGGAAAGGAACAAATGCATTTTCAGAGAAGTTAGGAGGAGAATTGATGACATCGTACAATTGATAAAAAAGGAGCTTTATCTAAGAATCAAAATGCACCAAATTAAGTTTGTTTCGATAGTAGAAAAAAACTGATCCAATTGTATTTTCCAGATCAAAGTTATCTGGTAGAGTAGCACAATTTTGACTCGGAGGCTGTAAATATGAGTTATCTTTGATTGTTAATGAAAAGCTTTACAGTTCCCCTCTCCCTTCCCCCAAAAAAACTCCTATTTTATAAATAAATTTGATTGATAACTTACGATAAAATTACCAAATAGTAGTTTTTGTGGTTGACTCTAAAAAGATCATATAACCCAATATGACATTCAAAACATATAATCATTGCAATTTCGTTCATGCGCGTGAAGTGTGTTCAATCGCCCTAGTCTTATATTATTTTCGTCTCACAAAAATAGTTCACATTGAATCTTGAATTTTGTACTGTTTTTAGTACAAATTTGAAAACTCAATGTAAATTATTTTTGTGAGATGAAGGGAGTATTTATTATTGGAGACTAAGAAAACAAAAAATATCACAGCAACACAAACTCCTTCCACCCTAAGAATTCCTTCAAAATTCTCCACAACCGGCGGCTGTCACCCCGGATTCCTCCTGCCGTAATTATTTGCTATTGAATAAACAAATTCCATCCATATGAATATACTCTTTCTGTCCCAAAATTATTGTCCAATTTCAATTTTGAATTTAGTATAATTGTACTAAAGGACGAGGGATTAAAATTGTCCGCGGGAGACAGATGTCAATTTTTGGAGAAATTTGTCAAGGGGTTTTATTTACCAAAATTATACTACAACTCGCATTACATTCCTTCTCAAACTTTCAAAATTGTTCTGTTTCATTACTGCCGATGCCATGCCATCAATTTGTATTTGGGTGTTGCATTTTTATTTCATTTCAAAATCTTTTAGTTATCTCAACTTTCTTGGACATTCATGTCCATACATAATAACATAACAATTGCAGAATGGATAATAATAATAACAATAAACACAAAATTTATTGTGTAGTTCAAAGGATTAAGAGCTCCCAGACCAAGGCAACAAACTAGAGGTTGCCAACAACTTCATCCTTTAGATCCACGTCTTCGATCTTTGTTTCAATCTTCTCTAGTTCAGAAGCCTCAGCTGATGAATAATCTTATGAAACCATCAGTTTCTGGTATTAGCCAATGCTTAAATTGCTCCTCCAAACGTCTCCAAATCTTATGTTATGCTCTCAAAACCAAGCATGGTCATCAGTCCACATGATGGTAAATGTCAATAATGCTCAAGAGGACCTCAAATGCATATCAAAGAGACTAATGTGCGTCTCTGTACAGTGTGACTGTCATCTCCTGTCTTTCGCCTTCCTGTAAGAAATGAAGATAGATGCAAATCCAAATCCCAAAGTTCAGGATCATTGATACCATTGTGAACGTTACGACACAGGAAGCAACATATTCGCCTTCTGTCAAAACCTTATATCTGTCACGTGTCAACTGTTAAAATGATATAGCCGGTGCATTAAGGTCTTCCAGCATCATATGTCCCAGTACTACAAAATTCAAAACTTCCAAAAGTCTTTCAAGCATTTAGCATTCAACTCAACCACTTAGTCCAAAAAAGTAATCTTTGGTTGTTCAACCCGAGAAAACCTCTGCTTCAATATCCTAGTTGTCACTCTCCTGCAAGCCTTTAACATCATAATCTCAGGTCATTACACATAGGTCGATCTCCCAGTAACAGAAATGGCATTAAACCAGAAAAGTGCATTCACATTCATTAAGATAGTTCAAGAAACCACAAAACCTCTCTTTTTCATGTCCTCAATTACCAAATCCAACTTATCCTGCAAGCCAGCTCGGCGGTAGCCAGCAGTCAGAATGTCATAAGATGATCTTCTGAGCTTGAAAGAACCTCTTATGATTTCCAAAAATAGATCTAGCCTATCATAAGCTGCATGCTGGAAATACAAACAAATGATCTTGTCAACATCATCAGGGCATCTGAACGAGATACCTTGTTTTAGCATCCTTCCCACAGAGTAATCCACATCGTCCAGTCTATCTGTCGATACATACAGCCTTATGATCATACTGTGCATTAAGGAGAGAATTCCTAAATCTTGTTTCGACTTAGTAAAAGCATCTAGCAACTCCTCCATATCCTGCACCCTTCTCAGCTCATAGTATAAACCAAGAACCTTCTCTGCTGTGTACCTATCAATCTTAGCTGAACTATCCAATAGGAGCATCGTGTATTCTCTAATTTTACAGAAATTTCTATGTTCAGTGTACACCAAGAGCATATTCTGCAGAATAGAAAGGCTGGGCACAAATCCTGTTGATGCCAGTTCTACAAAAAGTCTCTCAGCATCCACAAAGTCTTTTGATTTGACAGAACCCAATATAAGAGCCTCATATGTTTGAAGACAAGGGGGGAATCCAGCGGCTGCTCTGGCAGAGTTCCAAGCCCACATTGCCTTTTTGTTTCCAAGGTTTGCAAATGCCAACATAAATGCATTATACGTATCAGAATCACAATTGTACTCATCAGAAAACCCCATCAATTCATATAAGCTCAATGCCCTCATGAAATTACCAGAAGACAAGCACGCAGAGATAAGGGCATTAAAGACAGAAGACGTTGGCTTGATTCCCTGGGCTTCCATGGATGAAAACACACCTAATGCAGTTTCAAAATTTTTTAATTTTCCACAAAGCAAGAGTAACCTAGTATAGGCAGCTTGATTCTTCTCATTTTCTTTGATAAGCTTCTCTAATTTCCATTCAATAACCTGAATTAATTCACAAAATTGCATCCATTTCAGCAAAAATCCCCCAAAATATCCAAACTCCATTCATTATCATAATGTAAGCTCTTTAAAGAAGGCAATATTCCAGTAACAGAAAGCTAATAGCAGACAATTTGACTAAACATAAACAGACAAATACAGGTTTCAGATAGAAAAGGAAAAACGCCACAACTAAAAGTTTTCAGGAAGAAGACCAAAATGAACTACAAGAAACACATGATCCCGGAACACAGTAAGCAAAATAGTAAGATTCAAAGAGTAGTGTTTATAATCACCAAATTTGCCTTCTTGGGAAATGAGAAATCTTTGAGCGGCAAAACAACTGTTTCCAGTGAAAAGTCTGGGTCATTGAGAGCCGAAAACTGATCATTCTCTTCCAAATCCATTGTTTCTTTGACTCTATGAAGCGGGACCCGGATCAATTTTGTAACTAGCGAAGAAGCAAAACTGGGCGCGAAGGCTACGTTAGCGTTGTGGCGGACCATATGAAGCAGGGGAAGTTGAGAACGAATTAGAGCTTGATTCATGGTTTTCAATGCCATATCAAACTCCAATCTGCAGGGTAATTGATAAAAATCAAGAAAACAAAGACTTTTAAGGAAAGGAAAGCAGTTTAAGGGGAGGCACAGGGAAGAAGGATCGGAGTAGAGTGGTGGACGGCGGCGGCGGGGAGGTAGCTCGTTTGGGGAAATAGTCGAATAACCCGAATTATTTGGTTAATTCGGTTTAACGGTTTGGTCTGTATGTATGTAGTCTAAAAAGACTCCACATTTAATGTAAATTTTTTTTTTAACAAGATAATAAAAAGCTGATAAATAGCAGCAGATTTTCTTCCACATCAAAAAGTGAAACAAGACTTAATAAAAACATGAAAAAGAAGGAAATTCCAAGTCAAAAACAACTGGAAAAACATGAAACTTGGCCATCCATATTTCCTTTGACAATGTTCTTTAAATTGCAACAAAAATCAGGAAGTTAACTCCATGAACACAAAAAAGGAAGGTTCCTCCTCAGAGAAGATGCATTTCCCCAAAAAAGCATTGATATCAAAAGAAATCCATTTCACATGTCTCAGAACTCAGAAGCTGATGGCATCACGTCCTATTAATTCAATGGGACATTATTAGTCCATAAAAGTTTCCATCTTTTTGAGTTGCCACAACATCTTGGGTGGGAAGAATGATAGAATATGAATCAAAAACTGAATCTGATAAATTCCTGATCCTATTCAACAACAAAACTCATCCTTCATCGCTGCTTAATTTCTGGCGCTTAGAGTTAGGGCCCGAATTTCCTTTACAAGTTTAAGTACTGGCTGGATTAGAAGTCGCCATACATCCATAATTAAATGAAGCTCCAACATAAAATATGTTGATCTAAACCCACACTACAAAATAGAGAACAAGATTTCATATTTTGCAACCCACACTATGCAGCTTTAGTGTTTCTCTTCCTCAGTCATCAGTCTTCACCAAGCAATGAAGGTAAAGCAGGGAATTCGTAGGCTTCATTCTTGAATCTATATCGAAACAGCGATTTCCAGAACAAACAAGAGGAAGGTGTTGTTCATTGCTGCGTCTTCAGGTACTCCATTAACAAAGAAGATTACATTAAACCAAGCCTACCAAGTACACGAAAATGAGGCTTGACGATCATCCGTCGACTGAAGCCTGAATTTGGTCGGAATAAGGGCTGTGGATATATACTTATACAGAGGTTGCATATGGCAACTGAGAACTCTGTTGTAATGTATACAGAGGTTGAATACAGAGGTCGCATAAGGCAAATACAACCTCTGTTGTTTTTCCGGTTCTTTGTGGGTGGGTTCATTATGTAATAAATTCAAATCTTCAAACGCCCTCCATAGCTCTATAATATATATATATATATATATATATATATGACCTAATTTAATCTTAAGAAAGTTGCGATCCTAATAATCATATCACAATCTATTCAAACAGTTCTAACTTCACAGATTTATTAAATAATAAATAAATAAATAAATAAAATTGGACCTTAAATAGAAAACAACACGCACCATAAGCGGAGAAATAATCAGGATGGCCAGAGAAGAGGCATCATCTTTCCCTCTCCAAGAAGCATGATCAAAAGAAGTCAATTTCACATGTGGGCGATCCTTTCTGGAAGTTCATCATCTTCTTGGCGATGCTAAACTTGACTTGAAGTTTATGATAGTTGCTCTCAGATTTCAACAGTTGATCTTCCCATCCGCGCGATTTCTCGCCTTTACGGGTGCAACACTTCCGCTCTTCACAGTCTGGATTGGCAGGATGCAGTTCTACCTTTTCTAATACCTTCCCATTCTTAAGCATATACTTTAACATTCCGACCTCAAATTCTGATTCCCTCAAATCATGGATCCGAATAATTCTAAGGCTTGACATCAAACAACTAGGTACAAGAGCCGGATCCTTCCATGAATTTATAGGATAAAGAATACTGCTATGAGGGAACTCATCCTGTTTGATAGGCCAAAACAAAAACATTAAAACTTCTCTTTCCATGACAGTGATTTTCCTAAAACTACTGACACATACTCCCATCAGTCCTTATTATAAGACATTTTGATTTGTTCTAAGTTTCACGTAGCATATATTTTTTTGATTGAAGAAAAATCTTTAAAACTACATTTTCATATTCATTGTGTTCTTCTAATTATTAGAAAATATTTTAAATTTTTTTTTGTAAATTAAAAAGACATATAATAGGTGAAACTTAAAACAAATCAAAATGTCTTATATAAAGGACCGGAGGAGAGTATTTCTTAGTCGCATATTCAGGAATGTGAAATAAGATATGTGTTTCATTAATGTATGACTTTTATTATGCATATTTTCCATCTTTTTTGACAAGATTCCGGTTGCGACAACTTCTTTTGTAGGAAGAAAAGATAGAATATGGTGCAAAAGTGCATCGGGTAAATCACTGATCCTGGAAACACAACTTACATCTTGGTCTGATGATTTCTGGCGCTTAGGGTTAGGGCATGAACTTCCTTGTTGAGAAGGTTGAGGAGTAGAAGTCGCCATACCACATTCATCAATCGCAACAAATTAACAAACGCTCATCCAATCTCTAAAAAAAAGGATCAATAAAAATATAAGGAATGAACCTTTTCAGATTTTGCAACCCTAAATTGATTTGATGAATCAGAACAAAGAGGGTTAACCCACAGCCCGGACACAGTAAGAGATATTCCTTCCGGTCCTTATTATAAAGTATTTTAATTTTTTTTTTCACATTCTTTGTGTTCTCTTAATTATTAAGATTTTTTTTAAGTTTTTATTTCAATTAAAAAGATATCTAAGTGACCTCTAAGACAAAGTCAAAATGCCTTATAATAAGGACCGGATAGAGTATCTTATTTTGAGAAAATAAAAGAAGTTGTGAAAAGTTTCTTTTCACTAAAAAAGTATTTAGGGAAAATCGAACTACTCGACGTATTGGAGACAATTAAGTGCTTAATATGATTTTTACAATAATTTTTCTAAATGACCACAATAATGGATGCTTTTTTGTTGCAAATATATAATGAAGTTTAAGCTACAAAAAGATCATATTGGATGAAATAATGATGTGAAAATGATGCGGAATCTACATAAACCAACCTTTAATTTTCTTTTTCTTTTTTTTTTGAAAAAAGAACCTTTAATTTTTTTATTATGTGAATTAAAATAATGATACAGATAAAGTTCTAGAGGATTTTAACCAACCTCTGAGTACTACTATTATGGCTAAATCCAAAACATTGATGGATCAAGCAGTACAATGTGCTAAAGAAAACATTACAAATAAAGATAACTCTATTTGAAGAAACAAGATCAAACTCCGGCCACGTACAAAACAAGAAATTACTGGGCAACAAGAACCAAATTCCGCTGTGGAGTACGCCACATTTGCAATAAGAGCTTTCGGCAATAAATACTTAGAATTGCAAAAATCATTTGCCAGGCTGGTAATACGTGGAATTGTGGAAGGGATACAAATTCATAATGTTTTTTATTGTAGTTCTAAGAATATAAGACCAAGGTTTTCATGTAATCATTCATGGCTTGAATGCAAAATTCTAAAGTAAACTCGCACGGGTGGACTTTTCTCTTGTAAACAATTGTATCGACCTTGTCGTTGACTTTTTTAACTTAATTATAAAGTCGATAGGAAAACCAAAATCACTTGAAAACATTTACGTTGACTTGTCCGTCGACTTTCTTAACTCAATAAAGTCAACAAAAGAAATTTTCTCTTCAAAACATAAGCGTTGACTTTCTCAACTCAATGGCAAAGTTGATTAAAAAAAAAATTCTTGTAAATATTTTTTCCGACTTTCATAACCGGACCAAAAAAATTAAGTAATTAACTGAAGCAAATATCTTCAAAACATTCACATTGACTGCACTAACCCAAAAAGTGGTTCGACGCAAGAAAAATTGTCATGCAATCATTCACTTGGACTCTTTGTTTGACCTCTTCAGACGGACAACTACACCAACAGGACGAAAAACCTTGTCACTAAACTCAAACACACAGACTTTATTGTTGATTTTGTTTCCTTGATGAGAAAATCGATGTAGTACGAATTCTATTATGAACTCGCGCTACATATACATAATGATCAAATGAAATAACTTTGCATGTCTTTGATCTTCTCTGGAAATCCAGCACCTGCTGAGCTAAGCGAAACTTGGCTTCAAATGTACGGAATTTGCATTCATATTCAAAAAACTTCACCTCCCAATTGATGTGCTTTCGCACGGTGGGTGCTGTAATCTCGTCGAGCACGGAATATTTCAGTATGATGCAATTCAACCGTCTCTGATACTTTCCCATTCTTGAGCAAACTAAAATGTCCAAATAGTTCTTTACATTTGGGCTTACTTGAATTTACATCTCTAACATTAATATTTCAATATCTTAGTCCCAAACATTATGTTTTCAAACTTTTTTTTTTGTCTCATTTCACTGTTTCCGACCGTTGACAGACCCGGATCAGGGGTATTTTTGTCTTTTAATTTAATTTGAATTTCTATTAAAATTTAAATTATGAAAAATATTTTAAAATTCAGATTTCATTATTTAATTGTTAAATTATTATTTATTAATTAAAAATATTATTATAAAATTTTAAGATTTATCATTATTTTCAAAATTACTTTTAGCATTTACTATTTACCTTGGGTATACAATAAATGGTAAGTATGTTGCACTTTTAATTTTGGCCCTCCTGTAACTTAAGAAATTTACCGAGTTACAGTAAATAATTCAAAATTCAAATTTTTTTTTAAAAAAAAAGAAAAAGCAAAACCATGATTTTTTTACTTTGACTACCGCTACATTAAACCCTAAATGAATATAATGTCACACTTTTAACCTTGGCACCATGTAACTTAAAAAATTTACCGAGTTATAAATAGTTCAAAATTTAATTTTTTTTTTTAAAAAAAAGAAAAAGCAAAAGAAAGATTATTTTTGACCGACTATAGTAAACCCTAAATGGAAATTATGTTGCATTTTTAACCTTGGGCCCGCTATAACTTAAAAAATTTATCGAATTACAGTAAATAATTCAAAATTCAAAAAAAAAAAAAGCAAAACCAAGATTTTTTATTTTTTTTTACTTTGACCGCTACAGTAAACCATAAATAGTAACTATATTACACTTTTAACCTTAAGCCTAATGTAACTTAAAACATTTACTGAATTACAGTAAATAATTCAAAATTTCATTTTTTTAAAAAAAAAGAAACAGCAAAATCCAGAATTTTTACTTTGTCCGCTACAGTAAACCCTAAATAGTAATTATGTTACACTTTTAACTTGGGCCCAATATAACTTTAAAAATTTACCGAATTATATTAAATAATTCAATATTCAAAATTCAAAATTTGAATTTCATTTTTAAAATATTTACTGTAGCTCGGTAAATTGTTTAAGTCATAGTAGGTCCAAGGTTAAAATTAAAGTGTAACATAATTACCATTTAGGGTTTATTGTAGCGGTCAAAATAAAAAAAATCTTGGTTTTTCTTTTCTTTTTTTTAAAAAAATTGAATTTTGAATTATTTACTGTAATTTGGTAAATTTTTTAAGTTATAGTAGGCCCAAAGTTAAAAGTACAACATAATTGCCATTTAGAGTTTACTGTAGTGGTCAAAGTAAAAAAATCTTAATTTTGCTTTTTCTTTTTCTTTTTTAAGGAAAAAAATTGAATTTTAAATTATTTATTGTAACTCGATAAATTTTTAAAGTTACAGTGGGTCCAAAGTTAAAAGTGTGACATAATACTATTTACTTTGTACCTAAGGTAAATGATAAATGAAAAAATTAATTTTGAAAATAATGTAAATTTCGAAATTTTATAATAATATTTTTAATTAATAAATAATATTTTAATAATTAAATAATGAAATCTAAGTTTTAAAATATTTTTAATGATTTAAATTTTAATAAAAATTCAAAATAAATCAAAAGATGAAAATACCCCTAATTCTGGCATGTCAATGGCTGGAAACAGTGAAATGAGACGAAAAAAGTTTGAAAACATAATGTTTGGAACTATGATATTAAAATGTTAATGTTAGGGACGTAAATTCCAGTAGATCCAAATGTAAGGAACCATTTGAACATTTTAATCAGTATGATGCAATTCAACCGTCTCTAATACTTTCCCATTCTTGAGCATGTACTTTAACATACCCAGCTCAATTTCTGATTCCCTGAAATCCAGAAGCAAACTCGTTCTAAGGCATGACTTCAAACATCTGGGCACAACCCTCGGATCCTTCCATAAATTTTCTGCAATAACCCAGCTAGGAGAATCTTTGTCCTGTTTCAATTAAAGGAGGGAAAAAATTGTTGGAAAGAAACAGCGGAAATCCATTTGCCAAATTTTCATTTGCTCAACTAAAACTGAATGCCCAAACTAGACAATCATTTCAGAATGAAGGGAATATTATGTTTCACTTCATTATTAAATATATGCAGTGCTCAACCTCTCATCACACCCTGTATTATTGATGAAGAATTTAATTTTCCCTTGTAAGTGTATACGCAATTTTCGTACGTTATCGAATTCTTGTCTCCGAATGGACAAAATTTCAAGAGCAAGAGTGGCAGAAATCAGGTTACTAGGTGATTCCTCATCTCCATATTTCACTGAATCCAGTTCAATTATGTTCAAATTTGAAATGCAGGCTGTGCTTGGAACAGTAATAGTCACCTTACCACCGCTCAACTTGAGAACCACAAGCGTTTTGCAAGTGAAAGTGCTTCGAAGCAACTGAAACGATAAACCAGGGGTATGGAGATCCAGCTCTTCAACGTTTCAGGTGATTGCCTTCCTGATCCGTGGTTGAAGATCAAAGGTGTCAGTCGCGACGCTTTTGATTCTAAACTTCTGAATGGATCCAGCGTTGTGCTCAATCAAGACCCTGTTAACATAATTCATAAATCTCATTCCTGATTTTTTGAAGTGCCAGCCATTGTCATCGAAATCGAGGGAGGGGACACTTGTCCAGAGAAGACTCCATCTTTTTGACAAGACCCCAGTTGCCACAACATCTTTGGTGGGGAGAAATGATAGAATATGTGATAAAATTGAATCCGGTAAGTTGCTGATCCTGTCAACTACAGAACCCACTTCTTCATTTCTCCATTTCCGGCGCTTAGAAAAAGGGGTTGAATTAGAAGGAGGAGATTGAGTACTACTTGCTAGTTTACAAGTCGACATACTCATCATAAGATGTGCCTCAACTGATGAGAAACAAATGGCTCTTGGGATTACTTTATAGAGATGAATGAAATCTGAAAGGGTAGCGTTGCTTTTCAGCTTCCTCATCTTTAACCCTTCGATTCAGTCACTTAGTAACTAGTTAACTTAACAATGCTTTAGTCTCTTAATGATAATCTGTCAGAGGGGGAAGAATGTCAATGAATAATCATTGAACATTAAAAGAAACTCCTCCATTTAGCCTTGAGGCTTGCCCTTACTCTTTTGATACTCTTGCCTTTGGTTGTAATAATTCTATAAATTTTATTTTATTTTTTTTTTGGGGGAGAGGGAGTCTATAATTTTTGTTATTATTAACAAATAATTGTTTCAAGATCAATATTTACAATTTGTAATGCTTGAGAATATCCATTTATCTATCTATCTATCTATAGAATCCATATAGAACCCATTATACTAAAAATCACAAACTATCCAAAATTCCAAGTGTCAGTATTTCCTTAAAAGTTTCCCACAAAAAATTACTCAGGTCAACCCTTCCGTTTCACTCATCTTCAATACCTCCCTCGATCTCTAAAATTAAGTGTTAATGTAGCGGAATTGCAGTTTACATCAATCTACAGCAACCGACATTAACCAATAAAGCAAAGTCCATAAATTTTTTTTTTGTCAACTTCCGCATTAAATCTGACTCAAATTCAAAATATCCAATATGTTTCACACAATTGTTGTGACCGAAACTACTACTGTCGGGCGCGTGAGGTTTGCTTTTCAAACATGATAATCTAATGCAATTAGTCTCGCGAGCTTAAATTCTCTCCTATTGCTCCAGTTCTGTTGATTTACGGTGGCAACAAACAAAAGATAGAAACAAAGTTAATTGCTTTGAAGAGTTTCATGTACGTGCATTTGGGAAATCTGGAGTCATCCATCAGATATGTGAAATGCATTGTTTTAATAAAAACTAACTAAAGAAGAAGATGTGACCGTATTTTGAGATTTATTTAAGATGAGATGTGAGGAATGATTTAAATTTTAAGCTACATCCATTGAAATTCAACACGGACGTTTATCTTTAAGATTGGAAAATAAGAAAGTGCTTAGTACATTACATTTTTGTGGTTGATTTTTGAATAACTTTTCTAATTAATATGCTTACATTGATTTAGTGACTCTAAGGCTCCGTTTAATAATTATTGAAGTCAGAATCTGAACACTTAACACTTAATATTGAATTCTAAAGTTTGAAGACTGAATTTACATTATTTGCTAAAAACGTCTGAATATGATGTCTGAAAACTGAATTTGAATACTCATGTTTGAAAGTTATTTAAAATTTTAATATCATTAAAATTGAATTATAAATAAAATTCTTTTAAATAACTAATATTTTGTTCTAAATAATAAAATAATAATTTTAAAATAAATTTTTGGTATATATAATGAAAGTAGATGTTACACTTGGTAAATAATCAAGATATAATTAAATTTAGATTATTACATATATGTGTATACCTTGTTATTTAGCAAATTTCATGTATTAAAATTAGCAAACTTCAAAACATGCACACGGCACACCTGCTTCTAGTCTTTTCTAACCCGATGACAAAGTGAACGAAAGAAAATTTCTCTTGTGAATATTTCATCGACTTTACGTCCCAACAATTTAATGGATGGAAGCAAAATTTCTTTAAACATTTATATTGACTTCACTAAACCCAAGAGTAGTTCGTCACAGCGGGGTGGAGAACTCTTTAGTTACATTCCCAAGTCTTATTTTTTTCTCCTTGATGAACAAACTGATTCACGTGGTTTTATAATTAAGGCACATCTACTTTCATATCCAATCAGATGCAAAAAAAATTAAATTCTATTTGCAAATCCTCATGCGAGACTTCTCTCTCCCCCTACAAACGTGCTAAATTCGTGTAAACATTTAGCAGAGCCGATGGTAAGAAAGTGACTAAAATCATGAAGTTACTGTTAAAATCATGAAATTCTTGAAAATGAAGAGTTCAACACAGTTGTTTTGTTGGGAGGCGAGGACCAAATATGGTAAACCAAACTAGCTACTCAAACACAATAACTAGCAAGTAATACAGCGGAATGAAACCAAGACCCCCCCAATTTGCAAAAATCTAATAGGAGCAAAAAATACCAACACCAAGTGGAAGTAAAACTATCAATAAAAGAACAAGAAAGCAAAAGTAACACACAACACCAATTTTACGTGGAAAATCTCCTTCGGTGTGAAGGAATAAAAACCATGAGATCAAAAAGCCTATCAAATCCACTAATCACCAAATAACAGTAGGAGTACACCAATCCAACAATACAACAAAGATATCTAGTTTTCACCCAAACTAAACCAAACTACAAAGGTACTAGAATATCAATACAAGATCAAAAGATCAACTAAACATCCACAAAACTAGCAGCAACTTCAAAAGTACAATACTCACAATCTATCCGACGAACACCAAAACCCTTCGGTAGAAATGAAGATCGATGAGTATTGTAACTCCAGTTCAAATTTCAGGACCAACGGACAACGATTCCCCTCCAAACTTGAAGTTTTCAGACGCTGCTACAGTGGAACCCTTTCTGGAAATTTTCAGTTCCCTCTCTCACTTTTTGGTTCTGTTTCCCGTAAATGGCACACCTTCCTCATTTTGATTTTGGCTGCATTGTACTACCTCTTAGTGGACTTATACGTTAAGCTGATGACATAACACAAGTTGGGCCAAACTTACTTAATTACTTGGGCTTTGACCCACATAGTTGAGAGCCCATCCCAATATGTTCATAGGTGGAAAATACTGTTACCAAAAACAAAAAGCTCGACGAATGGATACAGAAACACTTAAATGAGGGGACTACATGCTTTTTTCTTTTTTTATCAAACAAATTTAAGTTCGCAAGCCTTCGACCCTCTCTGGAAATCCATGATCTCTCGTGCAACGCAAAACTTGACTTCAAGCTTATGACGGTTGCGCTCATATTCAAATAATTTCCTCTCAAAATCACGGGATTTTGCACCTTTCCCGAGTGGTATAAACTTGGTGACCTTCGTCGGAACCTGTATGATGCAACTCCACCTTTTGTAACACAATCCCATTCTTCAGTATATACTTTAACATCCCAAGCTCACATTCTGATCCCCTGAAATCTTTTATGGAAATGTATACGAGACTTGAAGTCAGGCATATGGGTACGACAGCAGGATCTTTCCACGTATTTTCAGCAATGTCAACATTACTTGAATGTATGTCCTGTTTCAGTGAGTGTAAAAGGGTTTAAAGATGGAGTGCTTTTTCGAATACTCGCGCCTTAAATGATTGACTCAATCTGAAAATAACTATTCCCTCCTTTACAAAAATTATTTTTCAGTTTCGATTTCGATTTTAATTGACGGTGCAAATTACATAATAAAATAGCAAATGTAAATTGGACTATCATTTTTTCTTTCTTTCTTTTTTTTTTTTTTTGGACGGAGGGGAACGTATGCTCTTCAAAAGTTGGGAAATAGGAAACTAACCTCAATCAAATCCAAAATTGCGAGGTAGTTGAAGCATTGAAGAAAGCAAGGAAGCATGGAGCGCCAAAAACTTCTAATTCCCATCGTTAAGCGAACTAGCCAAAAGTTCACCGCAGGTGGAAAACATGATTGCTGCATGGGGGTTATCTATAAAAATTTAAAAAAAAAACAATAATAAAATAAAATAAAATAAAATAAATCAAGTGAAATTCAACAATTCCACTTAAACTTCACCATTTCTTTTTGCGAATCTAAGCATAAGCTATTATACGATTATGTAAGGAAAGCTTGAGACATGTCGTCTGCTAATTAGATTAAATAGAATTAAAAGGAACAAAAAAAAAAAAAGCCAGCTAGTAGTAAACTTACAGTTAGAGTAGCACCAAATAAATAAAGATATGAGACGTTGTGAAATGCTTTAATACAGTTGATGAGGGACTGGCAACAAAGGGCATTGTGCAAATTAAGGTTTGCTTTATACGAGGATCCAATATTCGTAACCAATAAAGTATGAGAGACATAATATGTGATAACCTGGTGTTCGAGCAGAGGAGCATTTATATCTAGCACAGTTTCTTCATCTTCATCTTCATTACCAAAACGATAGTTAAAGCGTCATGTTTCTATTTTGAGAGACTTCAGGGATGGCGAGCGTATACCCAACTTTCGCACATTAATTGTCAAAAGATTTTCTCACAATGGACAAATCATGAAGAGCTGATCTATTTGAATTAGGGGCCAAGGGTTTCGGAGTCGGCAGTTCGTCCCTATGGATCCAGAGGATTTTTCGTCGGAACTTGGTTAAGGGCGTTAGTTGCCTATCTATCTTGGGCAGTGCCGGTCTGCCTTCCTGGGGGATTTTTGGTTTTTCTTTGGGGCCTACCGAGGCAAAGGATTCTTGGGACCTTTTGAGCGTGTGTTCTCGGTGTATATGGTTCTCGACAATAGCCCACATCTCCTGTGCATTCCTAGAGGGTTTTGTCGAGAGCTTAACTCGCAATATTAAGGATTTTCCGAAGGGGTTGAGACCTTGGATGAATCCGTTGCGGACGTCTCGATCGTCAATGTTGTCGACTTGCAAGGTCTCTTGTATGAATCGTCTGTGAAAGTCAGTTAGACTCTCATGCTGTCCTTGTCTGATCGAAGAAAGGTCGATGGACATCCGCAATATCCGTTTGCTTTGGAAGAAACGAGTAGCTAGTTTGACGGACAAATATTCAAAGCTAGTGACGCTTCCTTCTGGTAGTTGCCCAAACCACCGCTATGCTGATCCGGATAAGTAGGAAGGCAGCGCCTTTGCCATGAAGTTCATGGTTGCGTTTCGGATTCTCATGACTTGAACATATCCTTGCAGCCATTGGGAGACATCCGTATCTCCTGAATACAGTTTAAATTCTTTAGGGAAATCGAAATCTCGGGGCTTAGGTTCATCTCGAATGCCGGGGATGAAGGGGCTTCGGTCCAGCCCTATCCCGATGATTTTCCTCATTTCTTCTCGGATCAAAATGTTCTGGTCTCTTGTTCCTTGCTGGTCTTCCTGGTAGTACGGAGGATTTTCCCTATGCCCGTGATATTGTTGCTGTCTTGGAGGCGAGTATCGAGGACGGTGGTGGTATCCTTGGTCATAATCGCCCTCAGTGTTGTTGCGGCCTCGACGTGGCTCGTAGTCGTGCCTGTACTCACCTTTTCGAGGGCTCCTTCGATTCCAATTGAATTGAAGGCGATTATGTGCCTTAGTTTTCCTTGGGGGCTTCCCCTGTTCTCCTTCGAGGATCTCGACGCTCGGGGGATTTGGATTCTCTTCGACGCCCTTCCGTTGGTATATCGCGTCGAATTCCTCGAGGGAGGTGTCGAAGGCTGGGTATCTTTCTCTGAAAGCCTCCCAAAATATGGTATCTCTGGTAGTGTGCGAGCGTTCTTCGCGGGGGCTCTCGTAACCCTCAGTCTCTTGGTAATTCTCCTGCTCTTGACTTTTCGCTATTCCCGTTTCTTCTCGAGAAGGGCCAGGGTTCTACGAGCTTCTTTTTCGTCGACCAGATCTTCCAACTCTTGTTCTATAGGGTCGGGTTATCCGAGGAGACAACACCCTCTAGTTTCTTCGAGGACATATCTCCGCATCCTTTGCTGTTGATCACTATCATCGCCCAGCTTCTTGAGTTCGTCCTCGATTTTGGCCAGTTTCTGGTCTTCCAAACGCTTGGCGGCAGCGAGGGTATATCGAGGGGGCGGTATATCCTCTTTTTCAGGTGGAAGATTAGTGTTCCTTTGTTTCTTTGGTTCAGGCTGAGAAGCACCGAGGACCAAATGCTCCTTGGTTTGTTCTTTCCCAGGTTCTCCGCCGTGGCTTTTTCTTGTCTTTCTTTTTTCTTGCCGGCGTTGGAATTCGGCCAGGGGAATATCGTCTCCTAGACTACGCTGGTGGCCGAAGGAGGCCGTGCTTCCGGCGTCTTCTTCAATTCTGACCATCGTGACGGTTGTTCTGGCAACCCCGATCGTTATGAAAAGATGTTAAAGAAGCTTCAGGAGGTTTCTGCGACACAAACCCTAATTTACGAGTCCCACTGGGCATGCCACTTGACGATGCACGGATATGCACCGCCGGCTTAACGGTGGAACTCCGGTTAGGGTTTCCCGAGGGTAGACACTCCGATGCTTAAGTTAGTAAACAAGATTGCTAGAAAGTGTTGGGAAGTAATATGTTTGGCTTGTAGATTGCATACCTGAATTACGGTATGAGCTACCCTATTTATAGGTATGAGATTACTTGGACCATTCCGAATCCTCCTAGGTTTTAGGGATTCACACCGTCCTAAGAGTCCCAGTTGGATTCTTCTTGCGGTGAGTGGGCCGGTACAATCTCGGTCATGGATCTGGACTCGTCACTAGCTTATTCATCATCTTGAAATCTCACCGAATCGAGTTCGAGTATTTTCAAATTTGGTAAGCAGGCTGTTGTAGGAACAGAGACCATCACCTTTCTACCAGCCAACTTGAGAATCACAAGAGTTGTGCAACTAAAAGTGCTTCGAGGCAACTCAAAGGACCAACCTGAGGTATTGAGATCCAGCTCTTCCAGGTTTCGGGTGATTGCTTTTCTAATCCATGGCTCAGCATCAAAAGTGTTGAGTCAGTGCACATTTGATATTCCTTTTCACCAAACCAACTTCTTCTTTTCTTGATTTCTGGCGCTTAGAATTATTACTAGGGGGTGAGTTTTTATGGGGTGATCGAATAGTAGCTAGATTAATAGTCGACATACTCAGATAAGATGTGCTTACAACTAATAATCCTACATTGCGCAGGTAAGAAACATGTCGTTTTTATAGATATGAATGAGAGAGATAAAACCGAAGATCTGAAAGGGAAGAGTTACTTTTCAGCTTCTGAACCATCTTTTCAGCCTGCATTCACTTAATTAAACTATGCTGTTTTCTCTCTTGATGTGATAATCTGTCAAAGGAGGAGGAATCTCAATAAATTATCATCATTAAATATTAAAAGCAACCCTTCCATTTACCCTAGTAGCTTACAGTTTTTGGTTTAGCACCTAATAAAGAAAGACACCGGGCGTTGTGAAATGCTTCAAAACACTTGATTAAGGACTGACAACAATGGACATTCTGCAAATTAAGGTTGGTTTTATCCAACATCCCATGTTTGTAACCAGTAAAGAATGAGAGACACAATCTATGATAATAAGGACTTCCAGGACAGGGGCATTTATTTCTATTTTGAGATATTTCAGGGCTGCAGCATGTATGCGCATCTTCCAAACATTGTCGAACAAAATTCTGCGAATCGACAAGTTTTCAAGAACCAAACTGGCAGAAATTAGGTTACTAGCTGATTCATCATCTTCATAACTCACGGAATTGAGTTCAAGTATTTTCAGATTTGGCGTGCAGGCTCCTTTCGGAACAGATATAGCAACCTGATTGTCACACAGCTTGAGAACCACAAGAGTTTTGCAAGTAAAAGTGGTTCGAGGCAAATGAAATGACAAACCAGGGGTATAGAGTTCCAGCACTAGGACATTTCGAGTGATTGCCTTCCTGATCCATGGCTCAAAAATCTAACAGATGACTGGCTAAACATTTCAACCTGAACTTCCTAATGGATCCAGCATTGTGTTCAATCAAGACCTAACGAAATTCATGAATCTCATTCCTGATTTCTTGAAGTGCAAGCCATTGTCATCGAAATCGAGGCAGGGGACACTAGTCCAGGGAAGCTCCCATCTTTTTGACAAGATCCCAGTTGCCACAGCATCTTTGGTAGGAAGAAACGATAGAATATGCAGTAAAACTGAATTTGGTAGATCACTGATATTCCTTTCAACCGAAAAAAAACCCCTTTCCTCGATTTCTGGGGCTTAGAAACCGGGGATGAGTTTCTTTGAGGATTAGAAGTCGACACTCTGTGGATTTGTTCATTCAGTTGGCCAGATGAAGAAACAGTTGTTGGTTCTTTGGATTACTTTATAATAGACATGAGTGAGAATGAGAAAGATTACTTTTCAGCTTCTGGATCAACAAAACGGTACCATCTCCAATATATCTGCGTCAGACCTTTCAATTTATTCATTCACTTAAAAAGTCCATATTCTCTGTTTTGTTATATAGTAATAATTGTCGAAGGGGGACGAATATCAATAAATTGTTTGTCTACCTCCGGTCCTTTCACCACTGTGTTCTCCTAATTCTACTGTGGACACTTGTTTCCGAACATAGATTGAAATTTCATATAATGTTAGATGCCTACAACATAATATTGTTCTTGATATCTTGAACTAATTTGCCCAACCAAATTTGGGATGATCCATCTTCGTCCAACACTGCCTTTCTGCAAATCTCACTCACGTGCTTCACCTTCTCTCCAATCTCGTTTTTCTCCATCAAAATCCTCTTGATCCCTCTTTCAATCTCATCAGCAGAGACAATAATCTGACTCTCCATGTTAGCATCATGTCGGTAATCCATCTTAATCTCAACACCAAGTCCTAACTCTACCACCATCTCGAATGCATTCACCTGTTGTTCTGCATACAATGGCCAGGCAGCCAAAGGCACTCCGGCCCACAAGCTCTCCAGTACTGAGTTCCAACCACAGTGTGAAACAAATCCTCCAACTGCAGGATGTGATAGAACTGCATTTTGTGGCGCCCAACCGATAACTTTCCCTACCCCGGAAGTCCTTTCCAGGAACCCTTCTGGCAAGATTTCATCGAAATTTTCATATGTAGATGCAGCAGCAATGCTTCCTTTGGCTGGTGGTTGTCTTAAAGACCACAAAAATCGGCATCCACTTCTCTCCAGCGCCTTGGCAATCTCCTTTACTTGGTCCCATCCAAATGTCCCAAATGTTCCAAAGCATAAAAACAGAACAGAACCAGAAGGTTGGGTATCCAACCAGTTTGTAATCCCATCATCTGGTGTGAATTTCCAGCTGATCATTGGTCCAATCGGGTAAATTGGTGGGATATCCTTTCCTCCCTGACCTGATAGAGACTTAATTGCATAAGATTCCAGCTCCAGGAAGGTGTTTACTATGATTCCCTTTGTTTCCCTCATCTTCCTAGCGACTTCAAACACGGTGTTTGATCCACCATTTTTGTCCAGCATTAAGCTGGGTAAAACCTTCACAGGCACAGGATTCATAAAACTTGGGACAACAATCTCAGCATCTGACTCTGTTTTCAAGTCAGCAACGTCTTGATTGTGATCATCAAACAAGGTTTGAACATGGATATTCAGCCCAAGGTAACCAGCACCAGAAGCGTAAAAAACATAGCTGGGCAGCTCCAATTCGTTGACCACATCAATCATGCCAGAACAGAACATGTCAACCACCACCCCTGCAATTTTCCTCGAATTCGGCTTTGATTTCATCTCAAGAATAACATCTCTAACCAGTGGCTTAAAAGAGTTGATCATCTCAAAGGCAACCACAGCTCGGATCTTGGATTTTGTTGGTGCTTGAGAACTTGGTGGGGGATTTTTATGGGGAGGGATCTTAACGAATCGAATCCGGGAGCCGGAATCTGTTGACTGAGATTCTATGAATGCATCAACTCCGGCATCGAAGGAAAGTTGGATGATGAGGAAGACAACGGAGAAATGCTCATCTCGACTGATGAGAAGCTTTCCGAGCTCCACAGCGGAGACTAGATGGCCCACTCCCGGAAGTGGGATGAACATCAGTTCTGTTTTTCCTTCCATTGTTTTAACTTGCTGAGTGAAATAAGCTGTATTGATGCTCTGTGCGCTATGTTACCAAGATCGAAGTATATGAATAATGTTGTGTTTCATTAATCTAGTTCCTTGCCTTGGATTAAATCCAAAAATACAATAAAATTTCAGTGCTCCAGTTTTTTTTTTTTTTTTTTTGATGTGGCTGCCAATCTTGACTTAAACCTTGGGGCATGTCCCATCAAAATGGGCGGCCAACCACCTAAAGAAATAAAATTCCTTTGGCAAAAGATCTTGGTCAAAGGGGAAACAATAATTTCTCTTGTTATTATGATAATTGATAACTTAAAAAGCCAATATACTGTATACTACAGCAAGAAATAAAAATAAAACTAAAAAGTATAAAAGTTTTTATGTGCGCCTAAGAAAACTAAAAAGGGGAAAAAAGAATTCTTCCTTTTTGGAGCAGCTGATCATCATATTTATGAGCTTATTCGACTGTAAAATACATACATATAACTCAGCTTGAAGATTAATGAAGACAATTTCCCGGAAGCTATTCTACTGGTGAGATTGGAGATACATACCTTTCTATTTAGAATGTAATACAGTGCTAGTATCTGAAGCTAAGATGCTTTAGCTACCCTTGACATATCGAAGTTACCACAACTCCGGAGTCACACACCTGATTATCCAACAGGCGGGATTCTCCATTCACAGAAAAATAATGAGTAGTTGGATGGAAGGAAGCAACATAGAGTAAATCTCCATCTCGATTCACCAAACAATGTAAAACCCAACACCACCCTCATCCATGTCTTGACATTCCAAGATTATCTGTGTTCCCACTTCCCACCATACGACCTAAACCATTTATGTCACACCCTTGAAAAATGGATGATCAAGAGCTTGTCGGGCAGTGAGGCGCATGGATGGATCATACTTCAATACACCATGCAACAAGTCAACAAGATGGTGTTTTGAGGACACGCCATGTCTTGATATAAGATACTGCAGCAAATAGGTGTGTATAAAATAGTTAGATTAGAAACCGGGGAAAAGAATGGGCAGAACATTCAGCAACAGTACAAGGGAGGAACTATGCAAACCTTCAGCCTGTCCAACTTTAGAACTGCTTGGATACTCTCTCTTGAAACAGCCCCTTCAGGCCAGTTCAACCGTGATCCTTTAAAAAACTTTTCTGCTCCGCGACTGTCACAATAATGTATTTAAAGATTCAATGTAAAGAAGATTAAGACTAACACTGCTGTTACAAACGTAAAAGATAATTAAGAAAAAGGAACCAGCCCCAAGACTAAAAATAATTACGTTGCTTTCTGGGTCATATGCTCCGGCAGACGTCCTAGTACTCTCTCCATCATTGCCAAATGCTCCAAGTTCTCATGAGTCTGAAACAAAGCTTTTCCCTGCACAAAAAAAAGAATATGTATGGGATAAATGGTCCAATTTACCATGATCTATATGTTAAAAAAAATGAATAAATGATTAAAAAACTCAAAACAAGAAAGAGAACAGGAACTAGGCCAACCGTGCAAAGTTCAACAAGTATGCAGCCAACACTCCACATGTCGCAAGGGTAACTCCATCCAAGACCTGAGGCAAGGCATAAGGATAAGTAACAACTTGAAAAGTGTAAAGCAGGTAGAAGACACTGCATTTATCACACTAAATAGGCAGAACAACATCAGTAGGCCCGACTTTATATTTCTTCTTTCCATTTGTAATCTTGTTTTGTTTAAATCTCTTGTTCAGAACCGTATAAGATATCAAAGCACCAAAGACATCAGACATCCAAATTTGATCCTCAGGTCTCAGCAGTTTTGTGATAAAAAGATTATTATCATTGTTTGTAACTTTAACAAGCTTACTACCTCTGAATCCCGCCAAACTGCTGACTAAGTGAGACAAACATAAAATTTAACACCACAAGTTATTGCCGGTAATAACTGGTTACCTAGTATAACCTCGGGTGCTCTGTAATGCCTTGTGGTGACAACAGAGTAATGGTTCTGATTTCCATAAACAGAGCTACCAAAATCAATCAGCTTAATCGCACTCGACTTCGGCAAGCACCTGAAGTTGTGTTCATCTGATCTCTATACCATTAAAGAGTTAATTAAGAAAGAAATGGATTTTATGCTCATTATTAAGATGTTCGTAGAGTGTAAATCCATGAGTACCTCGCGACCTGGGAGCTTTATAAACTCAGAACCCACGAGAAGTATATTTTCTGGCTTCAAATCAGTGTGAATTAATCCTAAATCATGCATATCTGAGAAGAATAATAACCATATATTATTATGTTAAAAGAAACTGAGTCAATGGAAGACTGAGACGCCCTGAACGCGAAAATGCCAAGAAAATATCTGGACATCAGATCAGGAAAAGAAGTGAACACAATATAGGTGAAAACAGAAAGGTTAAGATCAATCCACAGACATGCTACAGATTCCAAAAGCTGGCGTGCAAATTCCCGAACAAGATCCAGAGGAAATGGGCAGTATTTATTTCTCTTTAGAAAACCATATAAACTTGGTCCAAGCTTCTCAAACACCTGATATCACCATTCAAATGCATCGAACACAATTTTTTGTCAAGTTTCTGGCAATATCATGGAACTTCTAAGGACAAATTAAAACATTCAAAGTGATTTCAACCAACTGTTAATCCAAAAATATCGTGTGCATTATGACACTATCAAAGTTAAAATCAACTACAATCCATAAGTGCCCACAAAGAAAGAGGGGAAAAACAATAAAAAAGAAGGTAACGGGAAAAGTAGGTGCGCCAAAAGAAACTTTTCATTTATACTCTCAAACATCAAATCGACTGCTTAATGACTTGAAAAGTAAAGTGGAAAGACTGTAGAACGGAGACGGAGCAAGAGTAAGGACAACAACTTACAATGCATATATGGTTACGATAGTCAAACCAACTCTGCATCTTTACACAGCTGCATATAGATAAAGAAATATGTAAAGAAGACATCACAGCACACAATTTAACAAAAATAAAAATTAACATATATGGAATTCGCTTTTCCTAAAGAAAAAGACGTTCTTCAGAAAAGTTAACATACTGGGAATCCCCTTTCTCATTGATAGCAAGACGCTGAAGTACATCAACCTCAACCATTGCTGCTTCACGGTATTTGGGTATGCTCCGAATCACCTTGATAGCCACGCATTCACGTCTTTCACGGTCCCAACACTCCAAAACGCGGCCAAATGTGCCTACAGAGCAGCAGCAACTCTCTGATTTTATTCAAGAGGAATCAACAAAAGCAAAGTTATTGTTTCCAGCAGGCAGGCAGCTAACCTTCACCCATCTTGCTGAGTATTTTATCTGGACAAGAAAACATTAGAAGCCAAAGGTTAAACAACCTAAGGAACAGAACTATGCTAACATCAATGAAACAAGTAGAAAACGGGTGCTATGGCAATGGCCAGAATTTCTATGACTTGCACTATTTAATTGTCTACTTGCACTATTTAATTGTCTGAGCTGGATAACAATATCACAACATTATGTGAGAAGATCACAGGATTGTTAAACTCAACCAAAGCCTTCCAAAATTCCGATGCAAGAACTGAAAGTAGATTAGAAATCTAAAATCACATCCCCAAGTTCATCTAGAAATTAACAAGACGGATCTCACTCTTGCTCCACAATCTTGACATCCATGGGGAACGGAAATTATTTATTAAAAAAAAAAACCTCATATTCAATCATAACTTCCTCATAACACTCTTAAAGATCCTTCCTTTTATGTAACGAGTCTGTCATGTCGGTAATGATTTTACCTTTAAGGAAACTATTCCCCCCTCCCTCCTGGAATATCAATTAACATTTAATCAATGAACTTTCCCACAACCACAAGTAATGATAACAAATAACACAGTACTACTGCGGGAAAATACAACTTTCTCTAAATGGATATAAGCTCAGCTTATACCAATATAATGAAAAGATTGGTTACTTTTGTAGTTCACCCAACTAAATTCAGAAAACATACATCAAAAACTACTTCAGGTCCACCTAAATTATATGGCAAACTCCCCGGAAACTATAAGGGGTTCAGAAGAACCAAAACACTGCACAACCCCCAGTCAAACTCAAAGGATATGACACCAATAGTCTATATTGTAGTTGACAACTTCCAATGAGTTAACAAATACCAAGGAAACAAACATGGCTTAAGAAACTCCAACAAGAATGGTAAATTTTTTAACAGCAAAAAAGAAGGAAAAAGAAGCAGAAGCTCACATCTTGAGGTTAAGTTCTCCCCGAGATTGAACACGTAATGCCCCTCTCTATCGTCGTCTCTTTTCGGGGGAGAAACATGCCGAGCCAACTCCGAGCGTTTCCGCTTAAATTGTTCCTCTTCTGCCTATACAAGAGGGGAATAATAAAAATCATTGAATTTCAATTTATCCACAGACGCAGAAACTTGGAATCCGAAACTCCTGACTGAGAAGTTCTATCTGCCAGTGAATAATTCATTAATCGAACAAAAAGGATGAAGGACAAAAAAAAAAAAAAAATTGAACCTGAGCTTGTTCGGAAGGAGCAACGTCCCACGCCAACCGACGGCGTTTCCTGGTCTGAACCTGCTCTGCTTTGCCTTCGGTCTCAATAGGAGCCATTTATGCAGGATTCAGAGCTTCAAAAAGGAACGAATTTTGATTACTCTGCAACTAACTGCGAACATGCATACAATGGTAAACTCTGCGTAGGAAGACAGACCAAATATAAGTAAGTACTGTATTTAAATTGGGGGATTTTTCGTTGATGATATTTTGAGGTGGAAATATAAAAGGGTGTAAGTTTTCGGACTCAAGACAATATGGGTCGGACTTCAATCTCCATCCAATGTATTATTATGGGCATTGTTCATTGTTAGCATAAGCCTGGGCTGGGCTCACCTCTTCTGCAGTAGCCATGTCCTATTGGGCTAATTTGACAAAAAGGCAGGCCCACTTGAAAAATACGATTACAAATCGAAAAATATTATCACTAGGGAGAGACTCTATGCGTGTCTCTGTTGCTCGATCTTCTAATACTCGAAAAACTCCTCCGTATCCCCGTTTTGAACCATTTTTAGTGCATCCTGTACATATTTGCTAGGCCAGCCACCCATTGATGATATTTGATCATACCACATAGCTTGTGTGTGGTTTCTCGATCACCAAAATGTTGAATTTGTGCCTTTCTTTACTAGGTCAAATGTTCCAAATGTTTGCATAATGAGTATGTGATGAGAGATATGTGCATACTCATTGCAATTCTGAAAATATATATTTTTCCATCCTAAAATTATTGTCCAGTTTGGATTTTTAGTTTTAGTATCCAAACTGGACAATAATTTTGAAGCAGAAGAAATATAATTTTGGAGCAGAAGAAATATATTCCAGTAGCAGATGATATATATGACAACAATCATAGAGAACATACCGGGTGCAACATGACTTCATGGACAGTATCAGCATTGTGTATGATTATAAATTGTGCACTCAAATTAGTATGTATGTAGCATACTGAGAGGCTATGGTGCGCCCCAATATGTGGTGTTTCACGGTTTCATTGTTCTATCCATGCCTTTTTCCTTTTATGCTCACTTTCCCCTTACACGCTACAAAATTTATTCGAATTCTCTTGTCAATCTCCACTTTGTCAATCTCTATAGCGGAATAAGCATTGGATCCTCTTGAATAAACCGTGATATACACCAAGCGATGAATGATGTGAACATCGATATACTTATATCATTCATCAACAAAATCTGATTATCTATTATCACTAACTGCAAACAAGATCAATAGGATGGATTGTAGTACATAATTAGCTTGAAAAAATGTAGACACCATGACAACACATTAGTGCGTCAATGTAAAAATGTTAGTGACGTTTGAGAGTTGTGACCACAAAATCAAAGTGACTAAAAATGAGGAGCTAAAAATGCAAAAATAAAAAATAAAAAAAAATTCCAAACCAGCACAGCCCACAGGAAAAATTAAAAGCAGAATCCAATTCCAACCTTTTTTTACCCCAAATTCCAAGAAGCCGCCGTATCCAATCCAATCAAATCATCCTTCTCCCCATTGAAAGGAATCCTTTCATCAACTAAATTCCAGTCAGCCTGACAAAAGATCTCCAAAAAAGCGCTACTCCCACGCGACTTCCGCGTGCCATATATGCTCTGTTCTCTTGTCTATATAAAGTCTTCGTCTCCAATGCAAAAATCAGCAACTGTGTAGCTGAGCTGCTTGATTATAGAGAGAAAGATGCAGTCACTACAGCAGAAGGCGTCGGTGTGGAGTGGGGTGGATACCCAAGACGCGTTTGCAATCGACGAAACTAATCTTTATGAGAAGCTTGGCCTTCCGGCCTTCGTCAATCTCTCCACCGATTTCTACAATAGGTTCGATTTCTGCTCAAAGTTGTCCTCTTTTATTTCATTGTGATTGATTTCTTTTTCTTTTTTTTTTTTTCGATTTTGAGTTGTGGGTTCTTCCTGAAAATGCGAATTGATGAATATGGGGCAACACAAAGGTTCATTCTTGTTGCTTCTGCTTTGTTGGTTTCTTCTCTTCCCTGTATTATATTTTCTGTTGACGATTCTTCACTCTTACATTTGATCTTGAAGAAAGAAGGTTGCTGTTTCTATCTGATTTGCTCTCAACAAATGTGCGCGAATAGGGATGGGAATTTGCAGTCTTATGAAGAGAAATGTGTTTGATGTTTGTTTCAAAACAGGGTTTACAGTGACGATGAAGAATGGTTTCGGTCAATTTTCGCTAGTTCAAATAAGGAAGATGCCATTCAAAATCAATACGAGTTCTTTGTTCAACGAATGGGAGGCCCTCCCCTCTTTTCTCAGAGAAGAGGTAAACTTTAATTTTGGATTATAACTAAGAAAATGTTATGGAATGATTGAGGTAGTTTTCTTTCAAATTAGCACCCTGTACAAAATGCTGTTCTGCTAAATGGCCTGTCCTTGTTATTTTGTTAATGGACCAATATTATCTATGTGGGAAGAAGGGTTTTTTTTTTTTTTTTTGTTTTTTGTGTGTGTGTGTGTGTGTGTGTGTGCATCTGCAGGTGTAGTTTTGCAATCCAAATATAGTGACCATTTGCCAAACTCGAAGAAAGATCTAATTTTTGCTATCGAAACCTGTTTTGCTACACCTAAACTATAGTATATTGTGGCTTTAGTAACTTCAAGTGTCTGTAGGAAGTTTTTGAAGTTCATGTAATTTTCCATCTGGTGAAAATGTTGTTGGAGAATCTGATTTGACAGCATGTGTGTACCTATTTACTTAACTGTTTCACAAACAAAAATATGCTGAAGTTCAGAAACTGCTCATATTTTTGAAATACTATATTGTTATTTACTTTTTTGTTGGCGAAATTTTGCTGAGAACTACATATCCTAATCCGTACCCTAGCTTCAAACCTTATAGCATTTTCTGAACCACCAGCTGAAATTTTGTGAGATCAAACTGCTTAATGCCAGTATATGTACCTATTGCGTCCACAGTACTTATGGTGGAGTACCCAAGAAGGCCACAAGGAGTGAAGGGGAACTAGGAAAATGAGATAGGTAATTAGGTAGTTTAAGACAGAGTGTGGATAACATTGAGGAAGACTAAATACTATGTATTCACATGTGGATCCATCCCTGATCTACTGTTATTGTGCTTGCTTTTGATTTGCACAGTTCCTGATCTTAGAAGGTTCCATCACTGTATTCATTTCCGTGGCTTTTTCTTCTCATAATGTTTGTTAACCTAGTTTGTCAAGACAAAGTTATTCTTCTCAACTGGCAGAGGTTCTCTAATCTCATTGATATTCTGCCGCATGTATTGTGATTATCAAAGAGGAGACGAAGTAATTCAGAATTGGTTTCTTTCAGGTCATCCTGCTTTGATTGGACGCCATCGACCATTCCCAGTTACTCATCGAGCAGCAGAGAGGTGGTTACACCACATGCAACAAGCACTAGATAGCTCGTCAGACATTGACTCTGATTCTAAAACAAAAATGATGAACTTCTTTAGGTAAATGGGATTTTCTTATTTGTTTCGCCAATCGTTGCTGCATAGAGAGTGTAATTATTCAACACAATGCTGAAATATTTTTCTCAGGCATACAGCATTTTTTCTTGTGGCTGGAGATGAGTTGAAGGGTCAAAACCAAGGAGTTGCCTGTAAGCATGCAACTGCCAAACCAGCTGCAGAATAACTTGAAAGGAGTCTCTCCTTATACCATGTAACAAGAATGAAGAAGACATTGATGTAGAAGATTTTATTTGTGAAATTGCAAATCTAATCTCTACACGGTGATTACCATGTAGTTAACATTCTTTTGAACATTTCGATCAGAGTAGTGAGATAAGGGAAGATTGGCTTCAGAATGTGTAGTAGTACTATTAAAGATGTACAATATCATTTACACTTCCATTATCTTTTTGAAAAGTTCAATTCATTAGTGCTGAAATTGGCATAATCGGTTGTTACTACATTGATCAAACTGTGAATGAAAATACTCTTCCAGTTTTGATAATTAAGATACCATTTGGCAACATACTTGTTACAAGAAGTTGAAAGTTTCACAATCTGATGACTAAACAACTGTATTTACAGGCAAGGAACTTCAAGAGAAATCTACACCATGGGCTAAGCTATAAGCAGAATCCCGGAAACATACCGGAATTTTTCAAGGCTGGATGAAAAGGAGAAAACCACGTACTGAAATCAGCTAATTTATGATACATGCGGATGTACAAAACCTTGGTAACTACGAATCCATGAACTGTTTAAACCTCAACGATCTTGATGGATCAGCATATCTAGCTGAGAAGGATCTGAACAGATAATCCGGTCCATCCATCTGCCCTGACCCTTCATCGAAATTCTGCATATAAGATTCAGGGTCATAAGGAGTTGCAGATGAAGATTTATTACCACCACTCTTCTTCTTCTTCCTTCTGATCTTTCTCCAAAACTTAAGCCATTTGGGCTTGTTCTCATACTCCGCATTCAAATTCGCTTGCCTGCCGCCTAACCGGACGCTTGAACAGCGTGAATTACTCCACCCTCCGATGCTCATTCCGATATTGAGCCCAGAGGACTTTATATATTTTTTTCCTGCAACTTTTCTTTGCCCGAAATGCTGAGAGTTTCTTTGAGCTCTGCAAAATGAAAAACCTCTATGAAGTTGTGGGGCGTTATGGCTTTCTTTATAGTAATACTACATCGAAGATGATTAATTAATGTTAGAAAAGATACTGAAAAGGTTTTTGGATAGAATATGAGGCTTTTTAGTATAGAATTTAACGGAAATTCATAAATTAAAGATAAAAAAAAAGGATGCATATCTGGCAGCAAAGACTAAAAATTTATTAGCCGCGTCTTTTTAGTAAAACAAAAGGCATGTTTAAGTTAGGATAATGTGTTTAATGGAATAATGGTAGAAATATTTCCATTTCAACTCTTGGAACACGTGAAATTTCAGGATAAAAATTAGGAAATTTTCCATTCCGATAAGAATCTAGACTCGTTACATTGAAATAGTTCTAATTTTGACACGTAACGTAAGAAGCAGAAAAGAGAGAAAAAATGTAATTATTACGATGAAATGTCTCGATTCAAAAAAGAAAAAAAAATGAAGAAGAAGAAGCAATAATATGAATAGATTAGACTATGTCAAAAGTGAAAAGCAGGTGGTTGCTTGCTAAATAATTTTGGGATATACTTTTCCTAAGGCAAAAGCTTATAAAGATGATCCCGCCATTGCCTATAGTTAGCTTTTTAAGTTTCTATTTTATAAATTGGGTATTCCTAAAAACATTGCCAGGAAATGACCCATAATGATCAAAATACGGATATAATATCATGAAATCAAACAGATAAGAGATCTTGGAGGGAAAATCGAACATAAGAAGCAAATACAAACCAGAGTATTGAAGTATTCCCTCCAAGCTCCCGTTTTTGTTTATGATAAATTTAGTTTCAGTTTGTATTTTGCAAATAGAATTGGAAAATATGTTAATCTGTGACTGTGGCATTAAATAGCGCCCAGATATACTGGGGTTGTGTCCATCATTTCAACCACGAGGAGCACAAAGTAGTAGTGTGACAGCAAAGACAATTACAACTACCAATGTATATGCTGCTTGTCGGATTCAAGGAATCCATGAAAAGTACCATCAGACATCAGACAAGGGGCCGAAAGATTTTTTGCCAAAGAAATCTTTCTTTCTGTAGGGACTTCCCCTTACTTTTTAATGTTTGCATTAGTCCAAACACATTTCTTCGGTCTCTCACTAATTTATACCCCCTCTGGTGGTGACTGGTGAGGCTTAGGTCACAGAGATCACGTAAATACAACAAGATTACTTTTAAAAACTAATACTATTTGATATTGAAAGTACTAATACACTATCTGGGGCTGCAGAAATGAATAATCTTGCAAATCTGACATTTTTGCAGCCAACCCTAGTTGGAGGTAACCTAAGTTGGAGAAAAAGCACAAAGTTTAGCACACATGAACTAACCTAAATTCACTACAAAAGGGGGCAAGAAAACAACTTAAGTTACATAAATAACCTAAAATTCACTCCTAATCTCATACTGTGCTATGAAGAACCAGAATTTGCATTCTGAGATTGTGTGAGGACTCTCAAACTATGATAAGAATCTAAACACGCACGGGCGTAATCTGACATAGCTCTAAAGAGTTCCGGCAACCGGATTTTGAGACTTCCTAAAGACTTCTCCCTCACTTGAATGCAGTGCTTCCGGTGAGCTTCCATTTCATCATCCAACCTCTTCTTCAAGCTCTCCACCACAAACCGCCTTTCGGTAATAGGGTCTTTTGGATTGGTTGTTTCTTCACCTCCGTCAGCACCTGTCTCATCCGAGGGCGGTGTTCTACGCTGCATGTACTTGTGATACCAGTCATCATATGCTTGACTCTTGCGCAAGTATTCTTTCCTGGTTTCCTCCCACTTCTCTTTTAGCTTCATTTCTTCCTCCTGATGATCAAGGATGGTCTTCACCACCGCAGCAAAGGAACCGATGGCACTTTTCGGAACCTCATCAGGAAGCTTCTCGAGATGATCATGCCACATTTGGAGTAGGGATTGAATTGGAGGGTTCTGGATTCTGGGAGGGGATGATATTTTTTCTTTTAAGCTGCTCTCAATGGGTATCAGGTTTTGCTTCAACCAGCTGTTCAGAGAGTTAACATACAGTTTCTGATTGGTCACAAGCTTATTTAAATGTGAAAGCCAGTCTTCAACAACATGCAGAAGCTGTCGAGTCCGCTCATGGTGATGTTTGCTAGTTTCCAAGGGAGTACCAGCAATATCAAGGGATTTTAGGTCTGTTACAATATTCATCTGATTTGTATGATGCACAAGCATTGCTTCCCACATTTTCGCCATCCTGTTTATAAAAAAACAGCAATAGAACTTCACGGTTAGGTGAATGGAAATCAAGAACAAGTTTTCCAATTTCAAAAGCTTCCAAGCTTCATGAAACAGCAGCAGTAAGCAAAACATAGAAGAATAAAAGCAGATAAATTCGTTTCACATACATGTCAGTTAAAAAAAAGAAATCCGAAACATGATATAACGAAGCTACTAACAGGCAGTATCTCGCACAAGCTAGGGACAACTTGCAAGGTTGTGCAGGATGAAGAGTGACAAGGTTAGGAAAAGGTATGGCTAATTATTAAAAATAAAAAATAAAAAAAAATAATCGGAGGCATCAATATCTGATCAAGTGATCCAAAATGCAGAGGATGCTTACAGGTCAAAGGAGGTAACATTTGTATCCCGATGGATATAACTTGGTAACATCAAAGACAAACATAGACTAGGCAAAGATAATCATGGCTGAAAGGTGAAGAAAGACAGAGATTAAATAACAAAGAAACCAAGATTGCGGGTCTCTGATATGCATAAAGTTACCTATACATCCAACCATATTATATACATCACTAGCAGGCACCAGAATAATTCAATACAAAGTATTTGGGGACATTTGAAAATTTTCTAGGTTACAAAGAAAACAGTCTGTGGCTTCATACACACTGAGCCTATAGCTAACTTAGATTTAAAAGGAGAATAAAACAATCTCCAACTTTCTCAGAAATCTTACCCATTGACAAGCGCAACAAGTTTCGGATACAATTGCTTGTCACGAATATCATTCACTTCCAGGACAGTTGAATCCAATGATTGCATGTCAACAATATACCGTGTGTGCAAATGGCTAACAGCAGCCTTTGCTTTCTCCAGTGATTCTGTTGTGGCACCACGTTTTTTTAGCTTGTTCAGCACAGCTACTTTTCTCTGATATTCCATCTTCATGAGCTCGCCCGTCTGTTACAATGTATAAAGTAAATGTTAATTACTTTAAGTCCCATGTGACATAGAAAACAGATTTGTTTGGTTCATCCGTGGAAGAAAAGACATGGAAGAAAGGTATCACGGGTAGTAACATGGAAGAAAAGACACATTTTTAAAGGAAATGCAGCATCTATTAGCAACAGAAATGCAATGCAGCATGTAAACATACAAGATTCTCTCACAGACCTTAACTTCCTCGTATAACTTTTTCTCCCATGCAAGTAACTTGTCTAAGACAGTGGCATGTGTCTCGTATTCATCTGCATCAGGATCATCCAAGGCAGCATCCCCATTTGGAACTCCTCTAAATGATCTGTTCCATGTGATGACTTTCATGACCCTTGCCGCATGGTCGATATGACCTGCAGAGTAGAAAACCTAGATTTTAACATCAAAAAGTTTGGAACTGCTAAACTCCAACACAACTCAGATAATCTTAATTTAACAAAAAAAGAGGAAGCTTCGCGGTAAGAAATGATGATATAGAACAACCTGCACTTTGCACAAAAAATAGCTAACCAAATGCATCAATAAATGGCTCAAATCAATGAAAGAGTGCACACTCAAGACAATCCCCTTCAACAACACACACAAAAAAAAAAAAAAAAGACCTGGTTGGAACTACCAGAAACGAAGTCAGGAAGAGAATACTGATTTCACATGATCTAATCATCCAATGTAAAAGAATTTGAATGCCAGTGTAGTCATGACAATCTACAAAGACAAATGAATTTTCACACAATTTATATGTTGATACCAAAAAAAACTTGCCAGACAACAGATATTTCATCAGGTCAAATAGGAATATGCTAGTAACGAGTCTTTTTGAACTGCATGCATCACCACCTACTCTCTGGACAGCAAAAGCCATAGCTTTCAACAAAGATTACTTTGAAAATTCCAGTCATCGCTGACCCACACAGCATAATATTAAATAAAGGTATCTGACTCCCGCTAAATTATGAATGTAAAGACCCTATCTTTTGAAGAACCCGTGGAAATTCAGATTCGAACCAAAATGCACCAATAAGAAGTTCCATTGTAACCAGAAGAAATGGAAATTTTTGGCAACTCCAGCACCTCATCCACACATTAAAGCAAAGTAACTTTTCCCATCCCCATAAGTATTTATTGACATGAATCATGGAAATCTTTTACTAGTCTTCTCAACAAGTAATAAACTTCAAAACCTATCTCCTCAAGTTTGAACCCCAAGTAAAAAGTAACCATTTTAATGAATTGGAAGGAGAATCAATCACCTCGATTATCTGCAAAATTTGAGTGATAATGCATTCTGGTAGCTTCAAGCATCTTAGAAACCTCTTGTGCACACTCAGAAGCCTTTAAGAAATGATCATCCACATCTCCCAAAATCTTCAACAACTCCACTCCATTGGACACAGCTTTCCCGCTGTTATCTCCTCCCCTAATTCCTGCAGGTGCTGTATTTGAATGCACAAAATGCTTGTCACTGGCCGTCACAGGGGTCACCTCCTCCTCAGTCTCCATCCCCCTATCAATCCCAACTTTCTCTGGAGTCTTAAATTCAACACCACTGTCGTCATGCCCATTAACGACGTGATCAAATCTTTGATCCTCATTGTCATTTTCCTCCTCCATTCCATAATCACCTTCTTCAACACCACCCAAACTTGATCCCGGCATGTTTTCATCAACCATAAAAAAGTAATCCCATGCCATCCCTTTAATCTCCGGCGGTGGCGGTGGAGTTGGAGTCCTTACAGGGGTTACAGGGGAAATATCCTCAGACCCATTTCGCCTGAGATTATTTTTCCTTGGCCTACCCATTTTCCGACGCGATTTAATTTCCCCTTCCTCTTCCTCATTTTCATCCCCGTCTTCGTTCTCATCAATGCCTTTCATTTTCAGCCTGGTGGGCTTCGAGGACGAGAACTCCGGCATGGTCATGGAGCGTTGAAGGGGCGGTACCGGAGAAGGGGAAAAGGTCGGCAGAGGCGGAGGAGGCGGAGGGAATGGGGATTCAGGCGGAGGTGGAGGCCTCGGTGGCTCCAATGAAGGCTCAACGGGCACGGAAGTAGTAGCAGACGGCGGAGCTTCTCCTTGCGCGTAGTCACTCAAGGCGGCGCCGGTGTTCTTCAAAGACATGGCATAGCCGGAATGTGCAGAGGCAAAAGCATTCCTGGCTGTAACAGCTTCCTTCATGAAGTTTCTCCGCTCTTTACATCTCGAAACAGACTCCTCATTGTCTATCTTAGACTGTGTACAACCCATGGCAGTGGCACATAAAAATCTTCCTCAAATTAAAAACCTTTTTCACTCTCTTCTTCAATCAATTGACTATCGTTTCTTCTTCTTCCCAACTTATTTAGCCTAATCTAAAATAAAGACGAGATTTTTATACACGAAAAGGGTGGCTAGGCTTATCCAGAGACCTAACAGCCAAATGGATGCTTAAATTAACACATTCTTTCTGGGTTTTCTTCTTCTAGTTGTGTTAATGTGCTAGGAATTTGAACAAAAACGGAATGAGCATGCGCAGGGAAAGGTGAAGGACGTGATTTTTATGAGTAAAAAGGAATGAAAAAATGGTGAGGAGAAAATGTAATTGATGTGTAGACCTTTTCTGGGAAGTGTGATGATGGTGAAGAGGACTAGAGAAAAAGAAAACAGAGATGTGAATGAATGAATGAGTGAAGAGAGGAAATGATGAAGGGTAAAAGGAGGGAGAGAGAAAGAGGAGAGGATATGGACAAGAGTTTTGGGCAGCGGGAACAGAGCAGTACACAGTGGGTGTTGGGTTGTATGCGCGGCGGTCTATGAAACTCTGTGTCTGTCTCTGTCTTCTAATTTATTTTCTTTTTCCTTTTGGGTTAATATCAAAATAAACTCTCGTAGTTTACATAATTATCTAAAATATCCTTGATTTGAAGAAAACATATAAAAAATCCCTTAATAGAAGACTTAATTATAAGGATCTTCTGACGACTGAAAATTTCTTTAAATATATAAAATCAAAAAAAAAATAAAAGTTAAAAAATATGTTTGTGCCCCAAAGAAAACCTCTTGTATCACAAGCTTTCGAAAGTTGAATTTGGATTTATAAGTAAATATTTCATTTTATTAGAGTTTTAAAATAATTGAAAGTTTTTATGGAATACAAATCTCTTTTGGTTATATTTTTTTATCAGTTTGTGTATGTGTCAATTTTCAATCTTCGAAAGATGTTTTTGATAATTGACTTGCCAAGTGAGGGATATTTTTCCTATTTACGTAAATAATAAAGATATTTAAGATAATTAGATAACCTCGGGGGTGTTTCTGAAATTAATTCTTTTCTGTTTTCAAAATTGCCTCGTGTAACGGTCACATCTTTCGAGGTGAGACGAGGTCGTTGTTCATTCAACTCTTGCCAGTTCCAGTTTTGGTAAAAAGTGAAAAGAAAAATTGAAAAATTACTGCTAATTGTAGTTAATGGGTAAAATTACAAAAGCATTTTGTCTGTCCAAAATAATTGTGGAGTTCGAATTTTTATTTTTAATACTGTAATTTATAGTTCTAACTTTAGTAAAGAGTGAAAATAGAAAATGTAAAACATTATAAATATTATTTTATGGCCATCCGTCTCAAAATAAATTAATCTCTATGTCTTCTTCTTTTTTCCTTTTCATATTCACAAAGAGTTTATACAAAAATTGTTTCTTTTTCCTGATACTTACTTGAACCAACAAAATACAAGAAGTATCTTGCCACAGTTTCCTATAAATAAACTAATGAAGTAATTACGGCACGTCATTGATCATAGTTACTCTTATTTTCGCCCTATGGCTAAAGATTGATGAATTTCTATCACTAAATTAACCATAATCCTTGTGTTCAGCAATATATATATATATATATATATATATATATATATTTACGTCTGTTATGTTAATTGCTCCTACAAAAGACTACATTTTACGGTTTACTTAGTACAGTAAAGTTTTTTTTTTAAAGAAAAAAATAGCACACATAATTGTTGAAAGAAAATTATTACTCCTCTCGTCCCAAAATTATTGTTCCAAAACTCAAATTGGACAATAACTTTAAAACAGATGGAATATTTCTTTACAAAAATGTATGCAGTAGCTCTCATAAATCTAAACATATTCTTTCTTAATATTACTCTTTCATGGGAGATTTTGCGTCATTTTTTTTCGATTTAAGTACTGTAGACATGTTTTTATATATGTCCATTGAAAAAATATTCAGGCTCGACTAAAATTGGTAAAAAAAAAAGTTTTTTTTTAATAATGTTTTGTTTTTGTAACACATGATCAGCGCACCATGGCAAATTATCTGGTACACCCGGAGGCACCGTGTACTCCCCTGCGCGTGTACTTTACTCTCTTAGAATAGCGTGAGTTCGCTAGATAATTCATCCTTCTTTTTCTTTTTTTTTTTTTTAAACACGGCATATATAAATTCCCCTTTCATACTATGGACAACCAGTGTTCACCATGTGGATAACCAGTGTTGGCACAATGGATAACCAGTTACACACAGCTGGATAACCATTCTTAACCTGTTGGATAACCAGTATGGACATAGTGGATAACCAGTTACACACAGCTGGATAACCATTATTAACATGTTGGATAACCAGTATGGACATAGTGGATAACTAGTTACACACAGCTGGATAACCATTATTAACCTGTTGGATAACCGGTATGGACATAGTGGATAACCAGTGTGTACATTATGGGTAACCAGTTACACACAGCTGGATAACCAGTTGTCAAATTTCATTTTTTTTTCCTTTTATATTTTTCTTGGATATCCTTGTCCGTATTTTTTACACTGGCTATCCAGCTGCCCCTCATTCATTTTTTGTTCTCCATCATTTGGCAAACTTCCTCTCATTCAATTAAATACTATTTATGAAATTTGCCATGTTCGGCATGGGGGCGGCACAGCTGTGAAAGGCAACGCAGCCGCGGGCACCGGCGCAGTCGAGTCGTTTAGTTTATCACGGGGGGATTTATACAAATAATTTGTGTCCCCTCTTAACGCAATAACACACTCTCCTTACACACACACGAAAAAAGGATTACCTTAGCTACATTGGTGTGTTCGGTGGGGCGGCGCAGCCGGGGTAGGTTGGTGACCTGCGATTCCGATAGCCGCGGGAGTCGTTTAGTTTATCATGGGGGGCGAAGCCCCCAATGAACATGCCGTTTGGATAGCTATTTTCTTATGGATATTTTCTTTTGTTATGTCTTTTTGGAAGCCCTCTCTGAAGCCTTGTTTTGTTATGTCCACATGGTGGATAGGCATTGGTTACATATGGATAAGCAGTATTGAGGTTTTGGATAACAAGTATAAACTCATGGATAATCAGGTTAAAGACTGTACTTGCATTTTTTTTAACTGGATAATCACTATAAAACATTCGGATAATCAGGTGTAACAAGTTAGATAATTAGTACAAAGATCCTGGATAACCATTACAAATGGTTGGATATTGCTGCACATTGGATGGATAACCAATACAAAAGTCCTGGATAATGAATACAGAGCATTGGATAATCAATAAAGAAATATTAGATAAGCAGGATAACATCATAGGATAACCAGTATAAAATGGGTGGATAACCAGCATTTAATGTAAAGGTGAAAAATGTTGAGCGCATGTAACGCGTGTGTTTGGTGGGGGTATACGGTATACCCGGGTGCACTGGATACGGACTCCATACCATCCTCAAAAATTCAAGGTTGATCTAGTTTGAATCCAAATTTCTACTTGCTTTGATAATTTGATTCAAATTAGAGGCTTATAAAACTAGAGTTACCGAGTGCATTTGTGGAACGGGATTCGTGAATCGTATATAAATTAGTTTATAGACTTACGAGAATATTGATGAGAAGCTTTTGTTGGTGAAATCAATGACCAAATTACCCAAAAAAAAAAACAAAATAAAAAAGAGTACTACTACTATGACTATGGGAATTTTATTTGGTAATAAGTGAAAATTTTCAGGGATATACAGTTAATAAAAGATTATCCGATATTATTTTCCTCATAAATTAACGGTCAACCGGGGGCCAATTATACCAATTATAATATAGGGATCCTAGGTACACCTAGCAGTGTGAGTTTCATGCGATCCAAAAATGGACATCTCTCAATATTTACAACAATCCCATTTAATTCTCCATTTTGTGCGATTTTTGGAATTTCAAATCTCACCATTTTCTCCTAATTTTAAGCCATTAACCATATCCATCTTCCACCTCATTCATCACAATCCGTCTCAAATAAAAAAAAATTAAAAAAGTAAATTTTCTCTACAGCGATTTGGCCAGAAAACCTCTCGTCGGCTGGATTTTTTGGGACGGAATCAGATTGTGCATCAAATCTAGTGGACATTGTGAAAATATACTCTGTTCAAGATGCGATTTAAGGTAATACATGAACAAAATTCATCACGCAGAAACCACCGACTGAGGATCCTGAACCGAACAGAAGCAGTTCGGAAAGTGAAGATCAACGAAGGTAATACTATTAATCTTTTGGACTATTGATGCGTTTTTTGATGGGTTTTGTAGATTTATTGTATACGCATTCGATTATGCATATCTGTTCATCAAGTTTAAAGTTTTCTTCATATTCAACCATTGGTGTTTTTTTTTTGGTTCTGTAGATGTAAGGTATATTCACTCGATTAATGATGTTTGTTCATCAATTTTAGAGTTTTGTTCTTCTATTGGATACTGTTTTTCTGGGAAATTGGTAGATTTTTGTATTATTCATCAGGTTGGTATAGTTATTCATTGTTGAAATTGTCAGATTCATCGTGTACCATAACGATGTAGTATTATTTTTTTGGTAAATTAGTAGATATTTGTATTATTCATCAGTTTGGTATAATTATTCATTGTTGAAATTGTCAGATTCATCGTTTACCATAACTATGTAGTATTGTTTTTTTGGTAAATTACTAGATCTTTATATTATTCATCAGTTTGGTATAATTATTCATTATTGAAATTGTCGGATTCATCATTTACTATAACTATGTAGTATTGTTTTTTTGGTAAATTACTAGATGTTTGTATTATTCATCAATTTGATATAATTATTCATTGTTGAAATTGCCGAATTCATCGTTTATCACAACTATGTGTTATTTATTCGTTAAATTTGTTCATCAATTTGGTAATTGGCATTCATCATAATTTGTTGTAAAATTTGTTTTGGGATAATCATCCGTAAAGGGATGTTATTCATTGGGTCAGCAATTATTATTAATTTTCCGATTTCATAATCCCAGATTATTCAACATCTATATACATTTATTCATTAATTCATTCATTCATTAAGTTTGTGATACATCTGATACGTTGATATTAAGAAACACACTAAAAAATTCATCACATCTGACAAGTTATTCATGGAATTTGTAAAAATATTGTAGTATAAGCGAAGAATATCAGACAGAATCTGAAAGAAGCATGAGCGAAGAACAACAATCAGAAGCCGAAAGAAGCAGGATATCTGAATCTGTAAAAAGACCAAACCACAATAAATGTAGACATTGATATAGAGGGTTATTCAGCATTTTTGTAAACTAGTATTATTTTTTTGGTAAATTAGTAGATCTTTATATTATTCACCAGTTTGGTATAATTATTCATTGTCGAAATTGCCGTATTCATCAGTTTGGTATAATTATTCATTGCTGAAATTACCGTATTCATCAGTTTTGTATAATTATTCATTGTTGTATATCATCTACCTCATGAATTTTTTACTCCTTGTTTG